ACATATGTAAATATATGGATGACTAAACTTTCTCAATAATTACTGGGACAGTATCACTAATTTAATCGCCAGCTTTCTTCAATTGACCCAAAAAGAAAAGCAACTAAAAGTATCTAACTTTTAATAAATGTGGAATAATTGAAATTAAATTAAAAGAAATGCTACTATGTCTGACATTATACATTATAAATACGGTTAGCCAGGCATATACATCTGGGTTTTGTGTCATCTTTGTGACACATCATCCACCTATGCTATAAAGGCTTGGCATAATTTTACATTTAATCACTGCCTTAAAATGCATTCTACTCGATCATTTTTTTTTTTTTTTAACCTGTATATTTCAATATATCTACAAAAAGGCTTTGCTTAACTTAATTTTTAATTATTCTAACTGCATTTATTTTTTTCACATGTTAACTTTTATTCCCTTGTAGTGGAAAAGGGAAAACAAACTTTTGTGCCTTGAGTTTGAATATTAAAAACTTTTTAGTTCTTATAATTTGATGTGTGTAAGTAATCTATGCAAAAATATAAAATAAAAATGGTTTTAATTTTATTTCTTTCATTTTTCTTTTCTTCCACAAATTGATTTCTGATTTTTACAATGGACCATAATAATATTGTCTTTGTTGTGTTAACATTTTCAAACCCTTATTGTCTGGATATAAATGCCACTATATCTATGTAGAGTACCCACAGTAAAATTGTATTTATGTAAGTGTGTGTATGGAATGTAGGATGGTTCTGTGAGATTGTGTGTGTTTCTTCATTATTGATGCCCATGATGGTAGTTTTGCATTTACAGTTTGTCATTATTGCTCTATCCCTAACACTAAAGTTAGGAGTACTGTGATAATGACACCAAATTTGAAATGTTATGGTTAAAGGGACACACCAATGCACAATACAAAATAAATTAAAATCTTTGTTTAGCATATACACCCCAAATGAAAACTTTTAATTACATTTTAAATTATATGGGGTTTTTTTTTGGTTGTGGGTTTATCTAAAAACAGCATTGGCTGATCTCTGTAAGCCTTTGCAAACCCTCCATTTCCAACCCTGCCCAGACTTTCTGTGGCTGTCAAATCACAGACTTCCCAATGCAGCTCAATGAGAAGGTGCTCTGAGCTGCTTCATGAGTTTAGCTCCACTGAGCTAACCGAAACAGGAAGGAAAGGAACTACTGTCAGCTTGAAAGCCAAGGGGTGTATCAAAATTAATTTATAAAATGTAAATTTCTGAAATGTTTTGCAAAATGGGGAAACTCTTTACACACAAAGCTTTTCGGCAAGCTAAAGTGCTTTAGGGATCTAGAAGGTTTTCATTTCACTATATAATAGATTTAACCCCAAGTCACAGCTTATTGTATTTGACTTTCTAAACCAAACTCTAATTTTAATGTATAAGTGGTTGGTGTTAAATTTGACTCCAATTCTGAAGTATAAAATTTGACATCACTGATGATCTGTACCAAACCCTACAATGATAAAATTTTAAAGAATTTTTCCCTCTAACCACAACATTAGAGTTAGTATTAAGGAAACTAAGAATATTGAAGCCAAAATATTTTTAAGTGCTTTAAAGGCATAAGAGGCAGCACACTAAGGTGGTGCTAGAACAGAAGAGCAATAAAACAAAGTTGTTTTTTTTTTTTTTTTTTATTAGTTTTGTAGGTCTTGGTTCTTCTTTCCCTATGCAAGTTTACTTTGATCAAAGCTGTTTCAGTAATAAGTTCCATCAATGACTGAAAGTCAATATAAACATGTTTTAACTAAATTATGATATAAATTTAAAAAAAACTGATTTATGCATTCGATATCCTTTTTCACGTTCTTAATCTCCATGATTCTGGTGTAGATGACACCAGTCTTCTGGAAGTGACTTCATTTCTCAGCAAAAATATTTCTTCTCCCTTCATCAGCAATGACCTCTACATTCTGTTACTTATTTATCGCACGCTAGCACAGTTATCCGTTTTGTTTTACAAGTCATGGATTCAACATTTTCATAGTGGAAAGAGCTGCTGTACATTACAATTTATTATTTAAACCATTGATTACCAGAGATGTAACCAGCACGTTGGACACCTCAGGCACTGACTTCTCCTAGAAGTGCTTTTGAAAGTAACACTCTGTCATGGGAGAACTTTGCATTTATGTGATTTCTTTTTGCTTCTTCTGGAAACTAATATACTACTATTCAGGTTATGATTTGGCTTTTATAAAAGAGAATGACACTTTGCAGTTCTTAATCGTATAAGGCTAACTTACATGTACCTTAAAGCTATTACTTAGGAACATATTTAGAGCACTAAGACCCTGAAGGTGATTGAACTACTTTATGGCACATTGCATGGCATGTAATATTATCAGCAGTGTTATAATTTAAATAAATACAGTGGGTGTTTATCATTCAGAAGTGGTGTTGAGGGAACATATCTGAAAAAAAAAAATAGCTTTTAATCTAATCCAAGTCTGCCGCTGGGACATTCCTAAAAACAAAGCCACTCTAAGGTAACAGGTCCACTTGTATTTATGGCTTTGTTCTGCGTGTCAAATTTAATATATCCCTTAAGAGGGAAGTATCAATAGTCCCTCTGAGAACAATTCAAACATGTCATCTTGTTAGTTGGCACAAATAATGTAATTATAAGCAAATATCGTGTTACCTTCTCTGTAAAATGTAAACTATACAGCCTGTTGATGTGCTTAGTTACAACAAGCAAAATATTCCACAAAGGGTAGCTTAATTGTGATGCTTTACCGTATATACTCGTCTATAAGTCTAGTGCAATTTTTTGACCAACAATTGTGAAATATGCTATGACTCGTGGATAAGTCGAGGGTACGTGTTCCCTTATTTGTACCTTGTGTCATCTGATATCCCCCTGCTTTCGAATGGAATTGTTCTCCTCCTGTTCGGTTACCGAACAGACTGTGGTGTCCCCCTTGTTACCACCTCGTAATCACCGACCACCCCGAGCTGTTAACCACAAACAAACATTCCCTGGGTGGCCACCGTTCGTATATATGAACACGTGTTAATTTTATTGCCATTTATATAGCGCCAACAGATTCTGTAGCGCTTTACAATATTATGAGAAGGGGGATTTAACTATAAATAGGACAATTACAAGAAAACTTACAGTAACGATAGGTTGAAGAGCTTACAGTCTATATATTCAAACAAACTTGTCTCCCGAACGCAGGCAGCGGTACATGGCCATCGTCGGCATGGATCAATAAGTCTGCTACGCAAGCCCGCTGAAACTTGTACCCCTGTCTGTTCAACTTCCCCACCAGCTAGGAGAACGGTGTTCGGGAGTCGACATTGCCCCACATTCAATGTATAAAATTCGATCAAAACTAGCACTGACCTGTGGATAAGTCGACTCTGCGTTTTAAAATTAAGTTTACGACAAATTTCTCGACTTTTATATATGAGTATATACGGTAACTTCAGTATATAGCAGTAGTTCTTAACTCCTGGATCAGAAGCCAAAACCTGGCTCAGCACGCTATTGTATTCGGTGCCCATTGACCTGTACCTTGTATTCATTAGGAATCCGCTGTTCACTGTAAAGTTTTTACAGCAGCTGCAATACTTTACCCAGTGCAGTGGAGACCTTTTAGACGCTAGGCAAACTGTAATGGAGGTGTTTGGTAGAATTTATTTTGATATATTTAAGAATACACAGTTTATTTTATATTTGAAAATGGGTCTCTAATTATAGCATAAGATCATGGAGAATACCTCAAAACTGTCTCTCAAATAACCAACAACAAATATTTAAAGTATAAAAGCCTGAAAACACATTAATTGGCTTTAGACATAAGGGGTGGGGGGAGGGGAGAAGATTGATAGCACATCCTTCAAAATAACCCCTGAAGATGGGGTCACGCTAGGGTTCTAGCACAATATGTTCTGACTCATTAAACTTATGGACTTGGTTGGAGAGACAGCCATTGCTTGTACCTTTGTTTTCAGATTCCCCTCACATGTTATGTTATGAAAATAAGCTCTGCTTGAAGTACCACAGAATACGTTCCACAGATGAATCCGTATGGAAGTACCTATACTTCTACACCTATTACATAATGTTTCTTCAAACATACTTCATGGAAGAGTGCAGGTTGGGTGATGCATAATATAGAGATATGGTAACATTACATTTTTTTCTACACTACATGAATACATATTCATTAACTATGAAGGCTTGAAAATATAAATTCTGGGGGAGGGGGAAGTGAGCATGCATCGCCTTCCTATTGTTCAATGGAACACCAGGTCTATTTAAACCTTGACACAAGCGTGACTGGATATGACCGTAAAAAGGTTGGAGACCTTCGTGTCTCCATATACGCCTTACGTGCGTTTCACAATGATCCTTTGTCCGTAATACATCTCTGAATTACAAAAGAGACCATACAAAAATACAATGCCTGTTGTGGGATAATTGGCTAGTGTACAGAAGCAAATATTGCCCGACAAAGTGTTAAATAGGATTATTGATGTATCTATGTCTCTGTCAATGTATATCTCTGCTCGTTATTGTATTACTTGTCATTTACCTTCCACGGGTGAACCCCTTCAGCGCCGAGGGAGGGGGGGGCTCTCCAAGAGCCTATAGTGCCAGGAAAACTGGTTTGTTTCCTGGCACTGTAGGATCACTTTAAGACCAAAGTGCAATTTTAAAAATCAGCTATTACAATTCTCCTGTAGTGAGTTTATATTTCATTTATAAACCTCTATTTTACATGGTTTTAGATTTACATATTTTAAAGAAAATTACTAGTAAAAACTGAATTGTCATACCGATGAAAATGGAATAAAATACATTATTTTATTAAAGTGACTGAGTGTAACATTAATTGCTGTGCAGATAAAAATCACAAGACCTAACAAAATAGATAAAAAGAATTCTCTGGCAGCAGGTTACATATACAATGCTGGCTGCAACACTGATTGCCAAAAAGGTTGGAACTTTGGCACGGTTATCGACTGTAGGAGAGTCTGTTACAGGATGGAATACTCTGTTCTGTAGACAGTTTTTTTAGCATCCTCTCCGTTGTTTTCTGCATGCGTTTGGCAGTACAGAGAGCTTGGTCCAAAACCGAATTCAACATCTGCATGATATATAAGAAAAGAAAAACAGAAACATAACATAGCTGCTTAGAATCACAACTGGACAATCTTCCTGACACAAGTGTAAGGGGACAATATTTCTTAAAAAAAAAAATAACCCATTGTGGAAACTGCAAACAACTATTGTTTTTTTTATTTCGGTTACATCTTTTACTTAATCATTGTATAAATGAAAGTGTAGACACCAACAAACCCATGAAGCAGTTCTACATACCTTACTGTCAGTGGGATCCATGTGTTTCTGCTTTATACATGACCAGCATTTACTTTGTTGAGTTACTTTATGACTGCAAGGGATTACTGGGCCAGCAAAGCGGGAGTGTCTCAAAAATGGAACATGGAAATTGTATCTGGAATTTAAAAATGTATATTTATGCAGGATTGTGTAGATCTGTTTTAAAATAACCTTCCAAGATGATACATTTTCATAATGTTCCTCTCTGCATGATAGACCTTGTGAGTAAGTCTCATATTATGTGCGTTTAAGTTTTTTCTGAATGTAATTTTGACTCTTAGGATACATTCTCATGTATGATTCAAGTATATAATTTAAAAGTGGGAGGTATGATAGATCTTTTTTTATAGTCTGAATACTGGTCTGCCGCATAATACTCTCATTTTTAATGTAGACACTGATCAGTCACAACATTGAAACCTGTCAAGTGGTGGGATATACTAGGCAGCACCCGAACAGTCAGTACTTAAAATGTATGTGTTGGAAGAAGGAAAAATGTGCAAGTGAAAAGATCTGCGTGACTTTGACGAGGGCCAAATATTGGTGGCTTGATAACTGGGTAAGAGCATCTCCAAAACTGAAATACTTTTTTTTAGTACTTACCAAAAGTGGTGCAAGAAAGGACAACCGGTGAACAGCTGTCAGGGTAATGGGCGCTCAAGGTTCATTGATGTACGTGGGGAACAAAGGCTAGCCCATCTGGTACAACATAATGCTGGCCATGATAAAAAAAGGTGCCAGAACACACAGTGCATTTCAGTTTGCTGTGTTGCCGCAGGAAGGTCAGAATGTCTGTGATTACCCCAATCATGCTTTAGAGCTGTTTGGAGAGCACGAGGGGAACCTACACAATATTAGGCAGGTGGTTGTAATATTGTGGATGATCAGTGTATAGGCATTGTGTTTCTATCTTTCTCCAAATTAAAGGGACACTATAGTCACCAGAACAGCTACAGCTTATTGCATTTGTTCTGGTGAGTAGAATCATACCCTTCAGGCCTTTTGCTGTAATCACTGTCTATTAAGAGAAAATGCAGTGTTTAAATTACAGCCTAGTGATAACTTCACTGGCCACTCCTCAGATGGCTGCTAGAGCTACTTCCTATCTTAGTCTTTCATAGTGTGCATCACAACATATCCGTATCTCCTCCCTCTGCATGAAGACACTGAACTTTCCTCATAGAGATTCATTGATTCAATGCATCTCTCTGAGGAGATGCTGATTGTCCAGGGCTCTCTTTGACTTGTGCTGGCCCTGCCCCTGATCTGCCTCTTTGTCAGTCTCAGCCAATCCTATGGGGAAGCATTGTGATTGGTTCAGAACAAGACTTCTGATGATGTCAGCAGACAGCTTGCTATTCTGAGGCAGACAGGGGCAGAACCAGCAGCTTCAGGCTTTAATACAAGTAAGATTTTACTATATTTAGGGGGCAAGAGAGGGCCAGGGGGGCTAGATGGTGGTTTTAACACTATAGGGTCAGAAATATGTTTGTGTTTCTGACCCAATAGTGCTCCTTTAAAATTTATTCACTATCACCCCTTTCCCAGTATACCCCCTCCCTCACATCATTACCCCTCCCTCCCAGTATACCCCTCCCTCACACCATGACCCCCCCACTATCACTCCCCTCCCACTATATCCACTCCCTCACACCATGACCCCTCCCCCCTCACACCATGACCCCCTCCCTCCCAATACCTCCCCCCTCACACTATGACCCCCTCCCTCCCAGTATCTCCCCCCTCACACTATGACCCCCTCCCTCCCAGTATCTCCCCTCCCTGTATCACCCCTTCCCTCACCCCATCACCCCCATCCCTTTCAGTATTACCGTTTCCCTTACACTATTACCCCTACCTTCAAGTATCCCCCCTCCCTCACACTATCACCTCCCTCCCTGCCAGTATTTCCCCATTTACAGTATTACCCTCCTCCCTCCCAGTATTCCCCCCTCCCTCCCAGTATCCACCCACTGTCCCACACACAATTACCCCACTGTCCCACACACTATCACCCCCACTGTCCCTCACAGTATCACCCCCTCCACACACACACACACAGGATCACCCCTCACACACAAACTGTCACCCTCTCACACACATAGTGTCATCCCCCTCACACACTGTAACCTTCCCTTATACACACATTCCCACACATTGTCACCATTCACAAGACTGTCATCCCCTCTCCACACTTTCAGCCCCTTCACGCATCCACACTCAAATTAACCACTCCTAATCATGTTAATCTCACCCCCTCCAAACTCACCTGCCCTCGCTCTGCCACACTCACCCTGTCAAATGAACCCTCCCTAATTCTGTCACACTCCCCCCCAACCCTGCCACACTTATACCATCACATTAATGCCTCTAATCCTGTCACACTCCCTCCTCCAACCATGCCACATTCACCCTTCACCCCAAAACTGTGATACTCACCCCACCCCAACTATGCCACACTTACCGTCACATTAACCTCTACAATCCTGTCACACTCGTCCCTCCTACCATGCCACTATTGCCCTGACACACCTCCATTTGCTCTGTCACATTCCCTCATCAAACCATATCTACTCGCCCTTCCTCATTCTCTCTCACAACCCCCCACCCTGTCGCATTTCCCTCCTTTGTCCTGTCACACAATCCCTGCCACTGGTACCCTTTACTCACTCTGTCACAGTCACCAGCTGAAGGCATACATCATACACACTTTATTATATGGTAAAAAAAAAAAAAAATTTTTAAAGCTTTTTTGCTCAAACTAAATTTTCATTTTTGTTTTCGATAACCACTTCACACCAGTACTTACACGACTGCCAAGCTAGGCAACCATACCCCACAACTGTGTATAAACGATTGGCATAATTGCAAATTAAATGTATTTATTGCAAATTAATTTTGTTTGCAAATTATGCTACAACTACAGCCAGAGAGCTCACAATGCAGGGGCAGAAGAAACCGTGACACTGCAAGCTTCTGAACAATGAATGCAGAGACTTACGCTCTGTATTCAGCTCTGCAAGCCCTCCTTTCAACATAGCGAATGCTCCTTACACACAAAATACAACACTATTATTTTATACTTTGGGTGTTAGTGGTGCCTCATGCTTGAATTTCGCATATTAAGTCTAAAGCCGCCTCTGACTGGGTGTTAAGAGCTAAGCCACACAAGTCAAAGTCTCACTTTAAATTTATTATTTTTCTATTTCAGATTTGGTGCACCCCTTCCCCATTTCTCAAAAAATAAAAAAAGTTGCTTACCTGTAATCAAATGACAATACTATTTTCTCACTGCATTCCTAGAAGATCATCACTAGTTGTAATCTCCTGGCAAATCCAATGCTTCTTGTAGAGAAGCATTGGCACACAGGGCATATTGCTCAACAATCTGTTTATGAAGAAACATAGAAACCAATGCACTTCTATGAGGAGCCCTTCTGCTTTGAAAGAGTGCTCAGTTGAGTGAAGAAGAAAAACCACCCAGCTGACTGGTTGACAGCAAGGTGGCATCAACAAGAGTGTTTTGACCTCAAGAAAGAAAAATAAGACATAGAGGGAATGCTCTTAACCTTCAAAGTACTTTAGAGGCTTGGAGTGTTCCTTTGATTTAAATTGCCTCTTAATTCCATCAATGAATGGTAATGGAAACAAGCGAACTAGAATAGTTTACCTATTCACATGTTGGTTATGGATGCTTCGTTTGTACTTTGTAAGATGCAACTTGTCTGCAATGTTTTCTTTGTTCTGTGGATATACAGGAATGCTGGAAGCCCAAGCTGATTTCTGAAGGTATAATCCTGTGTGAAAAAAACACAAAAAAAAATAGCCTTTTGATTTCAGGCCTTAGCCAACTACGAGAATATTGATAATGTTTTTTGTGCGGGTGTGGCGTCTCTTCTCTCATTAATAGAAATATGCAATTTGTTTTCTTGGAATGATGTTGTGTATGCTCTATTTTCAAGCTGACTTTACCTAAAACATAATACACTAGAACAGGGGTAGGCAACCTACGGCACTAGTGCCATGCACGGCACTCGAGGTGTCTTTGCACGGCACTCAAGGCTGCTAGAGCCAAACGCACTCTGGCCTATCAGGAGTCCCAGTAAAACTTCAGATATCTGCTAATACAAAGAGGTGGTGAAGGACAAACCTCAATTTATGCATTGCAGCACATAGAGGAAGTGATCTCAGATCACTTCCTCCCAGCACTTGTGAATGGGAATCCACATTGTAGTAGAGCAGCTATCGCAGCTTCTGTCCTTGACCAGTGCCTGGCCAGCCTGGTCCCCACTGGAACCCAGGGAACCCACCCACACTGCTAGATATACACAGAAATGTAGAATAACCCTCCCCTCATACAAATAATATGAACAGCCCACACACACACAACACACAATCCCCACAAACGCAACACCACTAACAATATACATACATGCACACAACCCCACATACAATAGCCCAAACAGCCCCCACACACTACCAAACACACAATGTGACATATCCATCCACACACAATTCCACAAGCAGCCCTCATACACAGCCCACATTCATATGTATCATACACGATACCATAAACTACTAATGAACATATTCAATATAATAGCTCATATACGCACAAATACAACGATACAAAGCAATTACAGTAACAATAACACAAGCAGAATACGGCAGCATACACACCTCAATTTAAAAAAATAGGATCAGCACGCTACGGGACATCACAATCCTATATCGGCACAGTGCTGCTAAAAAGTTGCCTACCCCTGTACTAGAACGATGACTAATAAGAGCAGACGGTTGTGGTAGACATACATATTGCACTTAAACATATTGGCTAATTGTGTGCTGCTTTTCCTATGAGGAAAAAAAATAAATCATGGGTGAATGAGAACAAAAACCAAAATAAATCATGGATGCACATAAGTACTTAAAATATAGATATAAATTAAAAGGGAAAGGAAAATCTAAGAGCAATAACAGGTGCTACTATCACCTCTGTGGGTCACTCCAACACACACAAAAAAAGTGCCAACACATATAAAGATGGTGCTGCAACACTTTTAATGAAGACATTAAGTTGAAACGCGTCAGGTGCAGGTGGACCTTTTATTCCTTTAGAGATTTTATGTTTTTTTCTTTGCTTAATAAATTTGAGTTATTTTTACCTTGTATCCTGCATCTTGGATGTATATTGGAAGAATATCTCTAACAGTAAAGGTGGGCATTAAATCCTCAACAGATAGACTGAGCCAGTTATATAAGTGTCTCACTAATATGTAAGTGGGACCATTTGTGGGTTTTATTATATGTTTTATATTGCCAATATTACCCTATGCTCTATTTTATTTGTAGGCTTTATTCCACGTTTATGGTAATTTATATACTCTTTGAGTGCTCTCAGCATCTTTATTTTTATTGTTTGCACTTAAAATATAGGTGTTAATTTTAATGGTGACTTCCTACCCTTGAAAGATCTCATACCACATCGGCTGCAGGATTTACTTCCAATAACACCAACTGGTGAGGTTCCTGAAGAGCATAGCAAAACTTGCACCTGCAATAGGCCACTTACTACCTACAAAACTATTTGTAACCAACCACCACCTCCATTATATGGAATTTCATTATTATACAGCTTGTTGAATGCCTCATGAGCCGAACATTGGTTCCCTTTTTCAAATGCTTGGAGAGATACCTGGGACACTCCTTGTCAGCTCAACAATGGTCCACCACTTTCCTCCTTGTACACAAATTGCCATCAGGTTCTCCCCTAGTCTTCAATCGTTTAAGAAGTGCCTTAAAACCCATCTCTTGAGGAAAGCTTATGGCCTCCCAGAGTAACCTCTACCTCACATACCTGTCTCTTGCGCTCTCCTAAAGGGCAGCACTCTACTCTCTTCTCCAGCTCTGCTTCACTTTCACCTTATTTGATTGCTATATCCTGTCCTATTGTGTTTTATACCCCACCTCCTATAGACTGTAAGCTTGTTTGGGCAGGGTCCTCTTCTTGTAATTGTCCTATTTATAGTTAAATCCCCCCTCTCATAATATTGTAAAGCGCTAGGGAATCTGTTGGCGCTATATAAATGGTGATAATAATAATCAGGACCAGATTCCAGGAATCTGGCAATAAAATGTTTTCTCATTGGTACAAGACCCCAGAGAGACTGTCCATTATGGGAAGCAATTGCAACCCATAGTGTTTGGTATGTGGGAAGGAGATGGGATCACTGTATCACATATAGTGAACATGCCCACTGAACCAACCTTTCTGGCAGGAAGTGGATCAGGTTCTCACCATGATTACTGATGCAAAACCTCAGAAACACACCTGTTTTATTTGACCCCAATATTGCTCGCTAGAGTAAAAAAAACAGTAGTCACACACTTGCTCAACACTGCCCATAGCCTTATTTCGTGCTACTGGAAACAAAAGGCTGTTCCGACGATCCAAGAATGGATGACTAGAGTTGAGGACATCAGACAGATAGAAGTGTTGGTTCTCTTGACGGCAGGTAGAACACAGGTATACCACGCTACCTAGTGGCTACAATGGCTATCTACAGGTGCAAACACAGGAAGCTAAGGGGATATGAGAACTATTCCATTCTAAACTGCCACTGAGAATTGGACTGGCTATGATGGCCTGGAGATAGACTGCCTTATGGAGCGGGTAAGACAATATGGCGGACACTCTGTAGGTATACATCCATACTACCTACCAAGGGGGCTTTGATGATAGGGCCTGCAGGGAGGGGGCCACTGTGGGGAACCTAACATGTGGGAGGATCTGGGGAGGAGAGAGTCCATTTTCCTCTACCCAACGTTTGTGCTGGTATTTTTTGTTTTCGTTTTTTTTTCTTATCTTTGTTCCCTTCTTTTTCTATGTCTCTCACATGCCCCTTTCCCTCCCTTTTCCCTCCTACTCCTCTTACCACATCTGCCTCATTCTCTACTTTCTCTTTTCTCTATAACTTTGTGCTTACAAAGATCCCGTCTGGGACCCTCTTCTTTCTTCCGTCCTTCTATGAGGGACTAATATACCCTTACTATACACAATAGCCCACATCTGGCTATCTAAGATCAAAGCGTATACTCTTATCATAGCCTCCCTCCTTCATCTTTGGAAGAATGGAAGGACATTACACACATTTACTGGTTTTACCAACCTTACAATCGTTTGTCCTCTTGCTACCATGTATAACTTGTTTCACGTAACCCATGTATGCTGGCTGTAATTAGCCACCTTCTTTTTTTTTTATCTATGTCAATCAATTTCTTTCTGTGACCTTTAGTAATGTCTTTCAATAAAGTTGAATGAAAAAATAAATAAAATAGAGGTGGTGGTTGAATTAAAAAACAAAATAATCAAATTGGTGCCCTGTGTATACTGTGAAACTCAAAGGGTTGATTGCTAGAGGAATTAAAACAGAGGATGTGCCAATGTAGAAACAAGCTTAAGGTTGTAGAGAGTGTGCCACAGCCACTTATTTAAACCATATATCTATGTGCAATGTACTGGAATCGAGCTGACGCAAAATGAAGAGAAGGACAATCTAGCCTTACATCAAAGTCTATCCTTTGTACAGTTTTTAATCAGGCATACTTATAATACTTAATTGGTCCCTCATACACCATAACACTCTTGTACAATGTGGTGATAGTCCAATGGTATAAATTGACATTTATGTTCAGCTGGTGCCAGACCCACAGTATGGTTTGAACCTATGTGACCTGTGGATTGTCACATTGGCGTCAAACATGATTAGTTTCCTTTTTTGACAGTCATAACTGCATGTTTTCACCTTAACCCTACACGTGACAGTATTGCTTTAAAGCAACTAAACAAATACATTTTTAAAAAAGAGTTCCCTAGAGCAATCCAACAGTAGACAGTAAAACCATTTGCAAGCAAATTGACACTTCCCTGGTTCTGTCTGGCCCCCACAATACTTCTGCTCTCAGCTAATCTGATAAAATGGAAGTTCATATTTATGCATTATATCAAATTCATACCAAGTTGAGACATTATACATTGGCTATGAGCGTCAACTGGTGGTTATAGTGCTTAGAGTGTCCCTTTAAAGCAGTGTTCTTACACTCTGGCTGACCCAAATTTTGATGGTCTACAAATCCAAGTTTCTTTGAATGCAATAGGTGGCCAAAGACTCATGGGCAGTGTAGTTCAGCAACATCTGCTGGGCCAGAGTGTGAGATGCCAGATTTACAGTATTTTTACATAAGCTGCAAAAATATTACCCTTTGTATTTGTATCAGTGTTCTTCATTCTACTACGAAATCCAGAAGAGAAGCTTCTTGTGCTGTCTGTCTCCAATGATGGTTTTGTCAAGGCTGTGGAAAGAACATTATATCAATCTGCTATTGCAATTCCAATTACTCTACCAAACCCTCTGACTCAAACAGTTATTTATTAAAGTAGGTCTTTCTCTGAATCCTTTTTCAAGGATCTCCCCCAGGTGATATGCCTGCATGCATGGTGGCATTTAGGTAAAAAAGATAAGGGAGATTTAAGTACAAGGAGCTCTGCTTATTCAGTTTTCTCATCCTCACCATCTCATCTTTTATTTACACACAGATAAAGTCACAGGCAGCTGCTACTAAACTGGGTGTTTGGAACATCCTGTGAAAATGCTGGATCTCCACAGACTTTCTATCAAATGTGGAATGAGATGTCATCAATTGTGCATCTATTCAGAAGATTTTTCCCCTAAACAGACCATATTTATAAGAAACTCTAAATAGATACATAGAATAATAACAGCACTTTTAAGGTAGAATTTCAAATTAAAAATAGAAACTGCAAAATAAAGGCTAAAATAAGAAAGCTCTCGCTATAGCTGAGTTGGTGAATGTTTCTAGAACAGCTTTATTTGCCTTAATTTTGCAACCTGTATTTCGACTTGCCACAATTTGCATCTTTGTGAGATGAATTCTGATTCTGTTGTATTTTTGTCCCCTGTGGTGGATAGGATGCTCTAACAAGGCCCCTGGCTCTCTATTAAACTATTTCCAAGCGGTGTTCCTGGTGGCTGTGGCCCAGTCCCTTGCTCGTTACTAAAGCCAATGTAGCATACAGAGGGATCCAGGGAGCTCCTGACCGGACGCTAAATGAGAAATAAAGGGATTTATTCACTAAATACTGAATTGTACTGAATTTCAAAAGTTTGACTAAACTAGCCAAGCTGTAATCGAGTTGGACAATATATTGTTGCCATTCAGATTCCAACCCTTTACAATTCACTTTTTAGTGAATAAACACCCACTCTTTAAAGTCCAGGTTGTGATCCTAAAGGAGTTAATAAGCAGGTTAGTGAGAGGATGTTAGCGTCTCACTCACAAGGTCCACTCCAGATAGACTGAAGTAAATCAGAAAGTGCTTTCTTCTACATTGTAAACTACATAGTCACATGCAGTAGCCAAGTACAGATTGTACCGTGGATAGAAGCTCCGCTCTGGTGGTACAACACATATTTCAAGGATGTATGAAGAATTCTTATATACTTACAAGTAGTGAAAGAATGTCTCCCGAATGCGCAGGGACTGACTGGATCATTGTAGTCTTCAAGCTGTAAATACTTATATCTGTTGGACTTGTAGTTCTGCCCTGCAGTATTGAAATGAGACAAAATGAACATTCTCAGTGTTTAATAAGAGTACAGGGATTCTTAGTTATTCAAGCAGAATGTGCCAAGCGTTCCATGTAATTATCAACAGGTTGTTTGTTTCTGATATTCTGTTTACATCATTGTTACATGTTTCTTTCTCTCTATTTTGAAGACATCATCACCCCTTCTGCAGTCCGATAAATGCAGCCCCTTATTGGTTACTCGAATATAGTGGAATCATGCCCCAAAAAATACAGATTTGCATGTTTTATATCATCATCCTATATCTATGTTTTGTATTGGTTGTTTTTTCCTATGGTTTTCAATAGTTGTGGATCCCATACTGCCCAATATTTCAAATTGACAAAGAGGGACACTTTAATTTTAGGGGTGTGTCCATGGGCAGGGTAGTTCTGAGAAATTTTAGGTGATTTCTAAACACATTTATTGTAGTTTAAAGACACATTACTCTTTGAGTGTTTAAAGAGCTCCACAGAATAATACAAACACAGCAACAATATGGAACTCCTAGAAAAGAGGGACATTAGGATAGAAAAAGGGACAGAGGGACTTGGACAATAATAGGGACTGTTCCTCCTAAAAAGGGACACTTGGGAGCTCTGATATCCCAGAGACAGTCCAGGCTCTGTTTGTTTCTTGGGATTTCTGATCAGCGGCTGCAGGTTCAACAGAGATTCTACAAGGTGTTCTAAATTTTGTAAAACAATAAATTCCACTTGCCTTTACTTAAATTATTTTCTTTCCTGAGTCTCGGGCTACTTTGCTCTGACACACTGGAAAATGATGACATCAACCAATCAGAACTACAGGAATCCTTCATTCCTTTACCTAGATCATTAAATAGTAAAATAAAGAAAATTAAAAACTTGCTGTTTACATATTTGATCAAGCAAACATATTTGAAGATCATTATAAAAAAAGGTAATTGACCTGTATATCTTAGGTTACGACAGGTGCTGAAAAGTGTCAATGTCTATCTGACAAAGAGGATTGTTTTATAAAAGCCAATGTGACACATTACAAAGGTTTTACTTCCTACTAATTCCAGCTGTTTAACGAACCTTTTGCCATTGACATCTCTCCCGCTAGCCTGTTCTACTTATTGTCTTAAAGGGACACTATAGTCACCAGAATAACTACAGCTTAATGTAGTTGTTCTGGTGAGTATAATAGTTCCATTCTGGCATTTTTAATGCAAACACTGCCTTTTCAGAGAAAAGGCAGTGTTTACATTGCCTCTAGGGACACTTCCAAGTGGCCACCCCTTAGGTGGCCACTGGAGGAGCCTCCTGGGTCAGTGCTGCCGAAAAAGCAGCCCTGACGTTCAGCGTCCTTATGCTCTGCATGGAGACGCTGAATTTTCCTCGTAGAGATACATTGATTCAATGCATCTCTATGAGAAGATCCTGATTGGCCAAAACGGCATTTGGGCCTGCCCCTGTGACGATTTTAGTCAATATGGGAAAGCATTGGATTGGCTAAAAATCGGTCATTTTGATGATGTCACAAAGGGGGCGGAGACAGCGCCGGTGGACCTGCGCGGCGCTGGAAATAAGGTGAGTTTTAAACTTTTATAGGGGAGATAGGGGGGAAAGACACCTTAATGGTGGGTTAAACACTATAGGGTCAGGAATACATGTTTGTGTTCCTGACCCTTTAGTGTTCCTTTAACTCACCTACTAAGTGAATGGTTGCAAAACATTCCATTGTGACGTTAGTAATTACCTAAAATATAATCAGCTCATGGCTCAGAGTAAGAGCATAGACAACGTTGGATATATTTTTGGAGGTAATTTGTTACATACGGTCAGGAAAATCAAGGTCCACTGTTTTCTCTTGAATGAGGAAGGACAGCCTCCCATGATTTGAAAGTATTTTCTCTGGTTTGTGTGCTTCATATTTCTCATACCTGCTGCGGGTAAAATGGATTTAAACATAGTTTACATGGAGATTTAGCTTCAGAAACTACAAGTACAAAAAAAAAAACCAACAACTTGTGAAACCAACGGATATTATTTGTTGTTAGAATGGCTGGGCTTAACACAAGTTAAAAACTGTGTAAATGTAGGCCGTGGCTCCCCATTGATTGGAGGCCCCAAGTGACACTTCCCAATAAATTGTTTATTGTAGCATCACTGCTATTTCAAGTGCAATGGCAAACCCTCTAACAATGAGAAGAGTTCTAATGAACGCGATTTTTACAATTTATTTTATTATATAAAAATGTGAAAATGAGCCCAAAGCTCATTTTACAGTTGAAGACTGGGGTTCTAAGTCAATATGTTGGACATTAACCAACATTCTTGTTAAAAGAATGCTGGGGGCACACCACTAACCAATAGGATACGTTTAAAAATAAAAAGTGTAAATGAAAGATAATATTTCCAGATTTTTCCTTATAAAAATAAATGGAAAGGCATTCTAGTAAATAATATAACAAAATCATAAATCGGCAATATAAAAATGCAAATCAAATTAGGTTAGCTGTTATTGAAGTGTTATAAAATAATATAAAAAGCAGGGGTTCCCAACCCAGTCCCCAACTACCCCCGACCAGTCCAGAATTTAGGGATTACCCTGTTGTGTCTAAAGCTTTCTTTCTTTCTCTTAGACACAACTTAATCCCTAAATCCTGGATTGATATAAAGGACTTTTACAGCATTTCAGTATTTGACCATTAGAGGTCAGTATTTGAACACAGGTGCATTGTTGGCAAGCTTTTCTACCTCTTATAAGAGTCGGTTTTGCTATAGTAAACTAAATGTAAAAAAAGTGCAGCTGTGATTTCATCCTCTTACTTTCCTTGTATTTCTTGCACAAAAGGCACAGTTTGCTACTAAAAAGCACAAATGTTCTGCACAGTCAAAAACTAGCTGAATTAGTGAAAGTTCAACGCACAATCTCTTACAGCTTAGAATTGTAGGAAATCTCCAGGATCGTTTGACAACACAACTGTTAGACCAGTGTGCTCAGCACGTGTCATGTCTGATAATACAAAGTGAGAAAGTGAGATGTTCATCCTTATTTTCTCTTACACTATGCATCTGTGTGTACATTTGTCAGTGTATGCGTGTGTTAAGGTGTGTGTGTGTATGTGTCGGTGTCTATTATGAATTTGTGTGTATGTATATTTGTGTAAGTCTGTATGTATGTGGTAGTGTATGTGCATCCATCCAAGCAGTCATACTCCGGCACAACATCCATACATGTTTCTGCAATCTAACACAAATATTACATACAAACCCACACCTGCATTCAGACTCCAAAAGAATATACGAACACACCCCTTCAAACACAAATACTTCACCCAAATGTACATCTGCATTTAAAAGTGAACATTACATTTAAACACACTCCTGTACTGTAATCAAACGAAAACATTACATAAAACACACCCCTGTATTAAAACACTAAAACTATACACAAGCACCCCTTCAAATGCCAACACTGTACATTACACTATAGTGCCAGTAAATGCCGCAGCGCTGTACAGATATACAACCTAGACATTTAGACTTGAACCTAAAAAGTTTGGGAACCACTGGTCTAGAGAACCCACTATACCATTGTGCGCAGTCTAATGCAGAGCAACCATTTGTCACACAATATATAACAACAACCCTATATTGCCATGGCTAAAATAATCCATGCACCTTTCATAAAAATGTAATGGACAAAGCTAAAAAAAAAAAAGATTTATCATGATAAAGGCTGGGCAAAAATGCATTGCTTAAGAAAAGAAGCCTAAATTGCATGTAAAGTCCATGAGGCCTTTACTACTGTAACATACTTACCTGTTCCTGGCACCCACACTGCTCCCCTCCTCAGGTCGTGCGGCCCGAATAGGGAGATATTCATACTTATTTGGTCCGTGAACAGCACCCTCTGCTGGTTTGCGCCAGCCGAAATCCTCGTACCCGATTTCTTCCCTGCAACATAATAGACTCTGCCTGTTTGAATGGCGCGTCTTTTATAAATTCAAATGCTGTGATGTCATGCTCACCCTTAAAGTGACCAGATCATCCAGGTGACCCTGTTATGGAACATTTTAGAATAGCAGAGATGACGTGGACTAATCAGTAACATTGTTAGCCTATATAATCGTAATTTAGACCCTCGTTCTTTGCCCTATCGTGGTTTATGGCTTGATACATGTTTGTGCTCATAGTTAGTCTATCCTTATAGATATTCTGATACTGACTTTGGCTTGTATTTGACTTTGTATATTTCTGGTATCATGACCCGGCTTATTATTCTGTTTATCCATATTTCTATATTCCTGATCTTGTCTATTCCCGACTCAGTCTTTATCTTTCTTACATTAAATCCAGCCACTCTAAGGCCCGGTAATACATCTATGTAGTACCTATGTTTGTAGGATTTACCATTCCTGTAAGTTAGGGTACAATCCTGTAGCAGCTACCAAGTCTAAATCACATTTAAAATACTCTCTACGTGTGTATGGATTTAAAACAGCTCTTGCACCCCTCCCCCTCTACACCCCAAAGATATAAGATATGAAATGCTTCTAAAGACTGTGTTGGAGTTTCATTGAAATTCCAACACAGTCAAAACATACCATGAGACAAAGTAGTGACTACTTTGTTTTAAGATAAATCCTCAAATTGACAAAACTTGACACAAGGTGGAGCTACCTCCATCAAGTCTTGTCACTTCTCTTAGTCATCGCAAGTGACTACTGTAATAATAAGGCATGATCTTGCTAATCAAGAGAGAATATCTATGGAGGCTTCCATGACCTCATAAGTGTACTCTTGTAATGTGAGAGCACTGCATTGATGTGAGCCTCTGGTGGCTGAATCAGGTAAGTATAACTCAACCTGCTGGGCCAATGCACGAAAATATGCAAAGATCTCAGAAGGTGACAGAGGCACTTTAAAGAAAAATAAGAATGGAAAATGTAAAGTTTCTGCTTTTTTCAAATTATTATTATTATTATTTATATGGTAAAACAAATATTGCAGCGTTGTTCAAATCACCGTTAATTAGTCTGCAAAAAACAATATTGTAAAAGTCCCTTAACCCTTTAAGGACCAAACTTCTGGAATAAAAGGGAATCATGACATGTCACACGTCATGTGTCCTTAAGGGGTTAAATCATCTCCCTCATTGTACAGCACAATTCTTTGCACCGTTGAAAAGTGATTACTACATTTTTAATACCTGTTTAGAGAAAAGGAACTTCTCCCATTTTCTTGCCATGACTTCCCTGCAGTCCGATGGGATATCTCTTTTGGATTCTCAGCCAAATGCCACTCAGTAAAATGTTCCTTAAACAAATAAGGATCTAAAAAGATTTCTTCATTGACATTTAACGAGTTTTTGTCCTCAATATGAGTAAACTTTAATTCCAAAGGATTATTGTTCCCTGATAGCTGATCTGAGCTAAAAGACAAAATCAATAAATATTAGAAAAAAAAATTCTAGAAAAGAAAATGCAGTACATTGACGTTGTGGCATGCTTATGCAATATATGATCATATAATGTAACTAAACCCTCATTATTATTGTTTGCCTAGGTGAGGCGTTTTTAAATAAAACTATTACAATCTGTGAGATTTGAAACCATGGTTTAGTCAATAAGCGAGTGCGCTGGATTCTGTATTTTGTATATTTACAATGCTTTCCTATGGACGCTTGCGTGCTCTCACTGTGATTTTCACAGTGAGAAGCACGCAAGCGCCTCTAGTGGCTGTCAGTGAGACAGCCACTAGAGGCTCTGGAGGCTGGATTAACCCTCAGTATAAACATAGCAGTTTCTCTGAAACTGCTATGTTTATAAAAAAAAGGGTTAATCCTAGAGGGACCTGGCACCCAGACCACTTCATAAAGCTGAAGTGGTCTGGGTGCCTAGAGTGGTCCTTTAAATTTCAAATAAAGAACTTCTTACCCCCTTTCTTACTCCCCCTCTCTTCCCCCCTCCCCTTTCTTACTCCCTTCTTACCCCTACTCCCTCTCCTCTTTCTTCCCCCTTACTCCCCTTCCTCTACTCTCCCCTCTTTCTACCACCTCCTCTTTCTTACTTCCTTCTCCCTCCCCTTTCCTCCCCTCTTCTTTACTTCCTCTCTCTTACTTCCCTCTACCTTTCTACTCTTCTTACCCCCTTTTCTTACTTCCCCCTTACCCTCCTCTTTTCTACTTCTCCCCCTTTCTTACTCCCTCCTCTTTCTTCTCCCCTCCCTCATACCTCCCCTCTATTTACCTCTTTTGGTAGTTGTTCGCGGTGTCACGCCAGTGCTCAGAAACAGAAACTCCTGTTCCGCGCAGAACAGGAGTTTCTGTTTCCTGTACCCGGTCGGACTGACAGGAAGGTGCACACTGAGCGTGCACCTTCCTATCACTCCGGCCAGCCACCGCGGACAGCAGAGCAGCTCGGCCACGCTACAGGGAGGTGAGAACCAACTGCAGCCACCTGAGCGCTCTTGACAGAGCGCTCAGGCGGCTGCAGTATTTAAAGGGCCGGCGTATAACACGCACCCACAATTTCTCCCCTATTTTCAGGGAGAAAAAGTGCGTGTTATACGCCGATAAATACGGTATTTCCCAAGTAACTGGATTAATCTCATAAGGGCAAGCATTAGGCTGCTAGAGTAGGACCTGCCAAGAATGGGGTACACTGACATTGTAGCAGGCTTATGCAATGTATGATCATATACTTGCGACCCGGACAGGAGCAGGAACGATTGAGCCATGAGTGGCTCGTTTGGAGGCAGGAGTTCTTGATCTGCGTGAATCCAGGCCAGCACGGGGATCAGGTGAGTAATGTTACAATAGCTAACTATAACAAAAAAGTACATATTGCGCCTAACATGTTACAGACAAATGTGCTAAGGAACTGCCTTGGAATGGCTTACCTCTGTGAAATGGCCTCCTGTTTGAATTCTGGATTAACAGTTTTTGTTGAAGTTTCTGTGTGTTTGATCCCACGCGGTTTAAGAGAGAGATCTGAAGGCTATTGTTAAAAAAAAATCAAAAGACTGAAATTAACCAAACTATATACATGCAAGAAAATGATCATGTTTTCAAGATCTATAGATGATAATTTGTATATTCGAATTGAATTAACAGTAATCCCGAAATGCTATGTGCTGTTATTTTACCAGTAAATGTGTGTAATCAATAGATTCTTGAAGATGTACAGGGTCTTGCTCACATATCTGCTTTTCTGGTACAGAAGTCTTGTTTGGTGAACTAAAAGCAAAACAACATTAAATGGTTTACTTTTCTGTTTTATCAAAGAAAATGCATAATAAACGTTTGTTTGTTTTGAACTAAATTCTACATACTCATCAAAAGAAGTGTCTTGCAAAGTGCCGTAGTTTAACGTGCGGTAGTGTAAGAGCATTACTGTTTTTTGGCTCTGAATTTCCTGCCTCACTGCTTTTACCCACTTCATTTTCTCTCTAATACATGTCAAAACTTTTTCTTTTCTGTTCAGTTTGTTCCCCTCCTTTTTTGACCATTCTCCTGCCTTTTGTCTTTTGTTTCCTTGTTGTATTGCGGTTTGTTTCCTTGTTTTTTCCCTCTACTTGTTGACACTTGTTTCATTGTTTCCTATATTCTGTTTAAACAAGAGGCACTCTAAGCCCCATAACCACTACAGTGCATTGTAATTGTAATAGTGCACATACCAAGTTTGGGCACGATTCATTGGTTGAGAGTATCAGCTAATGGCTCTCAACCAAACATACTGTCTACTTATAGTGTGAGTTTGTATTTTCATGCAAAAGTATGAATTTTTGCTTTACACTATCAACACACACTGGAGTGACCAATGGCACCCGAAAAAGCAAGGTAAGTGGCAAAAAAGCAAGGTAAGTGGCAAACTGTTCCAAAACAGTTTCACATATTACTGTCAGATGGCACCTAGGAACTCCAGTCACCATGGCCCAGTAGTGGTTATGGTGCTTAGAGTATCATTTTAATAAATATTTAAAGAGCATTGCAAATGAGAATTACTGCAAGTAGAAAGTATTACAGGTGGATAAGGAAACGAAATAAGAACAACACACACAAGTTGTGATATGAATTTAAGGGACCCTAGTTAAAAATCAAGATATTTTTAAGTAGACATTTTAATTATTTTTAGACTACTGGATTCCACAAATAAATTAATACATTTAAAAAAACACTATTGAACTCACCTGCAATCTACCACCAATATAGATTCCTCATTGCCGCTCAACCCTTCCCCAAGGTTTGTCCAATCAGATGTTGCATTGCTAGGTGTTGAAATTGGAAAATGTAAACAATGATGTTTCACAGAGATGACAAAGATTTGATTTGTAAGGATGTAGAGACAGTATCTAGGCCCAAAATCACTTCATTAACATGCAAGCATCTTTCGTGCTTACAATGTCCTGTTAAAAGAAATTGCATGTGGAGTCTCTTTAGTCGCCATGTATAATATAATAGAATCATATGTTATTTGTAAAGACTATTGGGAATTTTGCCAGGCAGGGATTGTAAATATATAAAACCTTGGGAGTGTTTTACAATTGGCAAGATGGTTTAGTAACTCTATGATATTAACCATATTTAATGCATTCATTGAGGAAAATAGCTGATATTTGGGGAAACCTTTTGGAAATTGTTTTGTTAATGGAACCAGAATGGAAGAGGGGAAAAAATACTACAGATATGCATATCACAACAACAACTTTAACCCCTTAAGGACACATGACATGTGTGACATGTCATGATTCCCTTTTATTCCAGAAGTTTGGTCCTTAAGGGGTTAAACACTCTATAAAACAGATTCACGACTTGTTTCAACCAATGCACAATTCAAGGGAAAGAAATACAAGGAACACATACTATTTTATTATACTTTCTTCAGCCGTTATTAACATGACATTAATTGCCGGGGGGAAAAAACACACACACATACAGCATTCCATGTATTGCAGCCCTATTGCAGCCCTGATATCGATGTGTTTGTTGCACTTTGTGTTGGAAATGGAATACCAGTCCCGCCAGCAAGTAGCCACGGCTATACAATATGTGCAGGAGGAAGGGGGAATGGACTTACTTTGAGTAAGGCTGTAAGTTAAGAGTTTCAACCTTTCCGCTTGCATCAACCAACTGACTGTCTCTGCTGTGCGCTGCCAGTAGGGCAAAAACATCCTCCGTCTTCTTTTTGTAACCATTCATTAAAAAAACAAAACATACGTACATTAATAGACTTTCAATGTGATGTTAAAGAGAAGTAATGCAGATTTTTTTTCGATTTTTTTTAATAGCGACTTTAATTCTGTTGATAGCATTAGCCAGGGGACTAATTAAAATTACTTCAGTAGCCCATTCTTTAACTGTTACATATAATATAGCGAATGTAATTCTGCAAAACATATTTATTAGATTATGCCCAGGATCAGAGAGATCTCCAATACATGTCTGAACACAGTGCTGCTACAGAAATAAATTAATGCAGGCCGATCCCTGGGCCATGGTCAGTGGTGTATTTTGGATTTGTGCTGCCCTAGGCACGGCTAAATTTGGGCACCCCCAAAATCTAAATTTGCCCCCCCCCCCAATTCGTGTGAAAGCCACTTTTTTGACTGACAGACACATGCCCTCATTGATACATGCACTGATATACACTCACTGACAGATACGCAGTTATTGGCACACACATACAGTCATTGGCATACACTGTTTAACCAACACACACTTTCACTGATAGACACACACTGACACACCCACTCACTGACAGGCACACACGTTTAGATACACATAAAATGACATACACACACTGACACACCCATTCTCACAGAAAGACACACACACACTTTAACTCACTCACAGACACACACTGACAGCTACACTCACTCACAGTAAGGTGGACAGCCCCAGAACACGAGGCAAACAAGGCATTTGTCTGGAAGCTTGGGGTGGCATTTTATGATGCCCCCCCCCGAAAGTGCCGCCCTAGGAAAATGTCTTGTTTGCCTTGTGGTAAATACATCCCTGGTGAATATTATGTATGTTTTTCAACCTTTGGGTGCCCACTGAAAGTGCATCAGGGCAGATTTTGGGTCCCAACTCAAAGGTTAAAGGGACCAGAACAACTACAGCTTATTGAATTTGTTCTGGAGAGTAGAATCATTACCTTCAGGCTTTTTGCTGTAAACACTGTCTTTTCAAAAAATGCAGTGTTTACATTACAGCCTAGTGATAACTTCACTGGCCACTCCTCAGATGGCTGTTAGAGATCCTTCATGGGTCATGGCTGCCTAAAATGCATCCAAACATTCAGTGTCTGCTCCCTCTGCATGCAGACACTGAACTTTCCTCATAGAGATTTATTGATTCAATTCATCTCTCTGAGGAGATTCTGATTGGCCAGGGCTGTGTTTGAATCATGCTGGCTCTGCCCCCGATCTGCCTCTTTGTCAGTCTCAGCCTATTCCTATAGGGAAGCACTGCCAATCTTATAGGGAAGCACTGTGATTGGATCAGGCTACGGTGCTACCACTTCTGATGTCAGCAGACTGCTTGTTTTTCTGAGTCTAACAGCATGCAGAGTTACAGCTTCTGGCTTGAATACAGTAAGATTTTGCTATATTTATGGAGGCATGAGGGGCCCAGGGGGGCTAAATGGTGGTGTTAACACTATAGGGTCAGGAATTCATGTTTGTGTTCCTGACCCTATAGTGATCCTTTAAGAACCAATATGTTAATTAGAATTAACAAGACCACAATAGGCACTCAGACCACTTCAGCTTAATGAAGTGGTCTGCGTGCCAGGTCCATCTAGGATTAACCCTTTCTGCTGTAAACATAGCAGTTTCAGAGAAACTGCTATCTTTACCTATGGGTTAATCCAGCCTCTAGTGGCTGTCTCATCGACAGGCACTAGAGGCGCTTCCGCGCTTCTCACTGTGATTTTCACAGTGAGAAGACGCCAGCGTCCATAGGAAAGCATTGAGAATGCTGTCCTATGGACTGGCTGAATGTGCGCACGGCTCTTGCGGCGCATGAGCATTCAGCCGATGACAGCGAAAAGGAGGAGGAGAGTTCCCTGCGCCGAGGGAGCCCGGCAGGGGAAAACAGGTAAGATTTAACCCCTTCCACCCCCTAGAGCCCGGCGGGATGGGGACCCTAAGGGTGGGGGGGACCTAGAGACCCTATAGTGCCAGGAAAACGAGTATGTTTTCCTGGCACTATAGTGGTCCTTTAAACTAGTTCCAAGGCTGCTAAAACATAGCTGGATGCAATTATTCCTGGTCCCATTTACTACAGTTATTTGTGAGACCTACACAAACCCAAATTAAAATTCTAGAATGCCATTTTACTGAACCATCAATGACACCACATGTATTCATTAGCTGCCAATATACCCTGCTCAGTTCTGACAGAGCTATGCAAGGATGTAATCTATAACTTAAAACACAGTAGGTCACAATATTATGTGAGTAGACACAGGATGACCCATATATGTGTTTATTGTCATCAATACCACCTATTGTGTTATTGTGTCATCAACAGCACAAGGTAAAGCTAGACCCTGTGTATATTGCTTTACGTCCTCGTAGGAGATAAGAACTATATTGCCACATATATAACAAGCATTTCATTATGTTATAGAGGTATATATAAGCCTATAGCTGTGCTCAATGGAATGATTACTGCAGGCTCTCACACCTAAGAGAGGACCACAGACTCTGAATTATATGCGTGAATCTTGTTCGTAGAAACAGTAAAACTACACAATTAAATTGATTTCTTGACACATTTTTCTTCCTCTTTTTCCTTCTTGAAAAATGATGACCGATTCATTTTTTACCTAGAGACTGTAGTTGTAGAATCGACTAAATCGTCTTTTACCTCGGTGCGTGGAGTTGAAAATGTGTCACGTGTGTTGACTGGAGATAGCGTGCACAGAGCCTGGCTCCTTTCTTTTTCATTTATTTGGTCCTGAAGATCTTCCAATAACATCCCCAGTTTGAAAATCTGCCCGGCCACCTGTCTGAAGCACAACTGGGTTGTAAACACCATTTAATTTCAGATATTTAATAATTACTTAATCAATCTAATGTTTCTTAAGTACAGACTATACAAGGGAAAATAAAACTCAAAAAGGCTGCTTGTACCATTTTCATGCACGGCAAAAAAAAAAAAATCATTATTCTTTGAGACATGCTAATCTCAAAAATGTATTTGCCTTGTAACAAATCTCTAAAATTCCAATAAAAAATATAATCAGATATATTGGAATTACATATGTTTTCAATAAAAGTATATAAGATAAAATAGGGACTATGTAAACTTGTGTAAATGGTAAACATGACGAATTCATACAATTCATAAATTTCCATCTGTTTTGCTTTTCCATGTGCAAGAAAATCTGTATTCCTGAAATTTCGATACATCTAGATGGACCCGTATTTTGTAATCTCATGCGGGTAATTACAAAGGTGATGTGGCCCCTGGCAGCTTTCAACTGTCTGAAGTTGAGGAAAGAAGATCCTGAACAATGAAAACTTCAAGTGAGCATATCACCTCTCTCATGACACCCTTTTCTCACCAGATGCCACCATCGGGGGACATGAAACTTAGAAGCAATCTTTCAGAAAAAATGTGGAGGCTCCATAAGTCTCCATAAGTAAACATATGTCACCTGCAAGTAAGGGTCAAGTCCTAGAAATATTAGTGTAGGAACTCATAAAGATCGAACCCCACCAGTGTAATCCCACCATGTAATCCCAAAAGATTACACCACCATTTTAATTTAGCTTTAATTTTAAGGCATAATAAAAGGGGCCAGTCATGCTGAATCAAGGGGTAGTTTACCATTCCGTTTACTAGCATTTGGATACAATGAAGATGTTCTCCTCACGCTTCAATATCATTTGATTATTCTTAATTACAATGTCTTTAATTTGAATATTTTACTTTAACGAGAGGTAGGGGTCATCTATGGTATTTTTATCTATGGGTCACGATTCCTAAACTTTGCCATATCATAAAACGATAGATTAATTAACAGATACATCTACTGTGTAACATTAATAACAGCTCACACCTCTCAGTATCAAACTCTCCAACTATTTGGGAGTCTGTCCTGTAGACCTGAAGCTGCAAATTCCGATGCTTCTCTTTTGTGGACAGGTAATTCCGTTCTAGGGTTTCCAAGCAGGACTTCAAGTTCTGGAATATCTACAAGACAGAGGTGATGACATATTAGTGAATTTATGGGATTTCAACCAATTTTGTAAATTATAAAAATGTCAAAACGTCATGGGATTTATTCACTTAATGTTTAGGTTGTAATGCATTGAAACCCTAACTGCAAAATGTAGTGAACAATAGCTCATTTGAAAATATTCTACAACTCATCAATAGGCACAAAGTGGCTATTTTAGCCTAAATTTTGCAAATCAGTATTTCATTCATTACAAAATGACTGTTTCATGAATAAACCTCCACGTGTTTCTATATGCAGACATGCTTTATCTACTGTAGGAATATTATCATTATCACAAAACACAATGTTTTTTTGCCAGGCTAAATGGTCAGGCAGATTAAAACCATGCAGAATCATGTAAGAATACAAATCGCTTTAAACACAGAATTTCATAGAACAAACAAATGAAACTTGAGTTGTGCAAAACTATTTCTTATGTGCTATCTTCTATTTCCCCATAAACAACTGACTGATTCAAAGGGTTAATCAAGAAGGACATAACAAATCGTCTCTCATCCTAATCATTCACTCTTTGAGCATGAAGGTTAAAGGACCACTATAGTCACCCAGACCACTTCAGCTCAATGAAGTGGTCTGGGTGCCAGGTCCCCCAGGTTTTAACCCCGCAGCTGTAACATGTCAGGAAGACAGCCACTAGAGGGGCTTCCCCGGCGCTGAATGTGAAAATCACATTGAGCATGCAGAACGTCCATAGGAAAGCATTGAGGCTCCATTAGGCTCTACTCTGGAGCTGACGTCAAAGGGGGAGGAGAGGTCAACAGCGCCTGGAATTTCAGGTGAGTCAAAATTATTGTATTCCTATTTTTTGCAGTGTTTGGCAGGAGGAGGCCAAAAAATTTACTTTTTGCATTTTTTTGTTTGTTTGTTTTTCTAAAGTTAGAATGACTTTATACTTAAACAGAATTTGACTCAAACATTTAAAAATAGATATGTAATGACTGTAAGGCCTGCTTCTGTCTTGATCCTCAATAAATTGCAATTACGCTAATAATCCTACTATGTGTATATTTCGTTGTTCTTGATCCATAATTGTAGCCTGAAATTATCAAGTTATTTTAAAAACAGCCTAGGGACATTGTCATATTTAACTCTAAATAGAAATAAAGAAGAGCATTGTCACATAGAACAAAGCACTGGAAATGGAGGTATTGTTTAGGAATGCACAGCATCACAACATGCAGCAGGTCAGATGGAGAGTGATTACCAGGTGCTGCTCCTTCACAGGTAATGAATCCTTAATTAGACAATCTGAAAAGTTTTCAACCTAGGAGAGGAAACCAATTCATTTCTATGTAAATGGTTATGTACATGAAAGTCGAGATAACCAATAAATATCTGCCAACTGACTTCAGCACAAAAGAAATAAACTGAAACAAAAAGTTTAAATAAGTAAAAAATTGCTTATGTTCGCCACACAGAGGAGACATTTGTTAAGCTCTGGAAAGCTCAGAAATCGTGTAAATAACTGAGAGATCATTGCCCACGCATGTCCCTTTCTCCCTTTTTTCTTCAACCCCAATATGTTTGTATTTACTTTATTTATTTTTTATTCTTCATTACATTTGTGAATGTCTGTCGGTCTGACATAGTGATTTGGCAAATCTGTCGTTGAACTGGGCTGGCTTGGTTTCCTAGATACTGTGTCAGTAGCAACGCCCCCTTGTAACAACATCTATGCTCAGCACACAGTGTGGCTCAAATCATGTCAGCTATTCCTGACTCACTGTTACACAGTGTGCACATAGTTAAAACAGCAAGATACTGATAGACTCCTTATCACCTTTGCAGATGGCAATATAATTAACCTGCAACCAAGAAGTAGCAGACATGGTTAACAGCATCAGCACAGATTAAAATACATTGAAATCAGAATCAGATCAGTCCTCAGAGTCACAGCTCCAGTCCTATAGCTTGAAGCTTCACAACTTTTCAATTAGCCACAGCATGAGTGTCTCGGGTCTCAGCTGTAGAGTGACTGAGCACTTTATAGAAGATGGTGTGTAAGTGCAGTAAGAGTTATTAAGCACAGTGCTCTGTATCAGAAATGTTCCCCTCCCCTTGTCACCCGTGGGCTTCCCTGGCTTTATTGCTTAATCAGCCCCCAGGCAGACACTAGGGCTATTGGGGAGAGAAAAAGATCAAATTAAACACTTACATTTGGCAAGGGACATGAGCTGCTGCTACTTCCAAGATGGCTTCTTGCTACTCTCTCCTGTGGGTACTGTAACCCCACCCCCTGAGTACAGAAGCCCATGGCATGCCTACCCTCATGAGCAGGTGACTCTGCTGTCCGAATGGAAAGTTCAATGGAAATTCCTGAAAATCCTTCTTAAAGGAGACCTGGCATGTGCAAAACTGTCATGGATAGCTACAACCCAAAACGCAGAGCTTAAGTAATACAAATACAATTAAACAGAGAAAAGCATATTACAGAGCCTTAGAGTGGCTGAACTGAATGTTAAACACAATAGTACAAGACTAGCCAAGGTCTAGGACAGGCATAGGCAACCTCTGGCACTCCAGATGTTGTGGACTACCTCCCCCATAATTCTCTTACACCCATAATGCTGGCAAAGCCTCATGGGAGGTGTAGTCCAAAACATCTGGAGCGCCGAAGGTTGCCTATGCCTGGTCTAGGATGTCAGAAGGTAAAATAGTCAATGTAATGCCAAGGTCAGATACGCAAGCGATAAACAAGAATATACACGCTCTTAGATTAACCAAACAATGGGAAACCACCACAGGGTACAATCCAATTATAACATTCAGTTTAAACAGCGCTAGGAGGGTAAAGTTTGGTCAAAATTGATTTGCCATGCCTTGATGCTCTCAAGAAAGTTTCGCCAAACAGCTAGCAATCAGGAGGGAGGTGCCCTACAGAACGGAAACCTAGTACAGAATTAAAAAGACAAAAAAAAATTCCCATATTTTTTGGGCTTACCACCTTCCCTCCAGAAAAAGAATCTTAGTGTTTCTAAACTACTGCATATAATTTTTTTGCTTGTGATGCATATTCTCAGTTTCTTGCCCGGGCCCTTACATGTGACACCTATAATACCATTACTATACCTCCAGAACGTATTTTTTTAAAGATGTTTAATCGTTCTGGAGCTTTAGTTTTTTGAGTTTTTTTTCACAAAAATGAGCATAAGTCATCCCAAGTTTATCTCTTTTAAAGTGGTAACAGTCTAGGATATTATCACATAACACCAGTTTCAATATAGACATACATTTATTCACGATTAGGTTGTAAGTAATAACGCCTGTTAAAAAACAGTGAAAGTATGCGCTTATGTTCTTTATGCACAACAAAAATAAAGAATTATAAAAACTATTTTTTAAAATACTGAAAGATGAGATGTCATGTGTCTGTGGAAGAGAAAGAACCTGACAGCAAATTAACTAGCTAATAAAAGACACTGATCTCTCTGTGCTAGAGATAACATATGTCTAGTACTGAAATTGCAATTTTTCCATTAATGTCTATGGGAACATTGCTTTTCAATCAGCAAAGATAACAAATGTCCATATAATCCAACTCCCTGTTGCCTTCTTATTATTATTATTTTTATACTAAACTGCTATTTACGCACTCGGCTAGTAAAATGTATACGTATATTTTTATTACTTTAACTTTTATCTGCTGGGCTTGTTCCTCTAACATTTCAGACATCCTTTCTCCTTCCGTTGTACCCTGTGTGTGAACAGCATTCAAAGATACATCGGTCACTTTCGGACAAAATAAATTAGCGCCGTGAAAAGTAGCTCCTGCAAAGAACAAATGTCATAACATTATCAACTGTCAATTATTGCAATAATACAATGTATATTGGTAAACTCAGTTATATATTGTAGTGTTGTGATGGATGGCGTAGCTCAGGCTCCTTATAGGCTTGTGACTTTGTGGGTGTATTGGCAGACAGCAGTAATAGTGATATCACTGCAGACACTCAATTCTATCACACAACCCAGAATAATGAGGCTGTGTAACTGAACAAGGGACCCAGAGCTAGTTTGAAAACCTGTACCAGCCAGACACAAACTTGGGATACAAAGTGCTCAGTTGGCTCCGGACTGACACCACCTATGAATGGTGTGTTGTAGAAAAAAACTGGTAAAGGAGAACAGAAAATGTAAGAAGGCTGGTGGGAAAAAAATGAATTTTGCTAGCTGCTAAAGCTGGCAAATCAAATGTAGAGAAAATACATTAGTCTGTGACACATATAAATAGCCTGCACATACCTATAGCAACTATAATATGCATTGAGGAGTTGGCTATATACACAAAACTGGATGGGGATGAGTATCAACAAGCACTGGAAATGCTAGTTATCAAACACAAATTGTGTAAGATTGCTTAGTATTGTTTTATTGGCATTTACATCTTTATACTTTGTCAATCTGGACTTCTTCATTATTTTTGCCATTAAGTTCAGGAGCCGCGTTGTTAGACTGAATATTCTCTGCCTCATTCGGGTCTATGTCATCTATGGCAACAGAGCCACAGATCTAGCTGCTCCTATTAGACCATGTTGTTTAGTGTCTGGTATGGAATCCAGCGTAACATGGCAATAGTGATCATAAAAACTACAATGTCGGTAATAAAGCATCAGATCACTATAAAAAATGTGCATAGAGAAGTGCATGCAACAGCATTATTAAATAACAGCCTTTCTACTTTTACACAACTAGTTGAGATATTCTTTATACATTGTATTACTCTTTATTTACAGTCAATAAATTGTAATAACAAACTATGAGGTTTGTTTTTGTTTTTTTTACTAAACCATGAGTTGTGGAAAATTGAAAAGCAAATACAAATGATCAGTTTAAAATTTCAAAAAAGAATTCGCAAATTCTCTTCTCACCATTTACTTTGTAGATTATATGCATATTGATTTACTTTTCTTAAGTGATTATTATATTGTCTCCTTTTTACATATAACATTGATGTAAAAATGTAATGTAAATATATTGGGAAAAAATGCAAAAGAGATCCATCTCAGCTAATTTTGAAGCTCAAATAATTTGTCCTAAAATTGTGCAATTCACCGGACTTCCAGCTTTAGCAAAAAAACAAAAACCAACACGGACATTCTCGTTTTTAATACCATTTGTAGCATTATCTGTATTTATTTATACATCAGCTCAACATGGGTAATGTATTATTATAATAACCAAAATAATATTTGTTTATATACATTTTAAAATAAAAATAAGGCATTGCAGCCACGTTAAGAGATGAGGAATTTAAAATAAAAAATATGTGTTGAATGTGGCATCCTTGCTACCTAACTGTCCATAATAATGATTGATTGCTTGGTATAATGTTTTTAAATAAATGTTTAGGCATTTTAGCATACTTTAATTATGGGAATTGGTTGAACCATGTGTCTGTATCTCTTTTTTGTTTGTTTGTTTTTCATCCTTTAGTATTTTAATGCCAATTAACTTCCGGTCATGTGACGATGATATCATACGACCATTATTTTCAAATTGTACAGCCCTTTGTAAGCAGCCCTGGTCCGTTTAGTCTGTAAACATTTTGGATAAAGCCATTTTATTAGTGAAACGCGTCAGTGTATCAAAACATTGTTTTATATTTTTAATAAAAATAGTTTTTTTATTGAACCATATCGATTGCTACTGGATTCCTAACAGCCATATCCTTGATGGGGATAATAAACCACTAGTGCCTATTGGATTGAGCAAACATATTTTTGCTCTACTTAATGTGAGTACGTTTTTATTTATTTTATCTTCTCACTCCATTTTTACAGTGTACACTATTTTAGCTTTATTTCTCTTTTATACATGGAGCGACTCCTACATCACCTATATCCTAGAGTGAGGATCATACCACTTCACACTAAATATATGGAGCCACTGTTTAGGCTCCATAATATGTGAGTGCACAACTTTTACTACCATCATTGCTGCTAATTGGTCTGGCATACTACACTATATTCTTCCACATATCCATTACCACAAGTACTATATGTGGATCCTGCACAACATTATCTCTCTTTATTATATCTCTCTACAATAGCTCTTCTGTGTGGTTGGAAAAGACAAGCCTTTGTTCCCCACGTGCATCAATGAGCCTGGGCACACACGACCCTGACACCAGTTCTCCTTCCTTGCACCATTTTTTCTGTATCTTTAACATGTTGATATTTTAAGGATAGGATTAATGTAAGCATTACGATATTCTAAGGATTATATCAATGGTGGGTTGGGGTAGTGAAAGTTAATGTTTAGTGATAGCTTAGTGTGTTATTATAGTGTGGGGGGTTAATGTTTTATATAGTGGGTTGGGGTAGTAAAAGTTGTTAATAGTGTTAATGTAGAGTGTCAATATAGATGATGGGGTAATGTTTAGTGTAGTGGGTTGGGGTAGGGGAAGGTATTGTTTGGTGGTAGTATAGTGTTTTATAATAGTGTAAGGGTTGAGTGGAGGACTTTACAGTAAGGGCATATCTCAGTTCTGCCTAAGATAGTGGGAGTTACATTCCTAGGTGACGGTTATCTCACCTGCCATTATTAAAATAGCTGACGATGCCATTTAGGAGTGCCACTCCCACTATTTTCCTGCATATTGGGACATTTATTCTCCATAATGCACATGTCCTGCCTGCTTTAACTTAGTAGTAGCAGCTATTTGTAGCTACCACCATTTTAGGTCAGCACTTTTCCAATAATGATGTGGTCAGACAGCAGAGGAATCCATTATTTAGCCCACCCATGTCCTTTTCTAGAATATCATTATAGGCCAATGGGCTGAATTAAGGTAATGTAATTCCCTCAAGTTTTGGAGAAGTGTTTATACAGCTTCTCCATTTGATGTACATGTTCTTTACGTTATTTGCATTGTAATAAAAACATGAAATATTATTTTGAATTGATATACCTTGACATGGAATTTCTGTCTGGAAAATTTGAGCCTGAGAAGACTTTGTGGTAAAACCTTCTCCATTTGATAGAGACACATTGTTAGCTGTGTTTTCATTAGCGTCACCTGGTATCTGGTAAACCTGAAGAATGATTAAAAATGCCAAATTTAGGGATTTTGAATCAATTTGTACATTTTTTTTATTACTGATATTCAAGGACAATGAACAAGATACTGAATATCATCTGTTATTTTACATCAATTGATGGCTAATGTATTGATTTCCGATGTTGGGGTTTGGCCTGTATGCATGTACTTCCATCTGCTTCATTAAAGTCTATAAAAACAAAAGATTATTCTGTCCTATTTATCAACAGGTTCTTTCTTGCATTGTCTTTAGGCTGTCTCACACCCATCATTATATTGTTTTGTAGTTTGTCACTCTTGATGGGGTGTGTGAGAATATGACAGAACTGTATCTGCCAAATGATGTTCAACACCTGTTTACACTGAATGTATCAAAAGCCATGTCTATATGGCCAATGATAATCTTTATCACAACTTTTTTTTTCATATGAATTTGCTTTTAATGTTAATTTATCTTCTATTAATACTTCTATCTTTTCAACTATACAAATTGTCTAAACTAACAAACTGTTATTTTTAATTCATATATCGAATATGCTTGCATGATGTATCCATATAAAACATGCATGTACACCAAAATAATTATCTTTACGTACACTGTCCAGAATTACATATAGTGCTATTACAGTGTTACAGTCCTTATTAAATGTGTGTGAAGTATTTTAATTCTTTTACCAAGTACTACATTAGGTATTGGGATTAGCATACATTACGGCAAACTTTTTTTTGTTAAATTACTAATTTTTCAACTTGCTGTACTTTTTACACACATACTATTTTACATCACGTTATATTTAGATTATCAACAGTTAAGGTATTTCAATCACCTGAGCATGCACTTGTCCAGAGGTCTGGCCTGATTCGTTGAGGTGGTCATGTTCAACAAAAGGTTGCATGGACTCCAAAATATCTTTGATAACATTCGATGGTCCTGTCAAATTGGGAGAGGATCTGGTTCGTTTCATTGCAGGAAAAGCTTTTATATGACCATTTCCCTTGGGTATCTTTACCTTTGGTGGGATCTTTGAAAAATCAGGGAGTTTGTAATGAACTTGCCCTTGGCCATACTTGATATCATGAGATGAAGATCGCCGTTCCACGTTATCTCGATGACATTGATTCTCTTTATCAGTTCCATCGATAAAAAGATCATCCTGCTTTCTACTTTGTTCTTCAAGTTTGGAAATCGTCTCTCTGCCATTTTCATCAGATAGGGCATCGTTCTCATCAGAACCTCTTTCTGTAGTTACATTTGAGCACTGGTTCACATTAATATTGGTTTCTACCATAAACGTTTCAAAATCATCTTCTTGTTCAGTTTCCGAATCATGCTGGCTACATTTTTTCCATGTTTGTATACTTAAGAGTTCCTCACTACTTTCAGCAATGGATATTTCGGGAATAGTTTCATAATCAATAAACTGGCTTGGATGTAGCAAAGCGTCATCACTAAAATGACGTTGAAGGACTTCTGGGATTTTTGTGGTACAAAACTTAGTCTGTCCTTCATCAGTCACAATTTGTTTTGTTTCTTCATTATTTCTGTAGCTAGTTGATCTTTCAGAAACACTATATACATCACTCTCTGGGGTATGCAAAGGTGCTCGAAATGTATGGATTTCACAATCCTTTACACTGCTCTTAACTTCTGTCTCTATTAGATCAGTGAAAGCTTGGTGGCAAGATATGTCCCCACCAGAATTATTGTCTTCATCGTGGTCAGTATTTGTAACTAAATAGCATTCAAGGATTCCATCATAAGGTAGATCTTCTTGTTCATCATCAGTTGTGTCACTTGTTGCATTAACCCCTGAGATCTCAAGCTTAGCGGAGTTATTAATGTCATTACCTGCTGATGAGATCTCTATACAGAAACTGTCAGCTGTAAAAATGGAACACTGGTTTAAATCTGTAAATCAACACGAGAGTTAGGTGAATCAGACATATGAGGCTTTATTTCCCAAATGTAATTAACAGCCTGAATAGTATGCATATGCTGAAATAAAAGAAGGCTAGTGCAGACACCTAATTTTAACATATTATATAGATTATGTATTCAAATGTACAAAAAAATTAAATGAAAATAAAATGAAAAATATTAGGTTTTATGCAGATAACAGAACATGACTGGGATTTTAAGCCAATCATGCTCCTGCTACCCTTTTTAGCTCAGTGACACTCGGAATGCTCACCAGAAATGCTAAAATCATGTTGGTCAGTAGTTGGAATTAAATAACGTTCAAGGATCCCATCATATGGTAAGTCTTCTTGTTCATCATCAGTTGCGTTTCTTGCTGAATGAGCCTCTGAATTCTCAAGCTTAAGCAAATCACTGAGGTCATGATCAGCATCTGGAAGCTCCATATAGAGATTTTCAATGGTACAAATGGGATATTAGGTTAAATCTGCAAAGATTAAAATAAAGTTAAAATAAAGTTAAATCTTATGTAAACTAATAACAAGCAGATCGAGCCATTCCTAGAGCTGGTGGTTCATATTTAAAGGATATTTCACATTAAAGGCACACTTCCGATCACTCGTTTTTCTTAAATACATCTCTCTGAGTCCTATCTGACCATAAAGGCACCTCTCCCTGTGCCTCGATTTTTATTCCTTCTTTTACAGACCCTCTCCTGGCTTCCTTTAACTGTCTTCTCAATCTTTCACTATACTTACATTCTTCCTTTTACTAAATCTCGTTATCTCCCTTCTCACAGCTAGGCATCAATAATATAGCCTAATTAACTAGAGTAGAAGCAACCATTGGCACAGATGTTGCAGACTCCATCTCACATAATGCTTGTACAGCCATAATACCATTAAAGCATGAGGGGAGATTAGGGGAGGTGGTCCCCTTTCTTCCTTCATCATAAATTTGTTATTACTATGTCACTTGTTTTTACTTCAGTTTTTCATTAAACATTTGATAAGAAAAAGGAAGTCAAAACCAAAATGCCTCCTCTTGTAAAAAACAACATTATCCTCTGTAATTGTTTTAATTGCTGAGAATGTGGCTGGGAATTCCAAACCAATCCTGGCACTCTGGAAAATAAAAGCTGTTTAATTTAGAGATTACTTTGGTTAAATGAACACTTCTAGCACCATAACCACTGCAGCAATAAGAAAAGACCACACACACAAGTCCCTCTGCTCTCCACCCACAGCAACCACTGTGCATGCCCTGTGGTTGCTATGGAAACTCCCTGTCTGGACTATAGGAACATATTGTAATGTCACTCCGTTCTGTCACCACCATGCTGGTAACGAAGCAACATCACTGACAACATTTGCCCTGCCCAAGCAGGACAACATTTTGAAGAACTGAGGTCGGAGCACAGGAGGAGCAGAGGCTGGCCAGTAGGTAAATGTTACACAAAGAGTTACACCCATGAAGTGGCTCTAGAATGGAGGAAAAGTTTAACCTCTTAAGGACACATGACGGAAATATTCCATCATGATTCCTTTTTATTCCAGAAGTTGTGTCCTTAAGGGGTTAAATGAGTACATTTTATATTTTACTCTTAGTATTCCATGTATTTTTATAATATATGTTGTATTTAATGTATATGCGAGCAATTTAAGGTAAATCATTTTTCCATTACAGGTTCACTTTAAGTATAGTAATAAAATTAAAAAGGCAGGCACACTACAACAGTTAGACCACAGAATTAATCAGTGAACAAGTGTAATATCAGGGTTTTCACTCAAAGGTTCTATGCACCATAGAACCTAAAAACAAGGTACATGTACAACAGAATGAGGGAACATGTGCCCTTGATAAAGGCTTTTTTGATGAAACGTTGGGGGCATATATCTGAATATTCACCTCTTCTCACAATGTTATTGTGTTTTTTTCATGATTTCTGGCTAGTGTGGGCAGATGAAGGTGATACAATAAATGTAATTTCGAGGAACACTACGATGGCAGATCTTAGGAAATAGATCCAGAGAAGAAATGAGGCAGTAAAAAAATTGTGAAATGGGGGACATAGAGGCATTTGGGGATGGTTGGGGGTTCAAAGTTTAGAGGAGTCGGGAGAGGGGTTTAAAAAAAATGAATGCACCCCTAACAGGGCCGCTTTAAAGCTTTACCAGCTGCCACTGTAATTTAGAGAATCAAAAAAATAATTAAATTAAAATATCAATACTTGTGACTGTGTTACAGAGTAGCACAGAGCTGATTGCATGCAAAGTTCCTGAGTTATTAACAGTACAGTAACAATTACTAAAAGTGTGACAATCACATTGTCACAAATAACTTTACTCATACATAATTCATCTGCAAAATATTATGATATAGTAACCCAAATTTCACAACTTATATCTTACATAAACTTAAATGTCCGTCTACACACATTCTTGTTATAATTATTGCAGGCACTCCAAACAAGCAAGCTTCTGATTTTGAAATGCATTTTCTCACAATAAAATAATTAAGAAATATTTCATAGCCCAAAAAAACCCAATTCTTTAAATTAAAAGATCCGGGGTGGAGATCTTACCAAGTGATTTCAGCTTCGCTCTCCTGTCCGCATGCTAAATGTTAAACAAACAAACAAACAATAGTGATATTGAACAATAATGGCAGCTTGTAGTTTGACAGTGTGAGCATCATGTTACAAGCATTGTAAATGTTCCTGCAGATCTCAAATGGAACCGTGTGATCTGCCTTTGCATTAGTAACTATACACCCTGTCATTAGGCATTCCCTTTCTATACTGTTTTTTACATATTACCAGGACGCCGTAACATAGCAACCAACTCTAACCCAGCAGGAAATGTTCTTTTTTTTTGTTTTGTTTTTTAATAGCCTGTTTTATTCATTAGGTTGGCTGGAACATTCATAATTAATGCATAAACACAATTAACACATAACATGCTGCTATTAACTTTTTTTATACAGATTTCAGATATATTGCTCTCTAGCAAAAAGGTCAAAGTGGCTAACGTGTGTTTTAAACAAGTCTGTTTGCCAACGCTTGTATTATATGCCAATATGTCATTGTAGATTGTTGTCAGGTTTTGACCTCTTCTGTTGCTGCCACTAGGTATTCATGAAATCAATTATAGATAACTGGGATTATGAGACTTTCAGGAAACTGTGAACTATTGTCCTGCGGCCAACTGATGATGTATGAATACTTTAAAAGGAACACAATATCCCACAAACTTGCTGGGTTACTGGGGTATTGGAATAAAGGAAAGATCTTTGAAGAAGCAGGTTATCTACATATTTCTGTTTTTTCTTTGGAGGGGTGGGGTTGCATTATTTAAGGTCAAGTGGCTGCATATAGTACATTGATCACTATGGTAAAGGTAATGGGACCAGGGGGCACCTACCACCTGTCCTAGCTCTTTTCTTTGTAATGGGAATTGGACAGGAGAACAAAAAGGGCAGAGGGACTATGTAATAGATACTCTCAGCCAGTGAATGGCCTAAAAACCAGACATAGCTTAAGTAGGATCCAAACCTGCCCATATTAGCCGCACTGGTAATTCAGCATGTCCATTTCGTCCAACCTAGATGACATTAATTGGCCTAGAGTGCAGGGGGTGGATTAACCCAGTACTCTCATCCAATCAATGCAGACCAGGTTGGACAAAATTTAAATTCATAATGTCAAAGAATGTAATGGTTACACAAAGAATTTGTGCCCCAAATGTAATTGGCCAATGGTTTGCCAACATTTTGATTACTTAGCTGAAATCTGCTGGGTACCAGTAACCTGCTGGAAGATCTCTGTGTTAAGCTAATGCTTGCAGGGGAAGGGAGGGTAGGGTTCGCCCAGCGAACTGTAGTGGTTATGGTATTTGAAGTGTATCTTTCTAACCATAAGCAGAATCTGTAATATGAATTTAAACAACTGAAATGTGTGTAGATGTATATTTTTAAATTTAATTATTTGTATGGTTATTACACAGTTGCAAGAGAGGAAGTAAGGTGGGTTACCTAAATGCGTGAATGGAAAGCAGTTAACCGTTTGAAATGCTTCCCTAAATAAGTGAGTTTTCAGTGATTTTCTTTAGGAATGGAGACTGGGTCAGAGTCTAATGTAGAAGGGAGGGAGTTCCATAGGAACTTGAAGTTGGGAATCAGAGGTGCAAGTACAAACAGAGGATAGACACAGGACTTCAGCAGAAAGTTTGGGCCTTCAAGGGGCATATTTGTGTATTAGTGTGGATAGGTAGTTAGGAGAGATTTGTAAGCAAGTACCAGAATTATAAATTGAGTCCTATATCTTATGGGAAGCCAGTAACAGAAGGAATGGAGTGGGAGGTGCTGGCGGACAGGAAGATGAGACTCGATGCATCATTCATTACAGACTGTAATGGGGCACACTGGGAATGCATAAAGACCAATGAAAAGCGAATTACAGTAGTCAAGTCAAGATATGACATTTGGTATTGGCTAGCACCTTAGCTGCATCCAGCATTTGAGATGTAAGCGGCACGATTTGGCAGTTGACTGGACATAAGGGGTGAAGGAGAGGTTGAAGTCAAAGACAACATATAGGAAGCAAGCCTGTGAGGTAGAGCTGATTGTAGTGCCACAGGAGTAGAGGTGAAGGGAGGAAAGAGAAGACGTTCTGTTTCAGACAAGTTTAGCCAGTTAGCAATGGCAGAAAGGCTGTTAGAAACACAAATCAATTCAATACAGAATGAGGAACATAACCAGTAAGAACAAATCAACTTTATTATGTAAATCACATATGTACGGTGCCCATGAGAAACATCAAAAACAATCATGATAATCTATAGATAATATAAAGATAATTATCTGTTAATCACAGGAAAATATACATAAATAACATGTATCAAGGCAAGGGAAAAACTGAAAACACTGGTAATTTAGATGTTATCAAGCCAAGTCTAATAACACATGGGATACCAAAACAACTACAAAATACATACCACAAAAGAGCAAAGGCACAGAAGAAGGTAATTAATCATGCAAACCTATTTCCTAAAAGCTATCATTCTAGGTTACGGAACAGAAATATATAATAGACAATCCTTAAAATGAATGACTTGTAGGGAAGAGGGAGACAACAAACAAGTTTAAATTTCCCTAACAAAAAGTATTGTGCTACTGCAAACCACAATACAGTCTTTGAACTTAGTTATTGCACTGTTTTAAGTGGATCACTTATTATAGAACATCGATCACAACTTTAAATTCTTCAATCTACTTAACCAGTGCAATTATATACAAAACAACTGACTCAAGCATTAACAGTATTGTACATCAGGTTCAACTGGTTCTTTTGGTCAGGAACAAAATGTAAATTCCAATTGGATTTATCATTCTAGGTCTAATCTTCTTGATTGCTGTCATAAATCTATTTCTCCAGTAATAAACAGTATTGTGTTTAGTGGGAAAAAAAACCAAATTGCAGTTTAATTGAAATTTCAAAACCTTTCTGAAAAAAACTACTGATTAAAAATAAATAAATCAGAAGGCACTGCTAAAACCAATCCCAGAACTTCCAATGAGCTTGAAAAATTGGGGTTTGGGGACTCTCCATGTCTTTGAGAATCTTTTATATAAAGAATCAATTTTGCACGTATTTCCTTCTTATTGACTCTTCTGGGATCCATCTGTAATCATCTGTATCCCACAGAAGATTGACAGAAGTGTCTTTTTCCCAGTCGTCACCAGTGATGGTTGCAGAAATATTAGCTGTATCTATAGAGGATCCTGCAGTCTCACTGATTCCTTCATGGATTTCATAGGTGCACTCTTGCGCATGCAAAAAAGAACCAGAGAGAAGAAGATGGCAGTGCCTACGAGGGACAGGTTCAGGTTTGTAAATATCACCTTTCCCTGCCTTCTCCAGCCAAGGGACTGCCAGCGGCGATGTCACCATGAAGGATCTTTGCAAATTAAGCAAAGTCACCAGACAGTGACAGCGCTGCTTTAAGCATATAGTCAATGTTTTAGCCCCAGTATTGTGAGTGAATATGGGCTTTACCATAGAGGGATTGGTGCAGTGTTGTGTGGGATAGGGACTTTGTGTGGGGGAGAGGGGGAGTATAGTGATGGATAGGGGCTTAGTGTGTGGGATTGGGGCCTTAATGTGGTGTGGTGTGGTGTGGCAGTATTGCGGAGGATAGGGACGTTACTGTGGATGCACATACAGGGAGTGCAGAATTATTAGGCAAGTTGTATTTTTGAGGATTAATTTTATTATTGAACAACAACCATGTTCTCAATGAACCCAAAAAACTCATTAATATCAAAGCTGAATATTTTTGGAAGTAGTTTTTAGTTTGTTTTTAGTTATAGCTATGTTAGGGGATATCTGTGTGTGCAGGTGACTATTACTGTGCATAATTATTAGGCAACTTAACAAAAAACAAATATATACCCATTTCAATTATTTATTATTACCAGTGAAACCAATATAACATCTCAACATTCACAAATATACATTTCTGACATTCAAAAACAAAACAAAAACAAATCAGTTACCAATATATCCACCTTTCTTTGCAAGGACACTCAAAAGCCTGCCATCCATGGATTCTGTCAGTGTTTTGATCTGTTCACCATCAACATTACATGCAGCAGCAACCACAGCCTCCCAGACACTGTTCAGAGAGGTGTACTGTTTTCCCTCCTTGTAAATCTCACATTTGATGATGGACCACAGGTTCTCAATGGGGTTCAGATCAGGTGAACAAGGAGGCCATGTCATTAGATTTCCTTCTTTATACCCTTTCTTGCCAGCCACGCTGTGGAGTACTTGGACGCGTGTGATGGAGCATTGTCCTGCATGAAAATCATGTTTTTCTTGAAGGATGCAGACTTCTTCCTGTACCACTGCTTGAAGAAGGTGTCTTCCAGGAACTGGCAGTAGGACTGGGAGTTGAGCTTGACTCCACCCTCAACCCGAAAAGGCCCCACAAGCTCATCTTTGATGATACCAGCCCAAACCAGTACTCCACCTCCACCTTGCTGGCGCCTGAGTCGGACTGGAGCTCTCTGCCCTTTACCAATCCAGCCACGGGCCCATCCATCTGGCCCATCAAGACTCACTCTCATTTCATCAGTCCATAAAACCTTAGGAAAATCAGTCTTGAGATATTTCTTGGCCCAGTCTTGACGTTTCAGCTTGTGTGTCTTGTTCAGTGGTGGTCGTCTTTCAGCCTTTCTTACCTTGGCCATGTCTCTGAGTATTGCACACCTTGTGCTTTTGGGCACTCCAGTGATGTTGCAGTTTTGAAATATGGCCAAACTGGTGGCAAGTGGCATCGTGGCAGCTGCACGCTTGACTTTTCTCAGTTCATGGGCAGTTATTTTGCGCCTTGGTTTTTCCACACGCTTCTTGCGACCCTGTTGACTATTTTGAATGAAACGCTTGATTGTTCGGAAAGGAAAGGAAGTTGCCTAATAATTATGCACACCTGATATAGGGTGTTGATGTCATTAGACCACACCCCTTCTCATTACAGAGATGCACATCACCTAATATGCTTAATTGGTAGTAGGCTTTGAGCCTATACAGCTTGGAGTAAGACAACATGCATAAAGAGGATGATGTGGTCAAAATACTCATTTGCCTAATAATTCTGCACTCCCTGTACATATAATCAAACAATCTTAAAAACACAGTTAGACACACAACCACAGACAGAATCTTACACCCTCACAGACATTTTCACATACATAAACACTCTTGCATTCACACTCAAAAAAAATGTATGGAAGGGGTAAGGGGACATAGAAGGTGTCATGTATGGAGGTGTAATGTATTAAAGGGGGAGGGGGACATGGGTGGGGATATGTGTGGAAGGGATAGGGGACATGGAGGTGGACATGTATGGAAGGGATAGGGGACGTGAATAGAAGGGGTAGAGGGACATGGAGGGGCACATGTATGGAATGAGTAAGGGGACATGTATGGAAGGGATAGGGATAGTGGACGTGAATGGAAGGGGTAGGGGGACATGTATGGAATAAGTAGGGGGACATGTATAGAAGGGGTAGCGGAACATGGAAGGAGACATGTGTGGACAGTGGCGTATCTAGGAGGGGGACCAGAGGAGGCCATGCCCCCAGATCAGGCTGTGTCCCCCTTTGTGCCCCCCCCCCCCCAATTGAAAGTGAAGTTACTGCTTGCTGCGCTGGGCTACCTCAATGTTACTGAGAGCCCAGACCATGAACAGAAGGATCCTGTAGGCAGGGGAAGCCAGGACATGAGCTGGTATCCTGGCAGCCCCCTGCCTGTAAACATCGGACACACGCTGGAGGGAGCAATAAGTAGCCTGTGATCACTGTGCACGGCTCTCCTGCTCCCCCAGCAGAAACAAAGGGGAGACTTCCTGCAGGCAGGAGTATGGTTCCTCCTATACATCACTAGCACAGGTATGGCCCACATGGGGGGTGAATATTTTGTGTATGTTTGTGTGTGTGTAAATATAAGTGTGACTGTACACTGGTGTGAGTGACATTGTATCTGTGTATGCTTCAGTAAGATTGTGTGTATTTCAGTTAGAGTGTGTTCTTGAGTTTGTCAGTGGCATTGTATGTATACTTAAAGGACCACTATAGTGCCAGGAAAACAAACTCGTTTTCCTGGCACTATAGTGCCCTGAGGGTGCCCCCACCCTCAGGGTCCCCCTCCCGCCCGGCTCTGGAAAGGGGAAAGGGGTTAAAACTTACCTTTTTCCAGCGCTGGGCGGAGAGCTCTCCTCCTTCTCTCCTCCTCCGATCCGCCCCGTCGGCTGAATGCGCACGCGCGGCAAGAGCTGCGCGCGCATTCAGCCGGTCACATAGGAAAGCATTTACAATGCTTTCCTATGGACGCTGGCGTCCTATGGACAATGCTTTCCTATGGACGCTGGCGTGCTCTCACTGTGAAAATCAAAGTCAATGAGACAGCCACTAGAGGATTAGGGGGAAGGCTTAACCATTAATAAACATAGCAGTTTCTCTGAAACTGCTATGTTTATTAAAAAAATGGGTTAACCCTAGCTGGACCTGGCACCCAGACCACTTCATTAAGCTGAAGTGGTCTGGGTGCCTAGAGTGGTCCTTTAATAATAGTTTTTGTTAGTGAGAGTGTCAGTGGCATTGTGTGTATACTTAATAGTGTGCGTTAGTGAGTGTGTGTGACATTGTGTGTATACGTAATAAAAGTGTGTGTCAGTGGCATTGTGTGTATACTTAATAGTGTGTGTTAGTGAGTGTGGGTATACTTAATAGTGTGTAGTAGTGAGAGTGTCATTGACATTGTGTGTGTACTTAATAATGTCACTGACACTCTCACTGCTTACTAATAATAGTGTGTGTTAGTGAGAGTGTGTGACATTGTGTGTATACTTCAGTAAGTGTGTGTTAGTGAGAATGTGTAAGTGACATTGTGTGTATACTTAAGTAAGAGTGTTCGAGTGACCATGTGACCACTTACATTTATAATACATATTATAGATATTTGAAAAAAAAAATGTTTTACTTACAGTGAACCTGTCAGGCAGGTTCACTGTAACAAAGATTAAAGAACCACTATAGTGCCAGGAAAACATACTCGTTTTCCTGGCACTATAGTGCCCTGAGGGTGCCCCCACCCTCAGGGTCCCACTCCCGCGGGCTGGATGGCGAGGAAAGGGTTAAATCTTACCTTTTTTCCAGCGCCAGGCGGGGAGCTCTCCTCCTCCTCTTCGGCGGAATGCGAATGAGCGGCAGGAGCTGCGCGCGCATTCAGCCAGTCTCATAGGAAAGCATTCATAATGCTTTCCTATGGACGCTGGCGTCTTCTCACTGTGATTTTCACAGTGAGAAGCACACAAACGCCTCTAGCGGCTGTCGATGAGATGCCACTAGAGGCTTTAGAGGCTGGATTAACCCATTTATAAACATAGCAGTTTCTCTGAAACTGCTATGTTTATAAAAAAAAAGGGTTAATCCTAGAGGGACCTGGCACCCAGACCACTTCATTAAGCTGAAGTGATCTGGGTGCCTAGAGTGGTCCTTTAAATCAAACCCATTACTATAAATTAAATGCCACAATATTATAAATAAAACCCAACCAAATGAATTAAACCATTATTTATCACAGCTATCAGACACTGTGCATGTAGGGGTGTATGTATTAGGTAATATGTGTGTGTGTATTAGGCAAGATGTGTGTATAGATGTATGTATTGGGCAATATGTGTGTGAATGTATGTATTACATACATTCACATATTGCATGTATTGGTTTGTATGTATTGGGCAATATGTGTATGCAAGAGCAGAGCAAACAAACAGAGAGGAGCAGAGCAAGCAGGGAGGAGGCAGCGCAGAGTAAGTAGAGAGGAGCAGAGCAAGCAGAGAGGAGCAGAGCATGCATAGAGGAAGCAGCGCAGAGCAAGTAGAAAGGAGCAAGAGCAGAGCACGCAGAGAGGAGCAGAGTAAGCAGAGAGGAGGCAGAGCAGTACAAATAAAGGGAAGCAGAGCAAGCAGAGAGGAACAAGAGCAGAGCATGCAGAGAGGAGCAGAACAGAGCAAGAAAAGAGGAGCAGAGCAAGTAAAGAGGAGCAGAGCAAGTACAGAGGGGCAGAGCATGCATACAGGGGCAGAGCATGCATAGAGGAGCAGAGCATGCATACAGGAAGCAGCGCAGAGCAAGTAGAAAGGAGCAAGAGCAGAGCATGCAGAGAGGAGCCGAGTAAGCAGAGAGGAGGCAGAGCAGTGCAAATAAAGGGAAGCAGAGCAAGCAGAGAGGAGCAAGAGCAGAGCAAGTAGAGAGAAGCGGAGCAGAGCATGCAGAGAGGAGCAGAACAGAGCAAGCAAAGAGGAGCAGAGCAAGTAGAGAGGGGCGGAGCAAGTACAGAGGAGAAGAGCAAGCAGAAAGGAGCAAGAGCAGAGCAAGTAGACAGGAGCAGAGCAAGTAGACAGAGAGGAGCAGGTATTGCGGATTTTGAAAAAAGTGAATAGATTGCAGTAATTACAGTGAGTGGTGTGAGTGTGACAAAAGTGACTTACTCCTGATTGCAGACAGCGAGTGTTATGACAGTGACACTTACTCCTGAGATTGCAGACTGTTTGCAGTGCGATCCCACGTAAAGTGTCAAACCTTACCTACCTGGGAGTGCAGTTTGCAGAGGGACTGAGCCAGCGGAGCAGACACTCCAGACAATGGCACCACTACTGTAAGTAACGTGAACTTTAATTTAAACTTTTGAGTAAATGATATGTATGTACCGAGGATTACATATTGTGAGCATGAGAATGAAACAAGTAATTTTAGTTTGTGTTGGTATAGTATTCACCAACTATAGGTCAGGGCACAAACTTAAGTGCCAACCATTTTTAGCTGTTCATTTTTAGCTGTTCCATTCAAATTGCATGTTATAAATTATTTAAAAAATAAATATATATTTTGAAAAACTATAGTTTTGTTACCATTCTGGCATCATGAGATATTGTTACAATGGCATATCTAAAGCAGACGTTAGCCTATTTAACGAGATTGCTGGAAATCTGAATTTTGTTAACTTTTGAATGTTCTCCATGTTTCTGTGTGTATATGTGTGTGTATATATACATACACATTATTATTATATTATTTATATAGAGTCAGCAAATTCCATAGCACTGTACAATGGGTACACACACACACACACACACACACACACGTTTTAGAATTCCCCCCCTACTTTTGTCTCTGCCCCGGCCCCCTCCCCCATGTGCCCTCCCTAAATATGAATGCTGGAGACGCCACGTATGGAGGGGGACATGTATGGAAGGGATAGGGGATATGTATGGAAGGGGTAGGGGGACATGGAAAGTGACATGTATGGAAGGGGTAGAAGACATGTATGGAAGGGGTAGGGGAACATGGAGGGGTACATGTATGGAAGGGGGACATTGAAGACAACATGTATGGAAGGGGTAGGGGGACATGGAAGAGGAAATTAATGGAAGGGGTAGGTGGACATGTATGGAACGGTATGGGACATTGAGGGGGGGCATGGATGGAAAGAGACGAGGCATATATGGCAGGGGTAGGAGGATATGAATGGAAGATGTAGGGGGATATGAAAGGCAACATGTATGGAGGGGAAGTGGTAGGGAACATGGAGGGGGACATGTATAGAAGAGGTAGGCAGATATGTATGAAAGGGTAGGGGACCTTCATGGAAGGGGTAGGGGGAGATGGATGGAAAGGTGGAGAAACATGAAAGGGAAGGAGACATAGATGGAACAGGGTAGGGATACATAGAAGGGGTAGCTGGACATGGAGGGGGGACATTGGTGGAAGGGGGAGGGAGATATAATGGAAGGGGGAGAAAGATACGGAAGAGAGCAGAACAGAGACATGGACGGATAGATAGATGGATAGGTGGGGAAGAGAGGCATTGAGAGGAGACATGGATGAAAGGAGGGAGTGAGATGTGGATAGAAGGGATGAGAGAGAAATGGATGCAAGGAAGGAGAGAGACATGGATGGAAAGGGGAGAGAGACACAGGGAAGAGACATGGATGGAAGGGGAGAAAGACACTAGGGAAGAGACATGGATGGAAGGGGGGGAAGACACTAGGGAAGAGACATGGATGGAAGCGGGAGAGAGACACGGGGGAGGAGACATAGATGAAAGGGGGAGGGGATATGGATGGAAGGGGAAAACAGACAGGGATGGAAGGGGGGTAAGAAACAAGCGGTGTGCGCAACCACACCTTACCCTGCCTCGAGTTTGCAGAGGGACTAAGGGAGCGAGCAGAGCAGACAGTGCACCTAGCTACCTGGCTTAGACTGCAGTTTGCAGAGGGACTGAAGGTGCAAGTGGACCGGAAATTCCAGACAGTGGCATTACTACTGAAACAGTAAGTAACTTAATTTGAAGCTTTTGAGTAAATGTTATGTATGTTCCCAGGATTGCCTATTGTTTGCAGTAGAATGAAAAAAGTTATTTTAGTTTGTGTTGGTCTAGGATTCACCAATGTTTATACAGGACACAGGTAGCACAGATGAACAGTACCAAAAAAATTAAAGAAAAGGTAGATACGCCAAACTTGAATTTTGTATAAATATCAATACAATCTGGATGTAATATTCATAAAGTGAACATAGGACTCATATCTGGAAAATAAACGTGTACGTAGTTTAATACAGTTGGCAATAGAATGGAGGAGTGGGGGGTAGTAGAAAACTCAAAAGATAAAAAAGGAATTTTGGCTTGTCTCCTTACACAGAGTGTAATGTGATCTTTAGAGTAGATCTTCTTTACCACTTCTTCTTTACCAAATACAAATGACAGTGCAGATGGTGAAGGATGGGTGAAGAAAACAAATAGATAATGCAGATGGTCTAAAATTTACACATTTATTAATACAATTTTGCAATACAAGAAGGCATATGGTTCAACAGCATATATCCACAACATAGTGGTGTCCAAGGCATACAAACATACATAAAAACAAAGCAAATCTCTGTATCCTACGCGTTTTGTTCCATAGTACTTATTCAGGGATATGTAACATTCCTGAAAAAGTCCTATGGGACAAACCGTGTAGGATACGGATATTTGCCATGTTTTTATGTATGCTTTATGTTGGTTTGTTTGCTTTTAACTAATTTTCGATTTACACTACTTGGAATATCTTCTGTAATTAGGATACTTTGCTTCTGCCTGGGATACCACTATGTTGTGGAGATATGCTGCTGTACCATCTGCCTTCTTGTAAGTGCAAACTTGTATTAATAAATGTGTCATTTTTAGACCACTTTAGTACGCTTTTATTTTCTAGATATGAGTCCTATGTTCACTTTAGGAATATTATATCCAGGTTGTATTGATATTTACACATATTTCACTTTTGGTGTCATTTGTGGCATATCTACCTTTTCTTTTCTTTTTTTGGTACTGTATTTTTAGTGTCTTTTGGAGGGAGCACTTTTTTATAAAGGTTTTTTGCTACGAAATTTCTATTTCAGCATATCTTTGTTGAACACATATGAGCAGTTACATGATGCTATCTACTCATCAGGGGTTATTACTATCATACAAAGACAAACAGTCCCACCATACACAGCCAGCCCAAACCCATCACAAACACAAGCAGTCCCCATCACACATTGACAGAACAAAATGATCACACACATTCTCATCACACACAGCCAGCCAAATGCTAACACACCGTTTCCATTACATGCACACAACCCAATACCATCACACACAAACTATTGCTATCACACATAGACAACTGAAGACATTACATGCAGTACCCATGTTTCTATGTTTCACTCAAACAGCCAAATGTACCACACACAAACTGTAGCCATTACCCTCAGACCGCACAATATGCAGTCCCTATTACTTCCAGATACCCCATTACATCACATGCAGTCCCCACTATATTGAGACAGCCTGAGGTTGTCAATCTCAACCAAAGTATGTGTTTGTTATAAAAAAAATTTTAGTGGTGCAGTGCCGGACTGCCCTGGGGCCTTTAAGAGTTCGTCCGTAGCGGGATGCAGATGCAGATGGGAGCTGGGCAAGTCCTGTGAGTACAATCTCTGTGTTGGGGCAAATCCTGTGGGTGGAATCTCAGTGACGGGGCATGTCCTGTGAGTGCAATCTAAGTGCTGAGGTAAGTCCTTGATGCTAGGGGAAGTCGTGTGAGTACAATCTCTGTGCTGGGGTAAGTCCTGGGTTCTGGAGCAAGTCATGTGAGTGCAATTTCAGTGTTGGGGTAAGTCCTGGGTGCTGGGACAGGTCCTGTGAGTGCAACCTCCATTCCATGCTGGAAGTTCCAAGTCCAAGTGAGTGCAAATATATTTTTTCAACTTTTTCAGAATGGGGGGGATGGAACACTGATACAGAAACATAGAATGTGACGGCAGATAAGAACCATTTGGCCCATATAGTCTGCCCAATGTTTGAAATACTTTCATTAGTCCCTGGCCTTATCTTATAGCTAGGATAGCCTTATGCCTATCCCACGCATGCTTAAGCTAATCATCGAGGGCGGTAGAGACCCTAGGTACGCCTTTGCCTCAGCCTGGGCCACAGTGATGTAACGTTATCACTCCAGGCACCTCTATAGGGCACGCAAGGGAGCTGTGTATGAATAGCACATATTGATCAGAGTTCCCTCGCTGCCCTTACCCCCCCTACCTTGGATTTTGTAGATGTATGGCAGCATGTACTCTGGGCGCTGGGCAGCGTATTTCTAGTGGCCACTCAGTGCTAAGGGAGCGTGACAGACAGCTACACTAGGGCGAGGCTGAGAAGCCACTCACTCAGTACAAGAGTGGCCCACTGGGAAAAAAGCACAGAATTAAAGCAAATGCAATGCTGCTTAGCAAAATGCACTCTTCCCACACAATGTTAACTCATTGTCTTTCACACATTCTCAGTTCTCACCCCATTTTAACCCTTAACATGCCATCAATGATTTACCCTTAAATCTCCAATTACTGTTGCACAGTGTCCATATAGGTTAATGCGCACATACATACTCCTGTCATTGCTATGCTATGCTAACTCTTAATGTGGCTTATTTGTACTTTGGCAATTAACTCCTTTAGAGCTATAGGTGAATCTTTCATCAAAGGGGCCCATAATTTTTGGGTTGTCCTTTTACAGAGGCTAGCTAGCCTCTCTGTGTTTAACAGACATTGATCATTGAAAGAATTATTTCGCTATTTCCAGATATCAACTTGTCTAAAGAGATCAAAAGAGGACTCATAAATCCAAAAGATAAATTTCCTTTTTCTATGCGCATCTATGGAAAGACACCAGAGATATAATTAATCTCACGCTCACTCAAGTCTTATTCTCAGGTGCTAATGCAAGGTTTAAATGGAGATGCATCCAGTGCCAAAGACAAGCCCATACATGTGAAAATGATGGGCGTTACAGAGAAAATGTTTATTGTGCCTCGAAGATCTTAAGCATTAGCTTAAAAAAAAGTGTGTGCTTTAAGATCTACTTCTTAAAAAGCAGAGCGTCCACCCACACTAAATGGTGACAGATACCAGGTTCCTCCTCCATTTTGGCTTGTGTTAACTAGCTTTAGTCATGCACTTCATTATGCGATGATACAATACTCTAATTTAACTCTATTTTAATGCTGTTGTTTGTTGCATATGCCATCTGATATATTCATGAAACTAAAATCTCATTAGAAGTTAATCAGATTAATCTTTTATTACATTACACTGGTATTACAGGAAATTATATATGTGGTAAACTGTGATATAATTCACATTTTTACAAACATGGCTCAAATTTTTCTTCAATTTTTACTCTGGAAAACAAAGCGAACAATTAAACAAACATTCCAGGCACTATAACTACTACAGTCCTATACTTGAGAAAACCTGATCCAGAGAACTAGTCATAACCTCCCTTTTACCACTGTCAAAGCAGGTACAACCCAACATGCAAACCTAAGAAACAGAGAATCCTACGCTAGGGAATTAACACATTACCGGTTCTTAGAGTAGCCCGGTTTAACGCGGGATAGTATAGAATGCAAACAGGGAAAGACTGAGTTCAAGGAGTACATAAATATGGATAAGTGAGATAATAGAGCCAAAGTCTAGGATTCCAGAGCTCATAGTAACTAAAACATGGCCAAGTCAAAAAACAGATAACTAAAATGTACTCTTGGATAACTGAGACCAGTACAGGGCACAGAGAAATGGTCAGAGGGTCCCTTAAATAACCCAAGAGCTGCTGCTATAGGCTTGTGCAATTAGAATTCCAAAAGGTACATCAACAATATTGTTGAATAGACGCAGATTGGTGTGGCACCAAAAATTGAAGATCTTAATTTTGATAATGACAGCAGGCGAGTATTTTGCATGATCTTTCTTTACTAACTCCATAGCAGCAAAGAAAAGTAATGAGAAAACTGAGAACCAATCACAAGCAAGCATAGGTTATAAGAGGCATGTCTCACTGCAGCGATTACTATTTAAAACTGCGACATCACAAGTCCATTAAACAACGAAACAGTAGAAGAACACAATGTGGTAAACTTTAAACACGGACAGGAGGAAGAAGGTCCCATCGAAGAGACGTCTTGGGTTCAACTGTATATTCCAATTAAAATGATGAGGAAGATCCCATCGAAGGAACACTTTGGGTTCAACTGTGGGTTCCAATTAAACTGAAAAGAGAATATAAAGAGTTTTAGTCTCCAGAAAGGGTTATATAAAAACGTATACCCTGACTGTCTATGCTACGTATAATACATATAGTACAATCCCGTCCTCCCGCAGCTATTGTAACTAACTAAAACAAACAACTCCCGTACAAAGCCAGCGACAATGTCCCAAGGGGAAAAATCAACGTAAGTGTAGGCAATACAAAGTATGGACATAACATAAAGGAAAAACCATAAGCAAGGTATTCAGAAACAAAGGGAGGGAAATAGTCAGAGAAAGGGGGAGGCGGGGGAATACTTGCCTCCTGTCATTATTAAAATTAAGATTATTAGTACACTAAAGCAAACATAATCTTCAATTTTACCACATGACAGGAAGCTTCATATTTTGCAGTTTCAACGCTGAGATAAAAGAGCAAAAGATGGATTTGACAGAGGTTGGAAATAGAACATCCGATTCTCTCGTCCAATCTGTGGCCCATAGAATGTGAGACCCCTGCTGAGAAGGCGGATGAGGCTGTGGCTACTCTCACGCAGTGTGCTCCAAAGGCCTGATCAATTCCAGCCAGAGAAAGCAGCCAACGAACCCAATGTAGTGACCGAAACTGGACCATACGGGCGAACGCAAGACGAGAAGAAGGAGACCGCAATGTCGCGGTACCTTCCCATAGCAACGTAGAGTCGAGACCACACAAAGTTGTGGATCTGAAGGGAAAAGGGGATAGAAAACCGAGGAAGAGTTAGATTTGGTGCTGCATGAAACCTGAAAGGTAACCCCCGCCAGGCAAAATGTAAATGCGCCAGTGTCAAAAGCGCGGACATCCGAGACCCATCAAAAGGAGACCAAGCAGAGGAGAAAGGTGTATTTGGCCGTAAGCTGATGAAGGGACAACTTATCATTCTGAGGCCAATCTCGCAAAAATTGCAAACTGATACCGACGTCCCAGAGTTGTGTATATTTGGGTTCCGGAGGGCGGCGAAGAAGTCTGCAAATGAGGGGGTCTTGCCCAACTGGGATCCCTTGGAGTGGAATGTGAGCCGCTGAAATGGCCGACCATACCACGTTAAAGAAACAACACGATTTCCCAGTTGCAAACAGAGAGGCGAGAAAATTTAGGATAGAGGGAACAGGTGCAGTAAAGGAATCAATGTGCCATCCCAAACACCAAGTGGCCCAAGATTGCCACGCAGATAGGTAACATCTCCTATTTTCTGGTGCCCAGGAGTCCAATAGGAGGTCCTTAGCTTCCTGCGAAAAGTCTCTGACTCACCAGGAAGCCTGGATAGTGTTCAGGCCACCAGGAGAAGGCAACCTTCCATGATTAGAGGATGGGGCTGTCCCATCGGGCTCCTAAGGATCCTCGGGTTGGATAGCAGGAGGAGGGGATCCCTGCACGTTAGTTCTAAAAGTTCCGGAAATCAGGGTTGGCTCTGCCATAACGGTGTTTAGGAGCGTTAGCACCACTCTCTGCAATCGGATCCGGTGAAGGACTCTGTCAGGTTATATCTGCCGGTTTCGCCGAATTAAGCAACTTCCGGGTTGACGGAGCTCTGCCCCGTCCCTTCTCTGACGCGGTCTCCCCACGCTATATAGGAAGACCGCGCCAGATTCAAGTTGCTGGATTATTGAACAAGTGCCTGTGAACCTCATACCGGCTACTCAATTTCAATTGAAGCTCCTCCATGTACCGAAAACCGCTCTGAAAACCACTATCCTCCTTCTCCACTCCTCGACCTCGGATTGTTAAATGGACTTCTGCTCCTTCCCCTAAAGAACTGATTAATTTGAACTCTTCAGTTACCTGGAACTGCCTCTAAGCTAAGTACTTTTTCCTTCAATCCAATTGCTCTCAGTTGCAGATAAGAAACTGCCTCTTAAGCTAAGTACCTTTTCCTTCAATCCAATTGCTCTCAGTTGCAAATAAGAAACTGCCTCTTAAGCTAAGTACTTTTTCCTTCAATCCAACTGCTCTCAGGTGCAAATAAGAAACTGCCTCATTGTTAAACTCTCCTGAAGCTAATTCTACTACATTTAATACAACCTAATTCTGCATGCATTCTCTGCACTATCCTTAATTGGGACTGCTTGGCTTGTGCAAAACTTCAGTGGCTTATTTTTTCCTGCAACTAACAACCTGCTATAAGGGTTTAAAGCTACAGTAACCACTCGTGCAACTCAATAACAAAAAAAGAATAAAATTATAAATTGATGTAATTGGAAGTTTTTCTGCAGTTGCGTTCCAGTAGTTTAGCATTACAGACTCTCACTATCATTGCGAAGGCATAGGCTTCGCGCTGTGGCTACGCTTGCAGAAATGCATCCACTGCTTGGCTCTCCGGGTTTGTTAGCCAACTAAGGAAGTCCTTTGTCTGTCGGTTGTCACATGAGGCGAACAGGTCGAGGGAGAAAATAAAAACTCTTCGTTCGTTTAGAGAAGCAAAAACTTGAGGGTCCAGCTACCAGTCGAGCGAATAACAATCTACTGTGAGATTGGATTCTCCCGGCAGATGTTCCGCTAGTAGCGTAATGTTGCGGGGTAGGCAGTGCCTGAGAGCATGTACCTCCAAGGTGATTGATATAATGCACTGCCGAGATATTGGATTTTCTTTTCACCAGACTGCGGAGGGTGAATGACCATGTTAGGAGCTTCAAGCAGTTTATGTGCATCGATAGATCTTCAGAGGTCCATACTCCTCCCGTGGACGTGTCGCTCCCCAACCTGATCGGCTGGCATCTGATTCCAGCACGAAATCTGGTTGCCTTTCGAATATGGCTCAGCCGTTCCAGGCCTGCATGCAGTTCAGCCAGTGTAGTTCCAGTGTAGTTCTGCCCGGACGTCGTCCGACATCGGGACCAGTTGATAGTACATTGGGTTTTGGCGTAGGAATCTGGTCATGAGGCGTTGCATGGCCCTGTAGTTTAGGGGTCCCGTGAATATAAATACAAAGATAAAGCACCGTGCTTACAGCAGCAGTAGCTTAGTATCCAACAGCTTAAAATACATAGTAAAAACAAAGAGAACGTTACCTGCGCTCTGGCCTAAATCCCCATGTACATTTAAACAAAATGGAGCCTCCATTTTGTTTAAATGTACATGGGGATTTAGGCCAGAGCGCAGGTAACGTTCTCTTTGTCCCGGGAATATAGCCTGTATCGACGAGAACAGAAGACCTACTATCCGTGCCAGTAGGCGCAGAGGTATGGACGTCATGCGAAGAACCTTCCGGATCTCCCTGCAGATGGAGGTAACCTTTGCGGCCGGAAGACAAAGGATGCAAGATCTGGAGTCTATTTCGAAGCCTAGATCCAGCGCTAATTTGGCACGATTGATCATGAAGCCTAGCGATTCTAGCAGGTGTTCTGTATAGTCGGTGTGGGTCCGGAGAGTTTGTGCGTCTCCGTCAAAGATCAGGATGTCATTGACATAAATGATACATCTTATACAACAGGCTGAAGGTGCACCACCGCAGGCTTCAGCATTTTGGTGGAGCACCAATGGGCCGAGCTGAGGCCGAACGGAAGGCAAGTAAAGTGCCAAGCTGTTCCGTGCCAGTGGAAACGAAGGAAGGAGCGACTCTGTTCATGGACCTGAATAGTCAGGTAAGCATCCTTGAGATCTAGACGGGTGAACCAGTCGTTGTCTCGAAGCAGATCCCGGAGGAGGTGGATGCCCTCCATTTTGAGGTGTCTGTATACCACGTGGTTGTTCAGATCCATGAGGTTGATAACTGGGTGAAATTCTCCAATTTTGTTCCTGACCAGGAAAATGTTGCTGCAGGAATCCGGTCAAATCCGGGGCCAGTCGAATATCACACTTGACACGCAGTTCCCGTAATTCGGAATCTACCAGGCGAGCGTCCGCTTGCGTTACGTGGAGCGGGCGCAGTGGAACTCGTTGGACCGGGATTGTCTCGAATTCTATGCGGTAGCCTCGCACGTTTTGTAGGATCCATGCGTCCATGGAGACGTCTGCTCAGTTCTGGAAAAAAAGAGAAATACGACCTGCGATCTGGAAGGTAGTTAGTGGAAAGGTAATATGGTGCCTTACCGTTGGAGAATCTAGCTCGGGAGCGTCCTCGGCCTCCTCGACCACGGTCTGATCTCCTACAATAGTGGAATCTCTGGCAATTGGTTGTGTCCGGTTGAAAGGCTGTGTCCTGGTGGTATGGGGGCCCAATGGCCAGATGCGCCCAATGGCCCCTTGTGTTAGAGCCGCGGAAGAATTTCCACATTGATGATTGAGCCTTGTTGAGGGATGTAAATATGTTGACCCTCTTGCTGAGGTCTTTGAGAAAGGCCTCTCCAAATAATTTATCCCCCAATTCCACGAGCTTGTTGTCGATTACCACACATTAGTATTCCTGATGAAGCAGAAACACCTTTGTGCTCACTCTCAGGTGTCACGTGCCCACTCACCATATCTGGGGTAAAGCTCATAGGCATCGTCTGCCAGGTCATAACCCTTGCTAGAGGTCCAAAGGAGTCAAGGAGTTTATCCTGAGCCCCCTTGAATCCGCGCGGGGGATATGAAAGTCAGCATGAGCTGATCAAAATCAGGTGTATTAGCCACCTTATCTGGTAGAATTGGATGAGGGCACTCAGACCACATGCATCTCCACACCTCTTTGTCCAGGGGTTTCCGAAACCAAAAGTGCATAAACTTCGCAAGATGTTCAGGGGGATCCATTCCTCAGAGCAGGGATGGCGTATTTTTTTTAGCTCAAACATCCGGAGGCCAGAGGCGTCCAGGAATACCTCTGATTCCTCCATGGTCGTAGCCATGGAACCCTGGGGCTCACCCAGGTATGCATCCCTTGTAAGGAACGGGTCAGAGTTGGGAGCAGGGTCCCAGTTACTCTCCTCCGGTTCGGATGCCTCCACCTGCCATTCATCTAGTACCGAAAGTGCTTGGGCTGGTCCTGCGTCGTCCTCCTCTGTGGACATCTGTGCAGGCCTGTGGGCCGTACGGGTCGTGTTCTTTTTGCATTTGGCAGGGGCCTTGCCTTGGATTTCCTAGGCTTGGTGTTTTCGCCCTTCCAGTGGCGTTTGGGAGGTCGTGACCGTTCCCTGGAGGAGTCAGAGTCCTCCAAATCTGGCACGTAATGGGCCCATTTGGGAATGGACTTGGCACTGTCGTGTTCCGTCTTGGAAAAGGCCTTCTTCATAGAGGCAGCAACCGCTGCTGTGATCATGGCCTGCAAGTCTGATTGGGTCTGTGTCTCTTCCATTGTGACTTGCTACAATCACTCGGGGCTCACCTTGTGGTATGAGCATGATGGCAGTATTGTAGTGGCACGGAGGGTAGGAGAGACCTGGGGGCCAAGGGGGTGATATGGAAACAGGTACCGGATGACCTGTACTAATTGTGGCCGGTAAGCCGGTACAAGCAGATGGAGAAGGTATGTAATCACTGGAGCTGACCCAGGAGATCGGAATCCTGCATGAACAGGTCTGTTCAGCAGCACATAAATGGGGGCTCACCCCGTCCAGAGTAAGGGATAGACCCAACTGGCTTGAACCAACCCCTAGTGCAGAGCACTAACCTGGACCTGGTCCCACCAATTTCCCTGAGGGTGCATGCAGAAATAGACTCAGAGCAGTAATGCTTGACAGGGCACAGCTGAATGAAGCTCGGTAGTCACTTCAAGAGGCTGTCCAAATCAAGATGGTCGCTGAACGAACGACCCAGTAAAGTCCCGAAGTGGTTAGTTCGGCTAGAAAAAAACGCACAACAGTGTAAAAGACACGCACAAAGCAGGGGAAAGGGGGGCCCGCAATGCGAGGGCACAAAACCGGGACCCGGAATAGGCAGGGTCCCCCAAAGAAAACGGGCAGGCAAGAGGGTCAGCAGGAGAGCCCCAAGGACCCTGAGAACAGAAAGGGAGATACCTGAGGTGGAACAGGTAGGGATAGGAAAGACCTCAGAAGGGAGTTGATAGTAGCCACCTGAGAATGGACAGAAAAAGTGTAATAAAAGGTAATAAACTGCAATATTCTAAAGACAAATAAGAAAAGGAGAAAACAAAGGTTGAGAAAAGGACAGAGAGAGGATAACAAAACTCTGTACTTATCTTGTGATGGAGCAGCAAAGAAAGAGGAATCGCTGCAGTGAGACATGACTCTTCTAACCTATGCTTGCTTGTGATTGGTTCTCAGTTTTCTCATTACTTTTCTTTGCTGCTATGGAGTTAGTAAAGAAAGATTATGCAACATATGAAGCATCCTGTCATGTGGTAAAATGAGCACATCAGGGAGTACATAAGGAATGTAAGGTGGAGCAATCTGCATTTAAAAAGACACCAGAATGGTGCAAAGCGTCAACATGAGCATGGTGCTGCCCATGAGGCACTGGGGCGGTGACACTCATCCTTTTACTTTTTCAACTCTCCCACAATTATTACTTTATTTACGTTTACTTAATTACACTTCTGGCATAAAAATAGTGATTGATGAGGTGCATGTGATATCATATCCCTATGATATGTTCCTATAAATGTCAAGTGAATTGTGCCCAGAGAGGGACAAATAGAAGCTATGCACCTGAATATATTGTCTTCCTAGAAATCTAATGATAAAATATTTAAACGAGGTGAGGAGGAAACACGGAGTATGTGTAATTCATAAATTTGTGTGTGGACTCCAGTAACAAAATAGAAGTCAGTGAAATATGTGTGTCCAAGTATATGGATATATGTTTGCATTTCAGTGGCTAACTTGGTGTAAATGTGCATAGAAAACCAATGTCTGTATATACGTATGTGTATGTAAGAGGGGTTTAATTATGTATGGCTGTGCTTTGGCTATTTGTGTTTGGAAGCTAATTAAATATTTGTGTGTGTTGCCAGCTAGGTAAGTAACTTTCTTGCATCCCCAGCTGTAATTTTGCACGTATGATGTACAAAGTAATGATCATTTCAACTGGAATGCTGTCTGTTTATTCTCTGTTCCACTGCCCTATATGCAGTTGTGATTATTAAAATGCATAGACATTTTTTTCCACATGCTCTGAGCTCTTTTGTTGATCGGTTGTCCATGCTGTCTCCACGGCTCCTATTGTGCTAACCTACTAGTCTGTATATCAGTGGTCCCCTCAACTATAAAAACACTCTCATATAAAACTAAATCACATTGATAGAAATAGTCTTAAAAAGTACATAAATTAAAAAATAAACAATATACATTAATTAAAGGACCACTATAGGCACCCAGACCACTTCAGCGTAATGAAGTGGTCTGTGTGCCAGGTCCAGCTAGCATTAACCCTTTCCTCTATAAACATAGCAGTTTCAGAGAAAGACAGTGAGAAGACGCCAGCGTCCATAGGAAAGCATTGAGAATGCTTTCCTGTGGACTGGCTGAATGCGCATTCACCCGATGACGAGGAGAAGGAGGAGTAGAGGAGGAGGAGGAGAGTCCCCCGCCTGGCGCTGGAAAAAGAGGTAAATTTAACCCCTTCCATCCCCTAGAGCCCGGCGGGAGAGGGGCCCTGATGGTGGTGGGGGCCTAGAGAACCTATAGAGCCAGGAAAACGAGTATGTTTTCCTTTAAAAAAAAAACAAAAAAACTTCTAAAACATGGAAAGGGATCCTGAAAGTGTACAAGTATTGTTGTATAGCAAATTCTTCCATCATCAACCAGATACCATTGTCCCATTTTAAACCAGAGAAGCCAATTAATTTGGGTTAACAAAATGGTTTACAGAAACATGGATGCTTCAGCTTACAAAATTCCTCTCTACCAAAACACCCAGGGAACTATTAAACAGCACATGGCCTGAAGCATCATTATTTCACCCTGCTTAATTGTGTCAAAATGCAAATGGTTTATTCACTTGCAAGTAAGTCTTATTGTGTAAATAAAATGCTTTTGTGAGGATTTTCTTGTAAGTCCATTATAATGAAGATTTAAATGTTATTTGTCATTCAGTGCTCCATGTGAACTAACATTTTATGTATGTAATATGCAAAAAACATTTATTCTGTGATACAGAAGATGTTCCAGTTAGCGTTTTTCAAATATTTTCTGTTTCCTAGGGCTATTCCAGCTAGGGAAGCAAAAATATAACATAGTGCAACACTGTGTATAATAATACTGGATATAAAATTAAGTGCCAAGTGATCACTCACACTTTAACATCAAATAAAGTGCCTTCAGAAATATATTGGTGTGTGTCTTCTTCAATGCTGAATAGATGATAATCTCATACAAAAGATAGAAAAATGCAAGAAAATAATGAAGTAACTGAGTAAATAAAGTACAAAAAGCAGCATTTATTACTTACATCAAAGTAAATAATAGCAGATGATGAAAAATATGTTCAATAGTCCAACGCGTTTTGTCCCTGTCAGGGACTTCCTCAGGGACAATCTTTTACAAAATGCTGGATACAAATGCATTTGGGTATGCATTTGTATCCAGCATTTTGTAAAAGATTGTCCTTGAGGAAGTCCCAGAGAGGGACGAAACGCGTTGCACTACTATTGAACATACTTTTCATCATCTGATAGATATATTTTGTGAGAAAACCTTTTTTATTTTTCTTTGGAAAAATTTCACAAAGTTTCTTGAAGTTCGGGAAGCGAGGGACAACTCCATCAGGCTCCTCAACCTTATGCACCTAGCTTCAACTTCGCGCCGTCACACTCTCAACAGATGCAGAAAAAGCGTTTGACCGGGTGGGCCGGCGATACATGCTTAACACACTACAGAAGATGGGATTCGGGGAACCTTTCTGCAAATGGATCCGGGCTCTTTACTCTGTACCAACGGCTAGTGTGCACGTGAACGGGGACCTCTCCACGCCAGTACGAATGGGACACGGCATGGATGCCCTCTCTCCCCCATACTATTTGTCCTCACGCTGGAACCCTTTCTTTGTGCTCTTCGGTCCAACCCCTCGATCCATGGTTTCCGATTTGTAGGAGTGGAACATAAGGTCTCTCGGCTCTGATAAAATTCATATGGAAGGGGCATAGACCACGTATAAGATTGGGACACCTGATGAGACTAAAGGGGGAAGGTGATACCAAATAGGTGGGTTATTACAAAGCAACACACCTGTCGAGAATTGTAGCCTGGCACGAAACAGATACACAGAGGATCTGGACAACGCTGGAAAGAGATGCTTCGAAGGCTGGTATCCCGGGAGCGGTATGGCTGCCGGATGACACAGCCAAACAATTGATACGTGAACAACCCTTTGTTGGGGCAACTCTGAAGGTTTGGTACCGGACACGCTTTCGGCTCTCCATAACAACGCTAACCGGACCAATGTACCCAGTCACAGGCAACCCAGCATTTCCTCCTGGATGGGAGGCAGGGTTCCTGGGGAAAGGATGACACTTACGCCTCTCAGGACTCTGCAGGAGACACACACTGTTACCCCTGAGTGAATTCTTGCAAGACCGCGAACCAACTATGACTGAGCGTTTTCGGTATCACCAATTGATTCACTTTCACGAGTCGTTTGCCCACTAACTACAGCTTACAAGACCTCTGCTCCCATTTGAGGAAACTTGCTCGAGGGGTGGAGGCCTCCATCGAGGTATATCGATCCTCTACACACTCCTACAGCAGGCGGATGCAGTCCCTCCTATGAAGTTCCAGGCGCAATGGGAAGAGGCACTACACACCTCGTATACTCCAACTGAATGGGACAAGATAGCCCTGTGCACGTCCCTCAGCTCACGATGTGCCAAATATCAGGAAATCAACTATAAAATACTCACTCTGTGGTACGACACACCACAGAAGATTCATAAATACCAACCAGAGGTCCCTGAGCACTGCTGGAGATGCGAGAGGGCGGTGGGGACTCTCTTTCACATTTTCTCATAACACCGTACTGGGAGCAAATATACGAGGCGATGCGAGAGGTAGCAGATATCCTACTCAACAGAACAGACCCGGCAGATATCCTACTCAACAGAACAGACTTACCCATATCGAGGTATAAGAAAACTGTGTCCCGACACCTCCTAACGGCAGCGAAATCACTGATCCCAGAAACAGCCACCAACGTTCCAAACCTGGCTCCAGAGAGTGGAGGAGATCAGACAAGTTGAAGCCGAAATAGCGGCGGTAAGTGGCAGGCTGGAGAAACAGGAGGAGATGTGGAGGACTTGGACGTACTACCTATGCAACAGAAACTACCCCGGAAACCAACCCGCCGGGTAAGGGACCTGAACGCGCGTGTGGCGTGGTGGATGAGAGCGACCCGCGAGACCGGGCAATCCAACCCAGCCTGTTTCTCACCCCCCCCCCTTCTTACTATCACTAATTTCACCATACCTTCTCCCTCTCCCCTCTGTCTCTTCCCCATGCTTGTACAGCTGAGCTAACCTAACAACCCTACCTAATAGGGCGCACCCGCCTCTTTGACCACTCAATTCTCAGCCGATACTCTAATAGACACAATCCGACTAGGGATACCAGCACGGCATTTCACTCCTCCTACGGGTGCCTAACCAACGGGAGGCGAGGTTCACTCCGGACACCCACTGGGGACTCCCCCTTGGGGTTCGTGAACTGGAGGCAAACATGCCAAACCCGAAGGGGTTAGGCAGATACACGACATTCCCAAGGGCATATGATATATGACAGACAATAGGTGGTGAAAACAGACGAGTCTCCACAGACGAAGACAAGCAACCCACATGACCCGCACTACACCGGGACGCCTGGTGCACACAACAAACAGACACAGGGAAAAGGCAGGGGTTACCCGGGAAAGTTAGAAGGGGGTACAGAGGCTAAAATATGAGATTGTAACACCTACATACTCCCTTCACCCTCTGATTGAGACGCAGGGATCCGCAACAAGTCAGATAACCAGAGGTCATGCAAAATTGAGTTCAACCACCAATGCATGAACACACTCAGCCACCTAATCCACAATGTTTAAGGGGATGTTTTATGGGGGGAGCAACCTGAAAAAGTACCCACTCGGATCTATGTATCTTGAAGCGTTATGAACCTTATAGCGTTATTTAAACACTACTCTTTCCTTTCTTTCTGTATCACCTAATGTTTGGAAAAATAATCTAATAAACAAAGATTAACAACAAAGTTTCTTGACGTTCACAGTCATTTGCCAGCAAAACAAAATCACATAAATGTTTTAAACTACAATACGTGTGTTTAGAAATCAGTCTGTGTACATATGATACATGCTCGTGTTCTAAATTACTTTTTACTTCTTTTAGTTCCATAAATGATTAAAAGACTTCACCTAATATTTCCCATGACAGCTCGACCCCTGAGCACATCCCTAAAATTAAAGAGTCCCTCTTAGTTCGTTAGAAGTGTTGGAAGGTAACAGAAAGTAAAAACAAAACAAAAATGTTTTAAAATAACTTCTGCAAACAAATCTGCTGCCAACAAGGTGGCCACTCCTCTCCCACTTCAGATACAGCATTATAAAACTGCACACTTTACTCCTTAAACACTCCCCATTCATAACCAGCCAGTCTGTGAGGCTTATTCACTAAACATCGAGTTGTAATAAATTGACATCCAAATGGCCGACATTTGGCAAAATAGTTGATTTTGGGGAAAATAAGTCTCTAATTTATGGATAGTTATAGCTTGGCATATTTTTCCTCAATATTGTCATTAAGTTTTCATTTCAGCACAATTCGTTGTTTAGTGAATAAACGGTTTGTCACGTGCCCTGTGTACACAGAGCTCCACACCCCTCCCTGAGGAGACATTTATCCTCTACGGGGGGGCTTACAACTTGTCTTATTATAATAGAACATGCTCCGACCACGCCCCCTCACCATCCTGGCCCTCAGCTTCCCAAACCCTCCCCTCACCAACCAATGACAAGCTCCTGTCACCTTCAGACGCCGCGCTCATTGGTCCGTCCAAATGTCGCGCCTCGCCCCTTCTGTGTACCGAGCCCAGCGCGAGGTGGCGGTTGGAGTTTGAATTGGGACACAGGCCGAGTGGGCGTGGTTCCATGGTGGGCGGGTTTGGCGTGAAAGAAGGCGTGGTCAGAGTTACACGGTGGAGGCGGCGGAGAAGAATCCCGTCACCTCAGAGAAGCGTTACCGAGCTGCCCCGGGTAAGTGACTGTGAGCGCCTCCGCCATCTTACAACTTTCCTGAGTCCTCCGTTACACGCGGGGCATGTCCTCCCAGCTTCCCATTCCACTGGGAGGGGTTAATACTCCGCACTGTTACTAAAGAAGGGGGGGAGTCTGGGAGATGGTTTAACCCACTCAATGCCGGGTGTCTGGGAGATGGTTTAACCCACTCAATGCCGGGTGTCTGGGAGATGGTTTAACCCACTCAGTGCCGGGAGTCTGGGAGATGGTTTAACCCCCTCAGTGCCGGGAGTCTGGGAGATGGTTTAACCCCTCAGTGCCGGGTGTTTGGGAGATGGTTTAACCCACTCAGTGCCGGGAGTCTGGGAGGTGGTTTAACCCCCTCAGTGCCGGAGTGGAGGGTGTCTGGGAGGTGGTTTAACCCACTCAGTGCCGGGTGTCTGGGAGATGGTTTAACCCCCTCAGTGCCGGGTGTCTGGGAGATGGATTAACCCACTCAGTGCCGGAGTGCACGGTGTCTAGGTGGTTTAACCCCCTCAGTGCCGGAGTGGAGGGTGTCTGGGAGGTGGTTTAACCCACTCAGTGCCGGGAGTCTGGGAGGTGGTTTAACCCACTCAGTGCCGGGAGTCTGGGAGGTGGTTTAACCCACTCAGTGCCGGAGTGGAGGGTGTCTGGGAGGTGGTTTAACCCACTCAGTGCCGGGAGTCTGGGAGGTGGTTTAACCCCCTCAGTGCCGGGTGTCTGGGAGGTGGTTTAACCCCCTCAGTGCCGGGTGTCTGGGAGGTGGTTTAACCCCCTCAGTGCCGGGAGTCTGGGAGATGGATTAACCCACTCAGTGCCGGGGTGCAGGGTGCTGTCTGCCGAAAAACGAGTAGCCAAACAGCTTTCTGTATTTGAACACTGGCTTCTGGAACTCCAGCTGTTGGGACTGCATATCCCATGATGCTCAACCAGTTGGCTGACTAAGCATGAGTGGAGTAATAGTCCGTGACTAGTGGAGTGTCAGAGATCAGCGAGTTAATGTGTGAGTTACAATGTGGTTGCTTTCTCTGTGTTTGTCTATACAGACTTTGATAGTTGACTTTTTTGGTTTTACTAGTAATATTAAATTAATTTTGAACTTGGAAATTATGCATTTAGCTTTTTAATAGAGTTAAAGAATGTCATGTGGTATTGTAAACACTCTCAATTTAGATCCCACATGGTTATTCCTTAAAGTGTGAATGAAGAATTTCATATTTGAGACCAAAATTGATTGGAAAAAATCAAATCTTACAATGTTGATCTCTGATTTTCATGACTAACTCTGCTTGTGTAATAAGACAGGATGTAAAATGTTGTATGGACTTGCTATGAATGCTAATAGTACAGTCTCACGTTAACACTACATTGTCTGACAACGATGCTCAGTTTACACTGGACTCTCCTGATCATTTCAAACTTTAAAGGGACAGTATAATCACCAGAACAACTTCAGCTTAATGTCCTGGTGTCTACTGACCGTATCACTGCTGGCTTTTCAGAGAAAATGCAATGGTTACATTACTGCCTAGGAACACCTAGTGGCAATCACTCAGACATCCACTAGAGGTGCTTCATGGGTCAGGTTTGCTCTGGAACATTTCCAGTTAAGTAATTTTTGTCTTAAATTTTAAAATTCACGTTTAATTCCCTACAATTCACACTTTACAAAATAATCCTGGAAGAATCTGATATTGAAAAAGGAAAAAAGAAAATAGGTTGCAAAAATATTTAGAAGCAAGACCCACTATTGTGACCTAAAGTTTGCTTTAAATAGCATGTTAGTACACATATTTCCAGACCCATTCCTGTTATCAATGTGCACTACAATTGCTAAGTAGTGTGCTGCCTAAAGTAACCACAACCACTACAGCTTGTTGTAGAGGTTATGGTGCCAGGAGTGCTCTGGCACACTACATTGAAAATAGTCACTCTTTTTGAACAGTTCCATACTCCTATAATGAGAATGGACAAGGTGGCAGTATGTGCAGTGGCCCATTTACAACTTTGCTTTGAAAGTTAATCACAGTAAAGTTAGAGGACTGATATATTGTGAAAAGATTACTCAAAGCTCCAGGACAACTTCATCAAAATGAAAGGGACTCTATAGTCACCAAAACAACTTTTAGCTTAATGAAGCAGTTTCTTTTTATATAGATTGTGCCTCTGAAGTCTCAATGCTCATTTCTCTGCCATTTAGGAATTAAATCAGTTTTGTTTATGTAGACCTTGCCATATCTCCCCCAACTTTGACTCTCACAGCCTGCATGGGGGGGGGGGGAAATGGTTTTTAACTTACTTTAGAAGTGTTTATATCCTGCTCTGAACTTTAATCACACACAGCAGGTTCCTGCAAGGTTTCGCAAGCTATTACCATTGCAAGATATAGGAAATTTTTAATTTAAACAGACACTGTAAAGATATTTCACTCTCTCAGAAGTATTCAGTACACCTGTATGTAATATGCAAGAAGGTGTGGCTGGGGCTCCGTAAACAGTGAGACTGCATGGGCATGATCTATACACCAAAACTGCCTCATTAACCCCTTAAGGACTGAGCCAAATGTACATGTTGTAAACAAAACCTGGCATTTGCGCTACATGTCTGTCCAACCGTAATTCAACTCTTTAATAGTAAATGCACCCACCCTTATATATCATTTTATTCAGGGGAAACAGGACTTTCATTTAATATCAAATATTTAGCTATGAAACTTTATTTATTTTTTTTAGTTCTACATGACATTTTAACTGTCAATGTCATAATAATGTTTGCTTTTAATGCAATAAAATACACATTTGTATTCAGCAAAGTCTCATGTGTAAAACAGTACCTCCTATGTATGGTGTTTTGGGAAGTTACAGGGTCAAATATAGCACATTACATTTGAAATTCGCCAGATTGGTTACGTTGCCTTTGGGACTTTATAGTAGCCCAGGAATTAAATTTACACCCATAATGGCATACCATTTGCAATATTAGACAACACAAGGTATTGCAAATGGGGTATGTCCAGTCTTTTTTAGTAGCCATTTGGTCACAAACACTGGCCAAAGTTAGCGTTTGTATTTGTTTGTGTGTGAAAAATGCAGAAAACACCAATTTTGGCCAGTGTTTGTGACTAAGTGGCTACTAAAAAAGACTGGACATACCCCATTTGCAATACCTTGGGTTGTCTACTATTGCAAATGGTATGCCATCATAGGGGTAATTTTCATTCTTGGGCTACCATAGGGTCTCAAAGGCAACGTAACCAATCTGGCGAATTTTAATGTGGAGAAAAAAAATAAACACTGTAACTTTTGAAAACACCATAAAACCTGTACGCTGAACACAAATATTTGTGCTTCAAAACAGTAAAAAGTATCACAGCAATAATATCGTCCTTGTAAGTTCTGTTTGTGTGTGGGAAAATAAAAAAGTAACTTTTACTGGCGATATCATTGTTGTAATACATTTTACTGTTTTGAAACACTAATATTTGTGTTCAGCGAAGTCTCCCGAGTAAAACAGTACCCCCCCATATACAGGTTTTATGGTGTCTTGGAAAGTTATAGAGTTAACTATAGTGCTAGCAAATTTAATTCCCTATACTTTTGGCATGGGCTGTCAGGCCAGTCCTGCTAATTGTAATTAATTAAAATACCTAATTATGTAAAAATATTACATAAATATATATATGTAGAATTAATATATGTAGAATTAATATCTCTCTCTCTCTCTCTCTCTCTCTCTCTCTCTCTCTCTCTCTCTCTCTCTCAATATATATTATCACAATACAGTTAGAATGAAATAACACACATCTATATATTTTTTAACGTATTTACATATTTTTTTATATTATTTATATATTCAATCAGTATCAATCTACGTGTAATTTGATATTTATTTATATATATGTATATTTATTTTTTTGATCTAAGTATATTATAATAATTTTTTTTACACTGATTTTAATTTAATTTACCCTATTTTTCGCTCCATAAGACGCATAGTGTCCTTCACCCCCCTTGTCCCATAGTGCACTTTCCCTCCCACAGTGTCCCCCACTCCCCTTGTCCCATAGTGCACTTTCCCTCCCATAGTGTCCTCCCTCCCCTTGTCCCATAATTACCTACCTGTCTTGTAGCGTGGGCCGGCTTAACAGCTTGCACCACGGTACAGGAACTTCAATTTCAGGTTCCGGTTTCCGGCGGGACTGAAAGGAAGTGTGAAATTGAATTTCCTGTACTGCGGAGCGCGCTGTGCTGCTGGCCCACGCTACAAGACGAGTAAGTAAAGCTTCACATTCGCTCTATTAGACGCACAGACATTTCCCCTCACTTTTGAGGGGGAAAAAAGTGCGTCTTATGGAGCGAAAAATACGGTAATTTGAATTCAGCCAGCAGAGGGACTGTCAGCCAGCTAACCCGGCCATGTGATTGTGAGGTCCTCGCAAGGACCTCACTCTCACATGGCCGGAGGAGGCAGGATCCGCCGCGGGGGACCAGGTAAGGAACAAAAAAACGGAGGTCGTACTATTACACCCTGCTGCGTTTAGAGCTGCTTAGAATAGGACGTAATAGTACGCCCTCCGGTTTTAAGGGGTTAAGCTAAAGTTGTTTTGGTGACTATAGTGTCCTTTTAAGTTGTTATGGCGGAAGGAGGTCGCAGGAATCTGAATCGGTAAACCGTTAAAGGGAAACTAAAGCACAAAGATTCCCAAAGCACTTCAGCTTGTTGAAATGTTTTATGTGTGAAACACAGCTCTCAATGAGCTGATCGTCCGTCCGCCAGCCGGCCACCTCAGGGGCTGAGCAGACTCACATATCCCAGGCGCCACAACAAATTTCCTGGTCGCTATGGCGACCTGGCACCTAGGATTTTTTTGAGCCCTGCTCTATAGGTTGCATTTTCAGTGAAATTTGGGTGACCACTTGAAGCATTTGTTATGTTGAGTTATTTCAATTGCTTTTTGTTTGATTTGTTTATTACTAACAGCAAAATAGCATTTGCCCCTCTCCTGTGCAGATAGGGGTGGCAATAATGTATTCTTTGGTGGGCTGCAAGTAGACATCTGCCCTCTGGTGGCAGTAACCTTTTTCATGTGGCACCTTTGGCACTTGCACCCAAAAGCCCTACCCGATGATTTGTATGCTAAATGGTCAATTTTATTAAATGATGGCACACCCGCCTGCCTCCTCCAGACCTCAAATCAGACGTGCATGTATGCATAAGCACACCAATTCAGAAGCTTTGCAATGAGAAGCCTTTGGTTATTTTCTCTGTGTAGAAGAGAATTGCAACTTTTGCATAAAAACTGCAGCTTTTAAAATATACCCCAATTAATACATGCATGAAATAAATCATGCATAAATTCATTGGGGATATATCTACATGTTTGTCTATTTGCACAGTGGAGTGTCCCTTTTAAAGACAATTTATTTCTTACTTTTTGGCATATGTTTGACCTTTATGAGTTTGTTTACTATAATCCATATTTTACAAGTTACTATGGGTGGACTAACAGATGCCTAATTGTAACCAGACAAATGGGTGCACAGAAACAGAGGGGTTGAGGGTCCTGCTTAATGAGCTTACATGCTAGAGGGATTGGGGTAAAGTGACACAAAAGGTAAGGGAATTATTAGGGAAGATTGGGAGAATAGTATACAATGAAGGTTTGGTTTTTGCCTCAACACTTTATTTTAAACATTGATTTCTTGACGTTTTGTGTGCTGCATACAACAGCTTTGAAACACAACACTGGAAGAAATGCAAAGCCAATGAACCCCTGATGAACAGCTATTATTATTATTATTATTATTATTATTGTTAATAAATATATATTTTTTTTAAAGGGACTCTATAGGCACCCAGACTACTTCAACTCATTGAAGTGGTCTGGATGCAGTTTCCCTTTTGCACTCGAGAGAAATTGCAATGTTTACATTGCAGCTGTAAGTCTGCCCACAGTGGCTGTCTGGTAGGGCTTCCTGGCTCGAAACAGACCTTTGGTCTGGTATCTGACACTGGACATCCTCACATTCGGCATGAGGAAATCCAGCGTCGGATTTTTCCCCATAGGAAAGCATTCATTCAATGAATTTGCTGCGCACTCACTCGTCGAGGGACATCGGCGCTCGGAAAAGGCAAGTAAAGGGTTTTTAACCCTTTATTTACCCGGATGGGTGGCGTAAGGGAGGTGGAGGCAAAGGAAGCTATAGTGCCAGGAATACAGCTTTCAATTCCTGGCACTTTTAGTATCCCTTTAATGCAACTCATCAGCATGAGGTTGGTTACTGGCTTGCTGTTGAGGTTCAGTTATATATGAAATCGGTACAGAGGAATTATTTAGAATCGTTTCTATTAATTCCATTTTAAAATGGGCTAATGACTGTAGGTAGCAGCGTTTGACTAGGGATACAACTGAGATACACACACACATTTTTCCTATTCCTGCTCAATTGACTGTATTGTGTTTTTAACCAACACCTAATCATTTGAATTGCTATTAGAACATACATTCTCTTCTGTAGTCACAAGTAACTGCTAAACAAAGGATTATACATTAATTACATTTTAATCTGGAAAAGTTTCCTCTAATATGTTGGTGTCACGGTAAGTAAAGACTTTCCTTGTGAATGCATTTCAACCTGATGCTATGAATGGATAATTGTTTCTGAGAAAATTGTTCTTTTAAAAACCAACAGGATTAGGGATAATGAGAATTCTGCCTTTAAATTAATACACGTAATATACAATAATTGCTTGCCCTTATTTATTTATGTGTGTGTGTGTATGTATGTATGTATGTATGTGTATATATATATATATATATATATATATATATATATATATATATATATATATATATATATATATATATATATATATATATATATACATATACATACACAAAAATCAAAACTGAGGATGCACTCACAGGACTTGGTTAAAGTGAAAAAAAGGGACTTTTAATTATTCCATGTGAAATGTACAGAAAAATCAATTTTCCATTCACATGGAATAATTAAAAGTCCCTTTTTTTTCACTTTAACCAAGTCCTGTGAGTACATCCTCAGTTTTGATTTTTGTATATTTCTGACGTTTGGGATATAGCACCCAGGCTATTAGTTCTTTCTTATTACTTAAAGGAGAGTGCCAAGCATCCTGTTTTTTTGCTATATATATATATATATATATATATATATATATATATATATATATATATATATATATATATATATAATTTTTTTTTATTTATTTTTTTTTCATCACCTCCCTTCTACAGTTTAGTGTTAACAAGTCCAAAAGAAGGTGTGCTATCTTTGGTAACTGTACTTTCTCCCAGTTGCATGCTTTTTTAGAATGTTCAGATTTCTTTTAGTCGCAATACCACATGCTCTTCTATATAGTTGCAGTGTAGTAAGAACATGTACAAAATTAGGCAAATATTCAAGAGAAAACCAAAGTATAATACATGTGTATATAGGAAAAACTGAAGAGATCTTGTCATTAGATGACTATAATGAACTAATTCTTTCAAACTAGTGAGTACTAAAGTGACACTGTAGTCACTAGAACCACTACAGCTTAAAGGGACATTATAGGCACCAAAACAACTTTTAGCTTAATGAAGTGGTTTTGGTGTATAGACCATGCTCCAGCAGTTTCACTACTCAATTCTCTGCCATTTAGGAGTTAAATAGTTTTATTTATACAGCCCTAGTCACAACTCCCTGCATGTGACATACGCATCTTTCCTGAACACTTCCTGTAAAGAGAGATCTAATGTTTAAACTTCCTTTATTGCACAGCCTGTTTAATTTAATTTAGAATTTCTTGTCTCATCCTCTGTTTAATAGCCTTCTAGACCCTGTAGGGACCTCGTCTGTGATTTAAAGTTCAATTTACAGAGCAGAAGATAAAAACTTATAAAGCAAGTTAATATCTGAAAATTAACCAGTTTTTTTTTTTCTGACATATGGTGGCAGTACGTCTAGGGTTGGGACAAGCATCTGCAAGATAGGAATTAGGAAAAGTCCCTCCCCCTTTACCCTATAAAGGGCTTCCCCCGGCAAATCCACCTCAGTTCCTCCTTGTCCCAGCACGGGGCGGATCAGTCATCTGTTGTAGGTGAGGCACACGGATTGATGCCTGGGGGATCCGGCCCGATAGCTGTCCGGATTGCAGGCTGAGCAGCCATGGTCCTTCCGCGGCATACGGAGCTTTAACACCAGGATCTTTGTATTCCGAGTAAGTGAGGCGTTGGGAAGAAAGCGTGGCCCGAGGATGCAGTGAGTACATGGTAGGCTTGCACCTGCGCACAACGGTGGAACGCACGCCCGGGTGGTGTTGCGTTCCACCAAGGTTCCGGTTGCGCATGCGCAAACCGGAACTTCCTGGAAACTGCTGAATGCAGGTCCTGCTTGTCAGAAGGGTTCCCCGTGTCACCAGCCCCCCACACAGTTCAGAGGTTTTCAAGGTAAGATTAGCTAATGATTGGAATTGAAGGTTTGCTTAATGGTCTATATTGTGCATCTTGGAATGCCTCTTCCATAAACATGCTTTTCTTGTTGTATCTGTGCTACTCCCCTTCCTGATTGTATTGGGGTATATAATTGTAACCAAGGTGCTGCAATTACTTTGGTAAAATTTTAAGCAAAGACTATGCTATCATTCCTAGCCTGGTGTCAAGATTATCAAGTTCTATCTTTTTTTTATGTTTACCATCAAAAGGGGTAAAAGTTCAATCCCCAAGATACACTGGGAAACCAGAAAGATCTGCATTTCTCTTACCTAATCCCATAGGTGAAATGGCTGCGTTAAATACCCTGTGGTCGAGAAGGCAGAGTCCTCTTACAGACTATCTTCCAGGCTGCTGGTTTTCGGTATAAGGCTTTGCTGGCAGGTGTAGCGGTGTTTACTATTGTTAATTGAAGTTGTGGAAGTCTCCAGATAGCAGCTGTATTTGTGATTCCCACATACTTTTTTGATGGACATGACTAATAAATTTTGAAATTGACTGCCAAAATCAGAGGTTGATCTTCTCTTGCCCTTGGGCTTGGACTGTGGATCTGCATCTCTTTCGGTCCTCTGTTTACTCCCATTTGGAAAAAAAACGTCAAAAACGAAAAAAGCTCTCCCTCAAGGCTAGTAGTTTTAACTGGTGGTAGAACTAGTTCCGACATGGGTAAATGTTTTTGATGCCAAGAAGGTTGGAGGCAGAATCCTGCATTTCTATACGAAGTGTTGATAGGTTGAATTCCCCAGCAGGGTCGACTCTGCCCTTCATCCCTTTGAGGTACATGAATTGAGTACCATTAAATGGAGTCACTTATCATTCGTTTGGGTACCAGTATATATCTGAATGTCTCTCCCGTGGCTTTTACTTGCAATCACTGGTTTATTTATCTAGAACAGAGACTCTTTACGAGTCTGCACAATCCATAATTCCTCGTTTTCATTTATAATTCTTCCGAACATCTGGTACTCTATTTACAGAAACAGTGTCCCTGTTGGATAAAGGGAGTTGGAGATATGGTTCTAGTGAACCATGAAGTTCCTCAGGAATCTCCTGGATATCAAAGCGGGATCGTTCCTTTAGGCCTGTTTTGAATTTAAATTATTTGATTCATCTCCTGAAGTTTCTTCCACCAAGTCTGACCTTTTAGCCTATAGAATAGGTAGTTCTCTCTATGTAAGGCATCTATCACAGGTTGGGGCGCTCCTCTAAATTTTCGAATGTGCCAGCATTCTTGGTCCAAAGAAAAATGAGTTAACTAATTTCAGATCTCCTAAGGCAGTTCTTCACTCACCTCGCAGATTCAGATCTTTTGGTTAATGGAGAGACTTATTAGGATGCAGTCAGACCACAACACTGTTTCTCTCACGTCAACAGACAGGTTGGTGCCTTTGGCAAAGTCTGTTTCAACTATGTACCAAACTGTTTACTGGGCTCAGGATCTCTGGGAGGTCCTCGCTCGATTCAGCTTATGGGGTGTAGACAATGTCATCACCTACAACCACAGCACGAGTGAGTCTATAGATCCTATGATGCTCACCATGCTAAAGGGATATTTGGAGGTCCCGGATAGACCTTATGGCAAGAAAGGAGAACATATAAATTCCCAGATTTGCCTCCCTATACAGGACATTTCTCCGTGCTTGCGTTTTTTCCTATGGACTGATCCCAAGACTTCTTCAAAAGATATGAACAGACGGAGCAGCGGTTCTGTTAATCTTTCCATACTGGCCAAACACTAGCTGGTTTCCAGCCTTGATGGAGTTGATTTCCAGGTTTTGGGCTCTCCCTATCTCAAAAACACTTTTTTTTAGAAGATAAGATGGTCAGATTGACGGCAGGGCAACTGCATGGTGGATCCTTCATAGAGTTTCTACATTAACTGTAAGGAACATCATTGTCTTCTAGCTAATTTGTCTGTAGGTTCAGATTTATATTTCCTTCATGAGATTTCCACAAGTTGGGCGTTTCCACGTCGAGACCAAATTGTATTTCCTAAATCTTTCCGGGAAAGGATTGGTCTTTGTATATGCTAGTTGGAAGTTTCTTCAATGCAATAGGCTTCTTAGGCCACCAAGGAAGTTGTTTTCCTCCTGGGTTCTTTCTTCAATCTTTCGGTCCTCTTGGACTTTGGAGGTGGTTCCTTTTTCAGATTCTAAAGCTGCAACAGCATTCTTAGTGGCCATTACCTTTGCCAAGAGAGTAGGCGAGCTTTGGGCTTTATCATCTTCAGTAGAATTTAGTATATTACGTCAGGGTAAAGCAGTGTTTCTTCATACACATTCAATTCTTCCAAAGTTATCCTTTAGAGACCTTTATCAGCTCATCTTTCTACAACTGCGATATACTAAGAGTTAAAAAGGACATTACAGGTCTACCTATCAAGATCAGCTGAATACAGTAAATCAGATCACCCGTTTTTCATCTTCTAATGAAAGTTTAATGAGAATGAAGCCTTTCGTAATTCTATTTCTCGTTGTTTGGTCTATCAAAATGGCTTGCACTTCAGTAGTTTTGCTGTGCCAGCTTCTCTCTCAGCACATTCCACAAAAGCAATGGCCACGTCATGGGCAGAGAAAGCTCTTGCTTCACCCGAAGAAATCAGCAAGGTTGCTTCTTGGTCTTCTTTTAGCATCTTTGTCAGGCATTTCAGGCTAGAGTTACAATTTTTTCTTTCTCTCTAAAATTGCGTTGGGGCATAATGTACTACAAGCTGTTGAGACGTAAAGCCCACCCGATTGGGGATTTTGCTATAATCCAATACGTACTGCCATCATATGTCAGAAAAAAATAAAATCTACTCACCGTAAATTATTGTTTGCTTAATATGGTGGCGGTACAAAACTCTCTCCCTCTGAATCACAAATTTTGCTTGCAGTATAGGGCGTGGGTGTTTATTCTTGCTACCGGGGGAAGCACCTTTATAGGGTAAAGGGGTAGGGAATTTTCTTAATTCCTATTTTGCAGATGCTTGTCCCAATTGGGAAGCATAACCCCATACTGCCAGCATATTAAGTGGGGGGAAAAAAGAATTTACGGTGAATAAAGAAAATCTTTAAAAAAAAAATAAAAATTTTTATGCCCACTGTGCATGAGTCACAGCCAATGGAGGTGTGACTAGAGCTGCATAAACAATAACTAAATTGTTAGATGGTAGTGAATTTAGCAATGAGACTGCAGGAGCATGATCTCTACTCCAAAACTGCTTCATTAAAGGACCACTATAGTGCCAGGAAAACAAACTAGTTTTCCTGGCACAATAGGGTCATTAGGTGCCCCCCTCCCGCTGGGCTAAAGGGGTTAAAACGCTTTTAGCCACTTACCTTTCTCTAGCGCCGGGCTCCCTCTGCGCTGGGTAACTCTCCAACCCCTGCTGACGTCAGGAAAGAGCCGCGCGCGCATTCAAACTGCCAATAGGGAAAGCATTACTCAATACTTTCCTATGGATGTCCAGCATCTGCTCACTGATTTTCACAGTGAGAATCGTGGAAGCACATCTAGTGGCTGTCAGTGAGACAGCCACTAGAGGCTGGATTAACCCTCCCTTCAGCTGCAGGGTTAAAACTAGAGGGACCAGGCACTCAGACCACTTCATTGAACTGAAGTGGTCTTGGTGCCTATAGTGGTCCTTTTTAAGCTAAAGTTGTTTTGGTGCCTATAGTTTCTCTTTAATGTAGTGGTTCTGGTGTCTATAGCATGTCCCTGCAGGCTCAGCAATAAAAACATTGCATTTTCAGAGAAAAGTAACACTCCTAGGTGCAGTCACTCAGATGGCTTCTAGAGGTGATTCCTATGTTCAACATCTCCATGCTCTCTGCATGTACTCCAGCACTTTAGCATTAGGAATACATGTTATTATTCCTGACAATATAATGTTCCTTTAATGACCCGAAAACGGCTAGTAATCCAATTCGGGTTTCTAATTTAATTATAAACTGCTTTTGTGATTGGAATTTCACACCCATTTATTATTTACATATTGAAGCATGGACAATAAATGTAATCATTTATTTTGCTTTCTGTTTTTTAGCTTGTATTTTGAAGAAATATATGCTACTGCTTCTGAGAGACCATTCTCACCTTGACCTTTCAGGTACTATCTTTGAATTTTTGTTTGAGCATCTGGAATAAAAACAATTGTGTGTGTGTGTGTGTGTGTGTGTGTGTGTGTGTGTGTGTGTGTTTTGAATATTGAAGGGTCATTCCAGAGTCTATCACCTTCCTTTTACCTCATGATTAGGCAAATATTTGTTTTAAAGGGGAACTGTCACTTCTCTGGATATTTACACTATTGGGGGAAAAACAGACATTCAAAATCACCTGTAATTTGTGCTGAAGAAGCTCTCTCACTTTTAGGGGCCTTTGAATATTTTGCAAGGACCCCACATTAGTGACATGCCCACTTGGTTTGTGGCAGCTATGGAGCTGAAATTCTCACACTGCCATCTGGTTTCTGGTGTCAATCTTTGGTTCCAGGTGCATACTTTAACATGTGTGAGAGTGCAACACAGGGGGCTATAAAGGATTTTGTGGAATCCTCCATAAAACAAATCATGCAATGTTTAAGTAGCAGCCTTTTTCCCACAGCCATTGCAAACCACTCTAGTGTGAGCACACCAATACATGTTTTATTTGCCATGTGTAGCTATTCCCAAGGAATGGAAGCTATGTGTGGAAATTCATGAAAACTCTGAGACAAAATACGGTGTGTGATGTAATGTTAGTGCGTATATAGTGTGTGTCCCAATTGGTTTCATGATGTGACCATCAATTGAGACACCGGTCCTTGTATTTATCAAAGCACCACTGTCTCTTTTGTAGTTGTGTTTTTGTTTTTTTGTTATTGACTGGAAGTAAAGAGCTAAAAATAGCTGTGTGGATTGCTACTTTTAACAGCACTAAGCATTCATACTTCAGTGATAAGAAAGTGCTGCACATGGAGTTTAACCCGTCTGCTGTAACCATTTTTGGCAGCATCGTTTATTTGGGTGTCATCAGCCAGCCCAGAACTATTTCCAGATAGGCAAATGCCAGTGACTGTCTGTCTGAAAGTGGTCAGCTGACACTCTCAGTAGCTCTGTAGAAGCTGGAAGTGCCTCACCAGAAGCCCATTGGGTACCCAGGTAATGGGGCCAGGTTAATCTTGGCAACCAAACTACTATGGCAGGCTGCAGTGGTTATGATTTGAGTAACCATTTTATTTTTCAGATTTCACAAACCTATGGTATTTATAGGGGATAGGGCAATTTTAATATTGAAAATCCAGGGAAATGATGGTTCTACTTTAAATGATTGGAAGTACAATCAATAGGATATTTATAATTACAGGTATAAAATATAAAAAGTTGCAGCCATGGTGTAAATGAGTGAGTTTTCTTTTGAAAAGAAGTATCCGTGAGTAAGGATGAATAACATGAATGCTATTGGGCTCTCACATACTAGGCTAGTGCTGTCCAACTGCTTAGTTCTAAATAACACATCCTCTCCGTAGTAGTCTAGAGCTGAACTGTAATACACTTTATTTAATTTAATGTAACCCATATTGGGTAGTACAAAAAATTGGATGAATCCAGTCAGTATTATGTGGTTTGACAGCAATGCACTAGGCAAACTACTAAAACTCCTAATTATAGTGTTTCCATTTGTCAGATTAGGTTTATATTATTGGCCTTGTATTTATGCATTCACAATTTGTCAGGATTTGTCTAATTTTTATACAAAATACTGCCTAACTGTGTGAAAATAAACTGTGCTAAAAACTACACTGTCTATTCCTCTTTTCAACATGCATCACAAATTCAAGCTTAAAGGTATCTGTCACCTTTGGTTTTTATTGTTTTATAGTCTTTCTCAGTAAAAATTTATATATGTGTCTTTGTTGATTAAGAAGCAGAGGTATCAAAAGAACTTAGGTTTACAAAAAAAAACAAAAACATTTTAGTGCATGATGCAAATCTTCTACTTTTCCAATGATTGCTTCTGTTCCCAAAAATCCTTTCAACTTTGGTGATTTGCCGACTATAAATGGTTTTGCATTAAATGTCTTGCCCATGCATGACTGCACACATGGCAAGTGTGCCATGAGTTTGAAATTATAAGAATTTACATCAACAGTATTATATAAGTATACTGTCAACAGAAGTAACTTGAATTTATTGAATGAAAAAATATTCTCATAAATGTGACAGATTCACCTTGGCCTTGCTGTTTAGTTGTTTTTCTGTGCTTATTTGCTTCTATTTGCTACTTATTACATAGTAGCACTGCAGATGCACTTCTGTGGCTTGTAGTCGCTTTGCAATTATGTTTTGCTTCTTAGTAAATTGTATGCCTCATTTGGTTTGTGTCAATATGCTGGGAAGTATTGCTCCTTCTGGTTTGTTTGTTTTGTTTATTTTTTATGAATACCACTTCAAAATAAAACCATGAAAGGCCCTAGCACTTACCCAAATCTCAAGAAAATCGCCAAGAAGTAAAATATAAAAGGTTCCTTGCTCAGAAAGGAAAAGCTTGTTACAAACATAACCTAAAAAAAAAACTCCTAATCAAAAATGATAGGAAATATGAAATCCAACTAGTCAACGGTTAAGTTAATTTCTGTGGAACATGATTGTGAAGATTAATCATTTGCTTTAACATCTCATGAAAAGATTCTACAAAAACGGAGTACGTTGGAGAATACCAACAACATACACATTTATTTTAGAATCCAGTTTAGAACTTCATTTAAAAGCTGTAACAAATGATATTGATTTTGTAGTATTGCCATGTTGCATTCTAATGCTTTGTTTTATACATTTTCAGTTTGAAAACTGTTAGCCTCATTTTTTGACATAACTCAGTCTGTTTGCTTGTGAGCAAGTCAGTACTCTTAATGAGACTTTGTCACACTGATTGTGACTGCTGTGATTGCTATGGAGCCCGAGCTTTAAAAAATAAAATAAAAATAGAAAACGGAGTAATCACTTGGCATTAATGGTGTCCGAGTGCTCAGAATGATGTTAGGCTTCAAAGGTTTCTAAGTGTTGTTGTTGTTGTTGTTTTAAATTTTGGATGGAAAAAAAAAAGGGAGGGGTAAATGCAGGAGGTAAGAATAAATGAGTTTTGTGCAAAGCGATGCAATGGCATTAAGGAAACATTGTTTCCAAGATTTTAACCAAAGGAATCTGTGGGTATGTGGGTTTATATTGCTTTTTGATTTTTGTTAGTTTCCTGAAACTTCAATATATTTAAAAACTATTTATAAATCTAAAGAAGCAAATCCTTGTTTTGAAAAGATGTGAATTATTTTATTTTGAAAAAGAAACTGACATATATTACTTATGGTAGAGAATCATTCAGAAACCGGTTTTTCTGCTTCTACTTGTTGGCAGAGTGAAACACTCCTAGTCTTCTGTATGCTTTTACAAAGGCTAAATCTATACATATAAAAAAGAAAAATAGATTAGTGATAAAAAGAAAACTCCCTTTTACACTCAGGGATATTGTCACATAGACGTAATTACATGGTGCCTGCCTTCTGTAGTGAATTGAAAGATGGATGGACATATATTCAACTGTGACATGGCTATTGAGTGTCAAAATTACATTAATTAGTTTTAATCACTTGCACAAATTCAAGTTAGGTTTCCCTTCCCCCCTCTTATATATTCATATAAGTGGCTCATTTGCGGTTTGCTCCTTGATCAAGGGTCTGTTGCATTCCTTTTAACTGAAGCAGTTTGCATAACAATTACTTGCCTTAATGTTTGCAAGAAGCACTGTTCTACCTATCATACCTACCATTACTTGCTAGTAATGACAAATTTGTATTGTTTCCTTTTTGTTAATTTCTACATTTCAGTTTGTTCAAAATTCAGAAATTCTCAGTGTGGAATTAAAAGAAATTTTGAAAGAAAAAAAAATCAGAAGCAAAACTAAACTTGGGTGCTATTATTCCAAAGGATATCAAACTAAAGTGCAGTTTAGCAGAAACATCCCTATTTAGGTACCCCTACAAATGGTACTCATACATGGGTACCGAATTAGGGAGCTACCTATTAAACAAAGCTGAATCATCAAAATCATCTTTTTTAATTTGTAAAAAAATTTTTCTCAGTTGTTTAGTTATCACATAAGGGAGATACCCGTTAAACAGCTCCCTAAATTAATATTCTTAGGCCTGGCAATCCAACATAACTGTATCAAATTAGAGAGCCGTTTTTCTTAAATTTGCCGTTTCTGTTGTTTAGTCGATAAGTACCTAATTTGCTTTCCTTATGAAAATTAATGGATCCAAAATTGTTTAAAATTGTCCAAATTAGTTTTTGTTTGGTATAGAATTTAGGAATTTGGTGGCTTCAGAAGTGACCATTGAAATTCGATTTAGAACTAAACAAATTGCACATATCTAGTTTAAACATACTATAATTTGTCTTCTCTGAACAACTATACATTGTATTTACTAACTTTTCTGTAGAGTTATTTCCGGTGTCCATTATAAGGTAACTTACAGAACCAATTAGTTTTCCAGTAACTCCTGTGTTTCTAGTATTTCTTGGGCTAAATACAGTAAAGGAGGAGAATCTTATCTATTTTTATTTATTTTGTGAAGCATATTGCCAAAGCATAGGGGAATGTTTATTCATATTTTGTATGCTTGATTTAATTTCTGTATTTTCAAATTGAATTTCATAATAGACCATTATTAGCTAATTTAATGTTGCAGGTCTTTTTTTTTTTTTATTTCTTATTGGTGTAAAGAACTGCTGTATCTCTGTGTTTTAATCAGAGGTTGAAATAGGAGCTTAAGAGAAGCGATATTCTGTAGGCTAAAACACAGATGGCAGCAGCTGACTAATAACAAACATATGACCTGTCAAATATCTCAAATTAGTGGATTTAGGTTTAGCAAACCTGCTTGGTATGACTTAAAAGAAAATTAGAGTGTTAGTAATACAAATATGTATTACTAACACTATATAGTGTTGTACACCCAATTTATATGCAGCTGACTCGGTCGTAGTAGTAGAAGCACCATCTAGTGGCTGCTGGAAATCAGCCTTTGAAGGTGTTAAGTCCTGTCATGAAAACTTTGCTGAACTTACAAAGCAACATGGTTGTACATTGCAGTACACCTCACTATGGTTTGCGCTGATCAAAACAGTGTTTTATGAAAACCCTATTGTTTTGGTTGGAGTAACCCTTTAAGAGATCATGATGTGTAAAAGACACTCCAAGCTGTCTTTTCTGCTCTCCCTTGTCAGTCAAAGCCTTGGCACGCCAAGGCATTGACAAGCAGGATAAAAACCTAATTAAAAATAGATTTTTCTCCCAGCTAATCTAAACATATGCTAGCAAAACTGCTGGCACAATATAATATAGATAGAAGTCTATGCTCAATCTAATGGACATAAGTTGTTTAAAGCATTTGGAAAAATGTCTCATAGGGTTTGTTTAAAGTGTTACTTGAACACATCTCATTCCATCTCGCAGTTCATTTATAGTTCGATTCAATATTTTTGAGAAGGGTAAATATGTCATGCACAGTCAGTTAAAGCAATGGAAGTGGGGGAAAATAGGTTTCTGATGCATACAGATGTCACAGCTTTTAAGCTTTTTCACTTTTAATTCTATAGTGACATCTCAAATTAATAATTGTTTCTGAAATAAATTAAATAAATCACTACAACAGTACATCCTGGTTTGAAATTGCTGCTTGGGTTATGTGCCAATAATCTGCTTGGTTTGGAACGCTTGCATGATCCTGACCTTTTGCTTAAACATACTGTGACATTGTTAATGATATAATCCAAGGATAAGATGATTTTCAACAGCTTTGATTCAATCTGAAACTTCTTAAAAACTTGGCTCGCAAATTTTTTACGTACACAACAAACCATTCCATCTTTCATTTCCCGTAATGCTTCTTGCCTTAGTTACCATAGCTACAGTAGGACACATGTCTCTCTAAGTCATAGACTGCTCAGTCAGCATGGATCACTTTGCTTTTTCTACTCTGAGGACTGCTTTCGTCTGCTGATGGAAAAACAAAAGTGATACCTCAAGCAAAGCATCTTATGTTCCCTCTACAGAATGGAAACTCAATGGACCCGGAAAGCTTTTAAGCACCAAGAACCTGTTTCTACAACATTTCACGTCTAAGTAAATGAAGATCTATTGTTTTTTGGAATCACGATACCATCTTTAGAAAAAACCTGACATCCCTTTTTTTTTTTTTTTTTGCCTTTGACGTATTCATCTTTCTAAGAACTCAGGTGTGATGATTAACTTCTAATTCAATTTCTAAGAGGCTTTTAATGGTTATAAGAATGAATCTTGATGGAGGGGGCTGAAATTTTAATAAGCATGCGTGACGACCCTAGTCTTCATGTGCGTTACAGGTAAGAATATTTACCTTTATACTGAAAAACTTGTTACAATCTAAATATGCCTGTTACATTTCTCCCAGAAGACATTACAAGATTTAAAGATCTCTACGTAAATTGATATTTATAAAAATGTTTGAAATGCAGATATCTTTAATAAAGCAGAGAGATGTTTAAATCCTGGACTGCCAAGGTATAGATGTTGCTTTGTGTTGGAAATTAATTTTAATATTTTCTTCATTAAACCCTGGTTTCTAGAACATCTAGAAAGTAGTATATTATCGTTAAATTGTAACATGCTTTAAAAACCCTGTGCATTTCCTGTTAATTGTATGTAAAATATTGTTTATATGTGTGTATTTGTATATGACCTCTTGATACATTAAACTAAAAGCTCTTCTTTTTAATAGTAGTTGTAACTAATGGTCTGTTATTGAACATAATTGTATTTTTGACTTCTGAATTGTGACACTGTGTGTGTGTGTGTGTGTGTGTGTTCACTTAGCATTGAGTTGTATTAAAATGGCAATAACAATTTTTTTTACACATGCCCCCAAATTTGTTTAATACTAAATTGACCAGTGTCAATTCACCTAGTAAATAAATCCCATGACTTTATATTTAATTATCAGGGATGATACTCTGGATATTTATATTGATGTTGGTATGACCTAACCTTTCATTATACATACTTTACTGCTGTATATACTACAGGGGGAAAAAATATATATTCTTCCGAACAAGAATATATATTTGATTCTGAAATTATACACAGTGGATCAGCACATTAGAGCACAGAAAAATAATAAAAACAGCCCACCTAAAATGGGGGAAAAAAGGATTATCATAATATGATTAACCTCTGTGTCACACGTGTTGTGGTGTAACCAAAAATAAGCCATATATAATTACATGCAATGATTACTCTCCATATATTTTGATTCTCCAGGAATTGTGTTGATTTTACATAAGGTCAGTGTACAGACTGTGAGATTTGGCAGTAATTAATAGTCTTTTTGTGGGATTTCATAAGTGAGGTGTCTGTTGTAGAGAAGAGTCTTTAAATAGGAACTGTCTTTTGAATGCATTGAGATTTTGGTAAAATTCTAATGCAGTGGAAAGGGGTGAAATAATTTAAAAAATAATTTTTTATATATATATATATATATATGTATATGTATATGTGAACGCTTGGCACTCACCTCCAAAAAAATATAAATTTTTAACTCACATGCCTGGGTGCAAATTGTTGGCGTCAAATATATAAACAAAAATAAAAATCAAAATGCACTCACAGGTCTTCTGGTTAATAGGAAAACTGGTGCTTTAATAAATCATCTGTGATGTACAAAAAAAAAAATCAATCGACGTTTCGACCCTGCCGGGTCTTTTTCAAAAAGACCCGGCAGGGTCGAAACGTCGATTGATTTTTTTTTTTGTACATCACAGATGATTTATTAAAGCACCAGTTTTCCTATTAACCAGAAGACCTGTGAGTGCATTTTTATTTTTATTTTTTTTTATTTTTGTCACACACACACACACACACACACTGCGGCCTCGGTTTACAAACGCCTCGGTTAACATAATTTTCGGTTTACAAATGAAAATCCATCAAAAATAATGTCTCGGTTTACAATTTTTTTTTTCATAATACAAAGCAAGTTTCCCCAGGATGCATTGCACCTGGGAGGTTTATAGCACCGCCCTCTGCATGCTGGAGCCTGTGGGTAGAACGTGGCGTCGACTGTGGATGTATTGGAGTGGCTTTTGCATCGAGTTTGGGAGCCATTCATTAAATTTTTGCAGTTGTTTTGGGACTTTTTAGTGCATTTCTCAAGCTGTAGGAAGGGAGCTGAGCTTCGTTGTTTGCATGCCTTTTATTGTGTGTTCTGCATTGTGGGTTGGTTTCCATGCCAGCTCATTTTGACTTTCTTCTGACCTCCAGAACAGATTAATTGGTTTCCAATGCATTCCTATGGGAAACAGCGTTTCGGTTTACAAATTTTATTGCAATAAGTGTGTGTATGTATGTGTGTGTGTGTGTGTGTGTGTATATATTTATATATATACACACACACACACACACACACACACACACACACACACAGTATCTTTTCCTGAGTTTCAAAGCTGTTGTATACAGCAAATACCGACTCAAAGGAATGCATGTTTAAAATGGAATGAGGCAAAAATGTGATTCTTTGTTAAACTAATTTGCATATGCCCACCCTCCTTCCTTTTGCGGTGGTAACATCACTGCAAATTTGTGATTTCTGTAGGAAAAGCAATATGGCTTGACTGATGTGCAGATTTTTGTTTAACAATGATATATACTTATTGTACCCATATATTTTTATTATAAACATTAAAAACACTCACAGGAGTAGTTGGACGGAAGGACCCCGATGTGAAAGTCTGCCGTTCACTGTGTAATTCGTTCCTCAGCCTAGCAGATGGGGATAGAACGATTTGGTGTGCGTTCCACTTTGTTCACCTGCAGTCCAAGATTTAGATCACTCCCAGTTTCAAATAGATTCTGCATTCCTAATGTTCCTATTTTGTAAAGCAGTACTGAGCATATTCCATAAAACTCCACACAGCAGGACATCATAGGCATAGGAGATTGTACAACTTCTTTAAAGCCCTTATGTGCAGCTTTCCAGGCTATTATAGCTATATGTGACGATACAGTTTGCTGATGTATAATTAAGCAAAAAGAAAATTGATGCAGTTTGGGGTGGCCAGAATGGGTTGGCTTAACTTTTTTTTTTTTTTTTCTTCTATTTTAGTGGAACCAAAAAAAAAAAAAAAAAATTTAAATTCACCTTCCTAGCTTGAACTAACTGTTAGCTGATGGAGCTGTCATTTATATCCTTTTGTCCTTTTTATATATTACAGAAGTTTTACTGATAAAGTGTGTAGGGAGTTTTTTCTATTTAGTAGGAAACCATATAGTTTGTCTGTATGTAACTTTCAAGCATAATGTCCCTCTAAAAAAAGTTTAATTAGAAACACCTACTTTAATATTTAAAATGGCTATTGCACATTTCAAAAGTCTTCTTAATATTTGATGAGTACTCTTGTTTCTAAAGAATAGTAAATAGCACTTGTATAGAATACAACCAAATAAATGTATTGTATTCATTTTATCTTTGTGTCTAACCTTTGCTAGACTGATAAACCGGTGGTTAAGAAGACATGGTAGTTTTATATTGTGATGAGAGCAATCTCGCCACATTGCATTGGAGAAGCCTGGTTGCCCGCCTGCTGCCTTTAGACTATGGCCCCATGTTGAAACGCTTGTTTTTCCTCTGCGGAGACACGAAAGCGGGTCATTCGGTGCTGGCCCTGTTTGAGCGGTGATACCCCAGATAGCTATGCCATGGAGCCCATTCGTATAATGAAAGACTATGGGAAAGACTTTGGCTCCATGGCAATTGAACTGTATGTGTGTGCTCTGAGCGCCATTCTGTAATAATGTGCGCTCAGATCTGAGCTATCTGGGGATATGTTGAATGTACCTGTTTTGTGCAATGGCTGAACAGTTATATATTTTTATGTGTTTTATTGTCTTTTGCTGCCATGTGTTCAATGGAGTTTTGCCTCTGTTTTTGGAGATAATTGGATTACTTCCCAATTATCTCCAGGATATAAGACTCTATGGAACTGGTTTTGGGCAGAAAAGCCATGCTTCATTTGGTCATAAAGGACTACGATCTATCTTTTGAACCACTGGACCAATTTGGATGATTTTGACATATGTTTGTATTTGGAGTATGCTGATTCTGAAAATGTATACTTTTCAAGTTATGAATAATGTGGAAAAATTGTATTTCTCTGCTTGTTATAATTACATTACCCATTGTGTAAGGTAATTGTATCACAGGCAGAGGGGAGGATTTTGTGTGGGAGTGTCTGAGTGTATTGTATGTGTTTATTGGTTGTGTTCCAAAACCCTGTGGGTGGTACTAATGTGTGTATATAAGAACAATAAACCCACAGCTCTGTCTGTTCACTGCTTAACCCTCAACACGGAGCTTTGTCTCGTTCTTGGGGGGATTTATTGTATGCTGTTCCAGTTCGACTGCTTGGAGTGTAAACCTATTCGTATGGTTTTTCCTATTCGGCTGTTTACAGCATTCATATGGTTTCCTGTTCGGCGGATTGGTGTTCTGCAGTAGCTGTGCCTGTGTCTCTGGAAGGGAAGATCTACTAAATGGCGGTTTAACCCTTTTATGCCTGGGGGTGCCGTAACATATATGATCTAATTTTATTTATTCTTTTTAATTTTCATATATTAAGCATGTAGTTCTATTTGGGGAAGTCTTATGAAGAATTAAACGACCGCTAACGTCACCAAGACCACTTAATCTCAATACAGTGTTCTGGGTGCGGTGGGCCTGCCATTTTTAACTCTCCAACATAAAACATTGTAGAATTTGCAGTGTAATACCTATCATACAACCACTGGAGGCGCTTCTGCAACACTGACAAAGTAAAACTGTCACATGAGTTTACAGCTCATAGAAAAGCATTGAATCCATTGCAGAGGAAGTCTTGGTGCTGGGGTGATGGTAAGTAAAAATCTGCAGGTAGATCACAATAGCAATAAAAATACAGGTTTGTGTTCCTTTCATAGAACACTCTAGCCTCGCCTCCATGGCTAAGATCATAAATCCATGGTTTGTTTGTTTGACCCCCTTAAATATGCTTATTTCACAGAGGTCTCCTAGTAAGCATATAACCAACCTCTGTAATGCCAAATCCATCCACCAGGAAAATGCCAAAGGCACTTGACCTTCCAGGCTAGTTAACACTGGGGATTGACCGCAACTTAGTTGGTAAATTGAGTATTAGCATCTATTCAAATTACTGGAAGAATCTGATTGTTAAAAAAAATAAAAAATGTAATGTTTAACCTCTTCAGGACCGTCCTCTGCATTTTTGCGTTGCCGACAGAGGGTCCTAACTTGTCCTAACGGAAAACGGGCGGCGGGAGCGATTGGAGATCACTTCCGCCGAAATCCCGTTGTTACTATCTGCCCGGCATCCCAGGCAGATAGTAACAGCCAATTGCGGCATGTGAGCGATCCGCGATCGCTCACAATTGGCTGGTGTCAAAGTGGGTGTTACAAACACTCACTTTGAAACTGATCTCTGCCTCTCTCCCCTCTGTAGCGTTTTGTGAGGCGAGAGAGACAGAGATTGTGATATATTGTTGCAGCAGAAGTGTTCCAGAGTTTTCAGTATGAATAAAAAAGTATCAGCAGTGAATAAAAATCCCCTTTTAACCCTTTCCCTGACAGATGTTACAGACAGTGCATTTGTACTGTCTGTATTTTTTTTTTTTTTTGCCCTTAAGGGTTAACTTTATTTTTAAAATCTGTGTCTTAGTTTGTCAGTTTCCTTCCCCCAGATCTCCTTTAGATTCTTCTAACAGGAGTTAGTTTAGGAATTACTGTTTTAGTCTGTTTTAGTAAAAAATAAAATAAAAAAATGTGTGTGTGTGTGTGTGTGTGTGTATATATGTAATATATATATTTAGATTGTGTGTGTGTGTGTGTGTGTGTGTATATGTATGTATGTGTGTGTATATATATATATATGTGTGTGTGTGTGTGTATGTATGCATTTTGATTTTTATTTTTGTGTGTATATATATATATATATATATATATATATATATATATATATTAATTCATTCCAATAAATGGATAGCACTCCAGGGTCTTTCAGATGAAAATAAAATGTGACTTTTAATTCATGTTAAAAATAAAAAAATACATCGTTTTGGCTCTCCTCTGGAGCTTTCTTCAGGAGAGGAGAGCCGAAACGTTGATGTATTTTTTTTATTTTTAACATTAATTAAAAGTTAAATTTTATTTTCTTCTGAAAGACCCTGGAGTGCTATCCATTTATTGGAATATCTACATAATTGTGTTGAATCAGCACTGGGCAATATTAGTATCGCAAGCATTTTTGGATTTTGAGAGATATATTAGGATACCATCTGGAAGGAGATTGCTACCCAATTTATTGATACCAATCCAGATAGCAATGCAGTCAGGGAGGAGCGTGTTTGGCATCCCACAGATGTCGCTGAAATTAAAAAATTCTGGGCTCTTACAATTCTCATGGGGATTATAAAGAAGCCATCAATTCGCTCTTACTGGAGCACCAACCCAATCTGTTCTAGTCCAGTGTAATCCCAACCATGTCTAGAACAAGATATGAGCTGCTGCTGAGATACTTACATTTCAATGACAATACCCTCTGTCACCCCAGAGATCACACCCAATATGATAGGCTTCATAAAATACGCCCACTGGTAGACCATCTTCAGCACAAATTTACTGAAGTTTATACTCCTCAAAGAAAATGTATCTATTGATGAATCGTTAATGAAATATAAAGGGAAATTCGGATTCAAACAATACATCCCCTAAAAGTGCTTTAGGTATGGCGTAAAATTCTACAAACCGTGCGAGAGTGAAAGTGGCTATACATTTGCCTTTCGTGTATATGAGGGGAAAGATGGTCAACTGGACCCTCCTGGCTGTCCTGACTCTTTGGGGACAAGCGGGAAACTTGTTTGGGACCTACTGATCCCCTTGTTCAATAAAGGTTACCACCTTTATGTGGACAATTTTTATAGCATTGTCTGTTTGTTTCAAACTCTTTAGGGTTTCTAGATACTGGCCTGTGGCACTGTGAGAATAAATGCAAAGGATTTCCCCAGACCTTTTCTGGAGGCCAAATTAAAAAAAAAAAAAAAGTGAATGTAAAGGTCTGCACAAAGCTAAAGTGCTTGCAATAAAATTTAAGGACAGGAAGGATGTTAATATACTAACCACCATCCATGACGAAAGCATGTCAGACGTCACTGTCCGAGGCAGAGTACAGACCAAACCTGTTTGCAACAGGGCTTATAAAATGCACATGGGGGTGTTGATTTGGCTGATCAGCTGATGCAACCATATCTTATCTTAAGAGACAAAAGCCTGGTATAAAAAGGTGGCTATCTACCTGATGCAAGTAGCAACACATAATTCATTTTTTTTAATTCAGAAAGAACCACCTTTCTCCAATTTTAGTTCAAGCTGATTTCCACAACAATTTATGGAGATGGTCAAGTTCCAACAACTGTGCCAGAGGAGTACAGACATTTTATTTTTAAGATACCATCAACTACAAAAAAAAACAAATCCCCTGAAACGTGGCCGGGTCTGTTTATAAAAAAGGGAAAAGGACAGACACCCCTCTGCACTGTGTGGTGGTTTTTTTTTTTTTTTTTTGTGAAAGCAGCCAATTTTAGTTAGTCAGTTTGCTTTCCCCAAATCTCCAGTTAGATTCTTTTTGCAGGAGTTAGTTTAGAGAAAGCTGCTAAAGGTGCATGTGATACCTGCACATTTGGTTAAAAAAGTTTTTTATGGTAGTAACATATAACTGGCTGGCCAAAACCAGATGACGTGTGCATAAAAAGCAGAATTCAAAAATTACCACCATGCGCGTTCTCTGAAATATTTGTTTAGCAGAATGGTTGGGGGAAGGATTTGAAAACACCCCATATACAATACCCTGGAATGTCTACTTTATAAAAATATAAACTTTCATGATGTTAACATTAATTGGGGGAGGCAAGAATATGCCAAACTGAAGATAGGCCAAGCATACCTATATATCAAGTTGAAAAACTGTATGTACAAGTCTCGATTGTGGCCTTTTAGCCCCCAAACAACCCAGCAAACCAATGCATGGGTGAGATCACTGTACTCAGGAGATGTTGCTGAACACATATTGGGGTGTTGTTTGGCAGTGATACATAAAAGGATCTGTTAATTCATGCCTAAAGTACTACCCAAAAGTTTGCCAAAGGCTGGTGGTAGAATTATTGCATGAAAAGTGTTAAACTACCACCATTTAAAAAAACCCTGAGTTGCCTAATTTTCTAAAATATATGGTTTGATGGGGGTAAAATACATTGGCCCAAATAGGACGGGGGCGCAGGTTTACTACATGTCAAAATTCCAAGTTGGAAAATGGATATGTGCACCTGCCAAATGTGGCCTTTTAGCTCCCAAACAACCCGACAAGCCTATGCGTGGGTGGTATCCCTGTACTCAGAAGTTGTTGCTGAACATATATTAGTGTTTTTTTTTTGTTTTTTTTTATCTTTGACAATTTTTATTGAAGTTTTATTAGTGTGTTTTTTGGCAGCAACACATAACAGGATCTTTAAGTTTATACCTGAATTGCAATGTATGTGACAAAACAACAAAAAACTACCTAAGCAAAGTTTGGCAAAGACTAGTGGGAAAATGGCTGCATAGAAAGCGTCAAAATATCCTTCGATGAATACCCTGGGTTGTCTACTTTAAAAAAAAATATATATATACATGTGGAGTGTTTTCCAGAGATTTAGGACAGATAATAGTGTTACAATGTCACTATTGATAAATTTTAAAAATGGATGTTTTGAAACCACAATATGCTACTTGTACTTATAGCCCTATAACTTGCAAAAAAAAAAAAAGCATGTAAACACTGGGTATTTTTAAACTCAGGACAACATTTCAAATCTATTTAGCCGTTTTTTTTCATTAGCTTTTGTAGATGAGTAAGATTTTTCAAGTAAAAGTCAAAAAGTCAGGTATTTGTTTTCAATTTTGCATCTTTTTTTTTTTTTTTTTTAAATTAAATTACATGAGATTACATAAATAATGGTGTGTAAAGATAGCCCTTTTTGTCCTGGAAAAAAAAAATATAATTTGTATGGGAACAGTAAATGAGAGAGCGGAAAATTACAGCTAAACACAAACACCACAAAAGTGTAAAAAGAGGCCTGGTCGCAAATGTACAACATCGCAAAAACAGTCCAGTCCTTAAGGGGTTAAATATTGATTTGTTTACCAACATTTCTTCCAGTTCAGGGAAAATTTCCTCAGTGTAGCCCAGTTCTTCTCTGGTGAAGTCATCAAGACTAACTAATTTTGTCCAGTCAGATGTCCATAAAGAAGCATTGATGAAGTGGTGTTTCCATGTCCCTGTTTTAACCCTGCAAGTGAAAGTCGAGACAATGTTTAAAAGCCTCTAGTTGTGGTTGTCACTCTGACAGCTGCTGGAGGCACCTCCTTCCAAATAGATGAGTGAAACTCTTTCTATCAGAGTTTAGCAGTGTCTCTATTTGGACGTGCATGCTCACTAGTCTCCCAATGCTTTACTATGGGAAAGCATAGACAAGTAAAATAGCTTTATTTTGTAGAAACTGGTGGGGGCATTCGCATAACTGGTTAGAACGTCACTATATCATTAGAAATACATGTTTTTGTATTTCTAACGCTGTAGTGTCCCTTATAATAGGGAGGGGAATAACACTATCTTTCAAGTAACATCTCTTCTTCCTTTTTTTCCTTTTATGTAAATGAATGAGGCAGTTTTGACAGATAAGTGTTGACCAGTTCAACCTCACTTTAAACATGTCAGTCAATTGTAAGCATTTTTGTTCAGATCACAGAACCAATGCCATTGATGAACTAAAAAAAAGCTAGCATTGTGACTAGATTTATATTCGTATAATGTGACTAATAATTAAGAAAATAGAACATTTATATGAACCTGTGATACTAATTAACTGTGTCAGTTAACATGTGGTGGCCAGGGCAGACAGCCTAGGAGAAGATTAGCTGAGATTACTCATGTTGTGGTTTTAATCTTAACCTAGTTCCTGATGGCAAAGCATATTTTCCAATGCTTTCCACCTTTCCCTTCTACATTATCTGAGAATACAAGGGAAAGTACAGGTTTTTTATTTTTGGGGGGGTTTTTTATTTCTCTTCATGACTCGGACCAATCTTTCATATCTCAGCTAAGTGGAATGGATTGTTTATTGGAACATTTACACATTCCTGGCCTTAAAACTATTGTTTAGCTTTCCGTGATGAGACGGTCCATCATGTCATTTTGCTTAGGTTGTGGAAAAGCTCCAAGGTAGCGATTATACGGTTATTTTTATGTTTTGTGTGATAGAATATTTTAACCTGATGTACCGGTATATTTGTTACCTGGAGTTCAGCATAAGTGTCTAAGTTCATATTTTTGATAAATGTTGGTTTTCTAACATCTGTTACTACTGGTGCATAGATTATGAAACCCTTTTTATTAGTGTCTTCTAGGTCCTGTCTATGTGAATTTTATACATGGGATCTATTCACCAACTTTTAAGTGTGTGTGTATATATATATATATCTATATCTCATGCAGTTTTATGATTTTTGTAAAGAATAAGAGCAGGCCTACAGGAATAAAAACAGCTGGTTATTTGTACATAATATAAATTCATATACATGATGCATTGTCTCTCCTCATGTTAATAATTTTTCCTTTTTCTTCATTGTAATTGTAGAATAGGTGTACACCTTTAAATAGTATGACTATTGCTTGATACTGTGTGTGTATAGTGTGTGTGTGTATATATATAGTGTGTGTATATATATGTATATGTGTGTGGGTGGGGGTTGTGTGTGTGTGTGTGTGTGTGTGTATATATATATATATATATATATATATATATATATGTATTTTAAGAAAATGCAACTTTATGATTTTTGTAAAGAATAAGAGCAGGCCTACAGGAATAAAAACAGCTGGTTATTTGTACACAAGAAACAGGAATTGCTTGTATTCTTGTAAAGGAAAACAAACAGTTATTGTTTATATACATGGTCTCTCCTCATATGTTAATTTTCCTTTTTCTTCATTGTAATTGTAGTATAGGTGAACACCTTTTTAAACGTTATGACTATTGCTTAATTGTGTGTGTGTGTGTGTGTGTGTGTGTGTGTGTGTGTGTGTGTGTGTATATATATATATAATATATATATATATATATTAATTATACACATACATACAGGCTAATATGTATTAGCCTGTCACTGGGATTTTGCTCAGTGGTTAAAGTGCAGTCATGGGAAGGAAGGTGTTCTCAAAGTGGCCCGGTCTGTTGCAGAACACCACACAAAGGCACATGGGTAAAGTGATGATGATTTCACCTAAATTTTGTGTATCATTAGGAAGTGCCTAACCTGTGCAATGAATGGCTTGTTTGGTTTGTTCAGCAATCAGGCATAGCAACAGAAACTCATTAACTTCATTATTTCTATATACAAGTACTGGCCAGACTTGATGTGTCAAATAAGCTTGTTTTTGTTATCACATTACTTCAGTGTGACATATCATCACTGGTGGGAACATTATTAAATACAAATTTCTGTTTAATAAATGTTTGAAATGTGAATGTTCCAGATTTGTTTTTATACAGAATTTCAAAATGTTATGTGACCTCTTCTGACTCTCTGCTCCATGTTTTGCAATGTTGATACTGTTGTTTATTATTCATGCATTGAGAACTTTGCAAGTGAGATCCATGCTGTTTCATAGTTGAGACCTCATTAATCATTTAGATTGCTTGACAAATGTAGCACTATGGTGTTTTAATCCAGTAAGCAGTGAATTATTTGACTGCATTGCACATAGGATGTTACCTGTTGCAAATCATTCTGTAATTTATTACTTCAAACTGTAAATCTGCAAATTTAAGCGCAGTCTAATAAAAGTTAAATCTTTGTTTTAAGAATGGAAGCATCGTGTCTGGAGCTGGCATTAGAAGGTGAGCGTCTGTGCAAAGCTGGAGACTGTCGTGCCGGAGTATCTTTCTTTGAAGCAGCTGTTCAGGTCGGAACAGAAGATCTGAAAACCCTTAGCGCTATATACAGCCAGCTAGGCAATGCGTATTTCTACCTCCATGAGTACAATAAAGCTTTGGAGTACCACCATCATGACCTGACTTTAGCAAGGTAATTTTGGGCCGTAGCAGAAAAATTGTGCCATTCTGCTCTGATTGGTGGTGGGATGCATTCTTAGAAATGTAGAAAATTAGACGTTGTCTTCTAACCAAAAGGTTGTCCAATATAAGGCAAACATAACATAAGTTTGTTAGACTTTAAACCACCAAGGGTGGCCTTGCTTGTTTAGATTAGTAGCACTACAAGACCCTGCGGTTAACTGTGAGACTGCCAATTTTTAATTGGAACCTTGAACAGATTGCTTTGACTGCCTGGATCACTTAGTCCTTAGGGGTTAAGGACTCTTAACTCCTTAAGGACTAATGGAATTAAAGCTTGTTTGGAGTTCCCCAGTTTTATGAGTTGGCTACTGCATTATTAAAATATTTTTTTTCCATTCTGTGACATTTGCTGTTCTAATATACAGGACTCAAAAAATAGCTCTTTTTGCTAATTGGCTGCATAGTTGAAGACATTGAGTAAAGGGTAAAATTTTTTTACTTTTTTTACACTGAGAGTTGGTCTCTTGCGGAATCATATACGATTTTTGAAGCTAGTGTGTCCCTGAACCTGGTTTGCATTATTTGCTGTGATACATTATGCTGTCACGCTTAAGAAAAGCCCTTACAGGAGCTGATAGTTGTAGGTGGGTTCTTAATAAGAGTGGTGTTTTGGAAATTTGACTGCAGGATCTTTTTTATTTTTTTTTTTATTTTTTTTTTTAACCTGTCTCTGCCCTAGTCTACAGTCAGGAAATCCTAAAATAAAAAAGTAGTTAAATTCTGACTGAACCACGATTTTATTATTATTCAACATTGTCTTGGATTGTTCAACTCGTTACAACCTGGGAACCAAAAGATTAATTAAAATGTAAATACTCTACTGAGACGTCAAGATATTGAGTTATTGGATGCAAAATACTGTTTTATTCGAGTATAAATGGATCTGCCTGATCTTAGAAACCATTTGATCCAACTGTGTTCAGAATAGGATCTAGAAAACCTGCGTTGTATGCAGTAGTTTTCTAGAATTTCAATTAGTTTAATCTCACAGATATTACATTTTTGTTTTGCAGGACTATTGGAGATAGGCTAGGAGAAGCTAAAGCTAGTGGCAATCTTGGCAATACTCTAAAGGTTTTGGGTAATTTTGACGAAGCAGTTGTTTGTTGTGAACGTCATTTGGAAATTTCACTGGAACTATATGATAAGGTAAGTGGTCAAAATATATTGGGTTCTTCAAAAGAATGTATTTCAAGATGTGGTAAATGTAACTGTAACTGTAAATGGCATCCCAAGTTATGTGCTTTTGAAAATATTAACTCCCCAATTACAGTAATATTTAATATATTGATAATACCAGATTGTACTCATCACTTGAGAGGTGGGTATTTAATTGTACCATGCAGGCAGTAGCAGTTGGTGGTGAACACAATTTGAAACAAAATTACAGGATGTGATTATAAAACTACAATGTAATTTATCTTCACTGTATTTTAGGTTGGTGAGGCTAGAGCTCTTTACAACCTTGGGAATGTGTACCATTCAAAGGGAAAGAGTCTGGCCTGCACTGGGACTCGGGATCCAGGGGAGTTCCCAGAAGAGGTGAAAACTGCTTTACAGAAAGCTGTAGATTATTATGAGTAAGTTTAACCTTTTACGGAGTAAATAATTATCACTGTTCTCATAAAATAAATTAGACCTGTTATTAGGTAAATTGAGGGTGCTCTTGCTTATGCTTTTTTTTTTTTTCCTTTTAATCAGTTCAGCATTACTCACAGACTGTTTTATTGAGAATCCACATGGTTTTTAGATTGTTCTTATTCATATTCACTTGCTGCCTTTGTAAATAATGTTGTGTTGATTTTACTTTTTAAAAGCAAACTTTAAGCACCAATTACTTAGTTTATTGAAGAAGCTTTGGTACAGAGGTCTTGTCCCTGCAGTTTTACTGCTCAATTCTCTTCTATTTAGGAGTTGAATCGCTTTGTTTATACAGCTCTAGTCACAACTTATTTTATTTATTTTTAAATTCTTTATTTTTGTAGTGCATAGCGTAAGATACAAAAGTACTTAAACATTTCTTAATAGTATACACATCAGAATAATGGCAAGGTCATATCAGTAAATGTCTAGATTACTGCACTTTTTTCTTTTTTATAATAGGCATAATATAGTTGTGACAAGGCAATAAAAAGCAAAATATGTAATCACATGAGTATGGACATATGTCCACAAGAATACAGAGAGCTTACTTTGGCCATAAGTCACAATAAGGTTAGTCTACACTCAAGATCTGAAAATAGGCGAAAAACAAGGGAAAACTTGAACGAGCGTCAAGAAGGACATATCATGGTATAATAATGGGCATGGCTAACTGGTAGCCATGAGGCCGCATCGATGCAAAGCTTGGCTGGATATTTAGGCCCAGGTGGCTAATCAATAGAGGAGTTCAGCCTTGAAGCCAAGTTGCCTTGTGAGATTAAGTAGCCAAGTAGGGTTACTACATTTATTTTTGACGTGCATGATAGTAACGGGCATTCTCGCTATGCCACAATAGCAAAAGCTAGACAAGTATTAACATTACGCCTAACAGTGTAGGCATATAGGAAGAACTGCGCACATTTTTTGGTTTACAAATCAAGAGGGGTGCAAGTTTAAAACATAGATATAGTATAATAGAAAAATATCAAGTTTGATCAACTAGTTGGCACCAAATAGTTACCACTGGGTCAATATAGGATGTCCTAGCATGTAGGCATAAAAACGAAAGACTAATATCTAAACAATACGACTGAATCTATTGTACTACAAGCAGTGTGGGATTCTATATCTGCTGTCTCTTATAGAGACTTTGTTATAAAAAGGTTGCAATTGCTACCGTGAGCATGTTTATTGACTGGAGGGTGTTGCCTAGGAAATTATATCAACTGACAGATCGGACATCAGCTCAAAACATAACATAAAAGACAGGCATTTTCACGTGTCACATGAACTCAGCTAGGTGGCAGCAGAACATTCGTTTTCAATGCTTGCTTCTCAGCCAACTCCTATGTGTGGCAGGCTTGACAGCTATTCAAGGAGATCATTATAGAGCCCCTGCTGTGTTGGGCTGGGGGTGTCTCTGTGGTTGCATTGAGTGTCTTGATGAAGACACAGGAGATGTATAGTCCTTTAAGAGGTAGTTCTGAATAAGCAAAATAATAGAAGTCCACAGGCTCTTGCAAGTCTCACAGGGTCCCATCTGGGTGGCAGTAGATCTTCCCTTTCCAGGCTTGTTAATCCTCCACTATGATGCTTGGCATGCTTATTAGCTGTTTGGAGAGTGCGCCAGTTAGATCAGTTTTGTGGCATGATTACATTGCTCCTACCAGGGGTCGCATGTTGCAGACCAAGGGTCTGGTCCTGCACTCTCCCCGGTGCAAGGAAACTGTGGAATCGTCGCTGGATTTGCTTTGCGGTCGCCCGTTGAGGTGGATGGTGTGATTGCTCCTCCCAGGCGCTCTATAAAGCTGAAGCTGTTGGGGATGAGCCTCTGCTATCTTGCAAGGTAGGCTGTTATTGTTCAGTGCCACCTATTCTCTCCACTTCTCTAGCTCTCCGGTGGGGACCGGAATAATGCCACTGGGCGGCGGAGGGGAACGGGACTGGTAAGCATCTCATTAAGCCGGTGTCTGGCAGCTGGGAATGTAGACAGGGCAACGGTCGTCCACCCGCTCCCCTCCCAAGTAGGCCACAGCATCTGAAGCTCTGTGCTTCACTTGGGGGACTCAAAACTCCAGATCTCGGGGCCGCTGTCTCTTCCACCGCCGTGTGGAAGTCTCTTGGGCTCTTTTCGAGTACCAGAGCTGCAAATTGTAGCCTAAGAGGCCAGATTCCTCAGGAGCCTCTCGTGCATGCGACCGGTCAGCATGGCGGTCCCGCCCCGCCGTTAGTCACAATTTCTGGTTATTTGTCTCAGCCTCCCTACACAGCCTGAAAAAGAGTTAATTTTTTTTGTAGCTTTTCTTATTGCATATGTGTTTATATTGGAATTCCTTATATCCTGTCTGCTAGAGCCTGCAACAGCCTCTTGTGCATGATTAAAGTTGAATTAAAAAAAGGAGATAAGAAAATCTAATGTAAACACACTGTGCTGTAGGATCTGATTTGAAAATTAAACAGTTTTCTTAATAGAGGCCATGTCACAACCAGTGGATGGCTATTATTATACATACAGATGGCATAGAATTGAGCAGTGAGACTGCATGGACATCCTCTCTGCATTAGAACTGCTTCATTAAGCAAAATGTATTTTGGTGCTTAAAGCATCCCATTAAGTTTACAAAAATCAATAAAATCAAACCGGAATTTGTATCTATATAATTAGCTACAGATATTGGTGTTTTGTTTTTTTTTTGTTTATGTTTTTTTTTTTTTTTTTACAGCACTATGACACATACTTATTTTTTTAAACTTTTTTTTTTTTCTTTCCCCTAACATTTTTATTGAGAATACTAGGCTACAGAACAATGATTGTGTGTCAGGTTGAACATAAATTTTAAATCACATTGATAGTTTCTACAATACAGGCATGCACCTAGTATCAGCTTGGGTTAAGGTTTAGGATTGCCCACAATGGTTCAAAACATAAATCCTAGTGTGATTTCTTAAAGGGACACTAGTCTTGGTCTAGTCTTTTGTCACCAGAACTACAACTTAATGTAGTGGTTCTGGTGTGTTTAGTATGTCTGCAGGGCTTTTTCCCTACTTTTTCATTTTATTCTTTTCTTTTTTTGCTATTTTTTTTTTGTTTTGTTTTTTCCTTTTGTGATCTTTTTTTATTTTCGTGGAGAATAAATACATTTATCGTTAAGCATCTATTATTTGTGAGTGTGGTATTATTCTTTAGCTTTGTATATAATTAGGGGTATCTTTTAGAGTGTATGCCCCAATGAGGGTGCCAGTACCGCATTTTTTTGTTTTTGTTTTTATTTTTACTCTTTTTTTAAAAAAAAATTTCCACAGGGCAAACTTATTAATTGTAACCGATCTGGGCGACCGAGCAGCTCAAGGGCGTGCTTATGGAAACCTTGGAAACACGCACTACTTACTTGGAAACTTCAGAAAGGCTGTCATGTCTCATGAGCAGGTATGTTCATCATTTGAAAAAAATGTCTAATGCATTTAACATGTTGGATTCATCAAATTACAAGCTCTCGTGCTGGAACATTCAAGCCAGTTAGAATGAAAAGATTACAAAATAAAATATGCATAATTTTAAGATTGTTTCAACTAGGTTTTAACCAGCAGTTCTTACTCTTTAGTCGCATTTCAAATATTTAGCATATATATTTACATAGCTGAAAAGAGACTTATGTCCCTCAAGTTCCGCCTTCTTCAGATATGTTTTTACTGTCGATCCAAAAGAAGGCAAAAAACCTAGTCTGAAGAGCTTCCAATTTTGCAACAAACTAGGAAAAAATTCCTTCTTGACCCCAAAATGGCAGTTCGATATCTCTTTGGATCAAGCAGCTATTACCCCACTAATTAGAAATTTTATCCCTGGATGTTATGTTTTTGTAAGTATTTATCCAATTGCTGTTTAAACATCTGCATGGACTCTGATAAAACCTCTTCGGGCGGAGAATTCCATATCCTTATAGTTCTTACTGTTAAAAAACCTTTCCTTTGCCTTAGATGAAATCTCCTTTCTTCCAGCCTAAATAGATGACCTTGTGTCCTATGTATAGCCCTGTTTATGAATCGATAAACCAGATAATGGTTTGTACTGGCCCCGAATATATTTGTATAATGTTATCATATACCCTCTGAGGCGCCGTTTTTCCAAACTAAAGAGATTAAAATTTTGTAACCTTTCTTTGTAACTGAAGTGCTCCATTCCTTTTATCAATTTTGTATGATCATATAAACAAGTGTAAAGAGAATAAAAAAACTCTCGCCATATGAAAAAGAAATGCGTTTGCTAGATGTTATTACACTTAAATATTAGGCTTGTTGGTAATTTTATGTTCTACCTATACTATATAACTTAAATACAAATAAAGAGTATCAAGTATACTTGCATCAAATGAACATAAACATTATCTACAAGTCTCATACATACATACATACATACATACATACATACATACATACATACATACAGGTAGCATTATTGGCTCACAAATAGAATTAATTTATTTTTTATTATTTACAGCGCCTTCTAATTGCCAGAGAGTTTGGTGACAGATCGGCAGAAAGAAGGGCTTATAGCAACTTGGGAAATGCGTTTATCTTTCTTGGTGAATTTGAAATGGCAGCAGAATATTATAAGTAAGAAATTATTTTATTTTATTTTTCCTTTCACTCCCACTCTTGGAAGCATTGGAATTCACAATCACTAATAAAGTCAATAATCTGAATTGGATTCAATAATATATAAAATGTTTGTGTTACTGGTGAGATTTGGTTATTACTTTATAGACAGATTTTAATTTCAAAATGGCTGTTTTTTCCTAGACCGCCATTTTTTGCTTAATCTGCAGAGCGGGCTTGCTAATGAATATATTATGTTTTGAAGGTTAGTGAGATTTTTCTGCCAAATATAGGTCTTTACTATTTGCTAGTTTTTTTTTTGTTTTTTTTTAGCATCAATAGTGTAGTTGTTGATTCAGTAAACCATAACCAGTTTGTTTTGAGGTTTTACTGGCCAGTGTCGGTTTGTAGCTGATGAATGCATTTTATAACTGTAAAGGGTTTTAATTGCATTATATACAGTGCAGTAAATATAATACACTCTACTTACTATAAAAAAAACTGGGATGAAAATGTTCACTAGTTCACACATGGCTTTGATTTGACTTGTGTAGTTCACTATTGCTTATCCATATAATATTTTAAGCTCGCAACATTTCAAAAATGTTTTTTTATTTTATTTTTTTATATACATACCAATGTAAACCACTACATGTAAAATAACTAGTCAGTGGTTAGACTCTATCATTGAGATTGTAGAAAGATGCTGAAGAATAAACAGCTTGTAATTAAAAGTGTGCTCAATGGTATTAATGAGTGAAAATATATACAACAAGTGGACTTGCCCCTATTTTCAATTGGAGTATGCTCTCATTAAAGGGACACTATAGTCACCTGAACAACTTGAGCTTAATGAAGCAGTTTTGCCCCTGCAGCCTAACTCTGCTCAATCCTCTGCCATTCAGGAGTTAAATCCCTTTGTTTATGAACCCTAGTCACACCTCCCTGCATGTGACTTGCACAGCCTTTTATAAACACTTCCTGTAAAGAGAGCCCTATTTAGGCTTTCTTTATTGCAAGTTCTGTTTAATTAAGATTTTCTTATCCCCTGCTATGTTAATAGCTTGCAAGAGCGTCCTGTATGTGATTAAAGTTCAATTTAGATATTGAGATACAATTATTTAAGGTAAATTACATCTGTTTGAAAGTGAAAACAGTTTTTTTTTTTTTTTTTTTTTTTTTTTTTTTTTTTTTTTTTTTTTATGCGGGCTCTGTCAATCATAGCCAGGGGGAGGTGACTTGTGTGACAAAGTGATTTAACTCCTAAATGACAGTGAATTGAGCAGTGAAATTACAGGGGAATGAGTGATACACTAAAACTGCTTTATTTAGCTAAAGTAATTTAGGTGACTGTAGTGTTCCTTTAAATTAAGTATGAACACCCATATATAAACAATAATGTTGCTTAAATGTGTACTAAATAGTGCAATATTATGGTTGTGAGGTGATCCACTCACATTGTTTTGAGCCTAAATGGCATTGGCTTAAATCGTCTGGAATTCGGTGCCTTTAAGGTAGCACAAAATCTTTCTCCTAAAGTATAGTGTTGCAGATTCACAAAAGAAAATGGCATCTAGTGCAATATGTTATGATTTAAATTATCGCTAAAGTATTCTGTGTCAAAAACCTGCTCAACTTGTAAAGACCCTCCATGTTACACTTTTCTAGGTAGATATAGCCCTGTGTCAAATAAGGGGGACCTTCGAAATAACTGGCACTTTTGGTAAACATATATTTTAAGTTTATACACAAACTCTTCAGCAAAAGTTTTGGGCTATAGTGTAAGTTCAGATTGGTTTGAAGTAAAAAATGACACACCTCAGACATGCCCCTTATCTCCATTGTTATTATATTCTTTCCATAGAACCGTTTGCAGAATATATCCGTAAATCTCAAATCATAGAACGTATAACCGCTGCAGATAAAGAAAATATAGTCTTGCTATATGCGGACGATGTAATTTTAACACTTAGGCATCCGGACCAATCAGTAAAAGCAGTATTAGAAATAATAAAGGAATATGGAATCTATTCGAATTATAAACTTAAAGGGACATTATAGTCACCTGAACAACTTCAGCTTAATGAGGTTCTTTATCTTGTAAGCAATGTATTTTCTGAGAAAATACAGTGTTTACATTGGAAGCTTGGAACACCTCTTGTTGCAGTCAGTCAGACAGCCACCAGAGGGACTTCAGAGTTCAGAAGCCCTAAAAAGGCTATCTGCACACAAAGCACTGTGAACGCGCTTTGTGTGCTGAGTCTGTCAGCACTGCGTGGGAGTGGCTTGAGCTGACAGGCTGAAGACCGAAGAGGAGGAGGGGAGGATTCACACTGTAAGTAAACTTATTTAGTGAGTGTGGGTGAGGATGGATGATGGGAGTAGATGGATATGGATGATGGGAGTAGATGGATGGATATGGATGATGGGGTGGAGAAAAAGTGTGCGTGTGTATGTCTAATTTTTTACTACTTGTGTGTTTGCATAGAAACACTTTATATAGAGAGATCTCCATATATAGTATTTCTATGCAAACACAGTTTGGCTGATGAGGGGGGGCGGGTATAGAAAGCGAGCTGAGCTGTCAGACAGCTCAACGCGCATTCCGTGCACATGCGCGTTTGAGCGCTGAGTTTCTTCATAGGGCGGCATTCAATGCTGCACATTTTATTTTTAAAATCCCCCCTACTGCGGCAAAGCAGAATCCCAAAAAAAGATGCAGGGTTTGTTCTAAGAGGGGGCAGAGAAAAGATAGTGTATATTACTGTCCTGATTGCCCTGGACAGCCTGGACTCTGCATTGGCTACTGCTTCAAACGCTACCACACGCTGGTCCATTTTTAATTTATTTTTTAACATTTGCCGTTCAGTTTTTTTTGGAGGGGGGGGTTGTTACATTTACCCCGTGCATTGGGGGCATGGGTGTCCTAAGGAGAAGCCTTGCAGAAAACCACCCTGGGTGTGTTCTTGCAATAACCAACAGCGGGCTCGCCTAAATCACAGTCAAAAAGCAGTGTGCGTGTGTGAAAATGAGGATTGAACAGTTACCTCCACACATGTTCAACTGTTTTATTTTTTTTTTTTTGGTCTGGCTAAAAAAAAAGTTGCATCAAAGCACTCCACATGCAATACCTCGGGGTGTCTACGTTTCAAAGTGTGTACCCTTTCGTGGCAATCTATAAAACTGGGGTATGTGATAAGCCCCAGGCTAAAGATAGGCTTATCAGAAGAAATACTCTCAATTTCAACTCAAATTGAAAAGTCATACAATTGTAACCGTACCTTCCCAAAATCCTGGCAAGCCTATGCATGGGGGGCATGGGTGTCCTAAGGAGAAGCCTTGCAGAAAACCACCTGGGGTGTTCTTGCAATAACCAACAGCGGGCTCTCCTAAATCACAGTCAAAAAGCAGTGTGTCTGTGTAAAAATGAGGATTGTACAGTTACCTCCACACACGTTCTTCAACTACTGCAGGGTGTCAACTTTTCAAACATATGCACGCTCATGTCAAGAAAATACATTGGGATATCTGATAAGTCCCCCAAAAGGAAGATAGGCAAGCAAGATATGTACAATTTGAAAAACGCATATCAGACATTTTGTTTTGTACCCCCCAGTGAACCCAACAAACATATGCATGGGTGGTATCGCTGTACCCGGGAGATGTTGCCGAGCACATATTGGGGTGTCCTTTGGCAGTAACACCTAACAGGAGCTTAGAATTTATGCTCAAAGTAGAATGTGTGGGTGAAAAAGAACATCACAAAAATGTTTGACAGAGACTGGTGGTAGAATTAGTGCATGTAAAGTGTTGAAATGCCACCATGTGAAATGCCCTAGGGTGTGTACTTTTCCAAAACATACGGTTTGACGGAGGTGAATTACATTGGCTGGCTTCAGAAATGTTCCAACTGGGACATGGGGGCATGATGGCCAGCTGTGTTTTATGTTTCATCATATTTCACTTTTTTTATTCTAGTAAATCATATGATATGATGAAAATAATGGTATCTTTAGAATGAACATTTAATAGCGAGGAAAACGGTATATAATATGTATGGGTACAATAAATGAGTAAGAGGCAAATTACATCTAAACACAGCCACTGCAGAAAAAGAGCCCTGGTCCTTAACGGTAATACAACTGAAAAATGGCCTGGTCACTAAGGGGTTAAAGATCAAAACCAAGACAATCTAATACATATAGAGGACAATAACAAATTAGTTTCTAGAATAAATAAATACAACTTTATACAATCTAAAAGGCAAAAGTAAGGTGAAGGGGATGACAAAATGGGAAGAAGATATAAACGAGGAATATTCATTGGAAATATGACACAGTTCAATAAGAATGCTTAAAGGAGCAGTAATCTGCACAAATATATATGAGACCCAAATTAAAAATCTCAATAGATGGTATAAAGTTCCGCAAATTTTACATAAATTTAATTCTAGCAATAATAAATTCTGCTGGAGGTGTAATCTAGAAATAGGAACATTTCTGTATATATGGTGGAATTGTAAGCAACTCAAAGACCTAAAAAAATCATTAGAATAATTAAAGAAGCTCTAAATATACAGGTAGAATTGGATGTTCAAACTTTTCTTTTCCACCTTGAGCTACCTACAACAGTAAAATCAGAGAAGTATTTTAATGATACATATCATGATGGCTGTTAAAGTATGCTTGGCTCGATATTGGAGAATGGAAGCAGTACCAGGATGGGGGGAAATAACCACACAAATTAATTATTAATTAATAATGGAAAAATATGCTTTCAAGAAATTAAATAACTTGAAAATATATGAAAAAAATATGGAATCCCTGGACATCTTTTCGATCAAAACACCTATCAGAATTTAGGAACTGGATATGATTCTACTTCCCACTTTTTTTAAATTTAATTATTGCCTCCCTCCTTTCTCTCGACTTCCTCCACCACACCTCGGAGCACTTGATAATAACTTTTCTACGTCATGGATGTTTAACATAATGTTTTTAATGTTCGGTTACAAGGTGATCACTCTTGAGACCAGGAATTCAGGTATCTCCTTTTTTTTCTAATTCTCAGTAATTCACTGTAATGTACAAGTAACACAAGAAATTGAAGGTAGAATGGAAAGGGGAAAGATCCTGAATGTTTAGGTCACAAGGTGAACATTCTTGATACCGATAATTCAATTAAGTACGGATAAGACCAAAACGAACCACTGTATGTTATTTGTAAATGGACTATGTATTTCTGGAATATGTTTGTTTAAAAATGTGAAAATAAAAATTTATAATAAATTATTTATTTATTTTTTAAATAAGGGTGACATTGCCCTGGAATCAGCATGGTAATACAGGCAAAAATATTTATTAATCCAGTAAATAATTTTTTACCTGTATTACCACACTGATTAAAGAAGGACATTGTTAACACAGAGCTATATCCTACTAGAGCCAGGTAACATATACTCTTTACAAGGTAAGCAAGTCTTTGAAGTTTGAACCAAATCCTTTGATAAAACCTAACATATTGCACTCGATATTCTATTTTCTTTTGGGAATCTGCTTCACCATACTTAAGGAGAAAAGCATGGTGCTGCCTTAAATGCCCCGAATCCCAGACAATTTGAGCCAATCTCATTTAGGCTCAAAACAATGAGTGGATCAACGCACAACCATGATATTCCACTATTTAGCAGACCTTTAAAAATATATATTACTGTGTATATTTGTGTTTGTATTTCATGTAATGAGCGCATTCCCCAATTGGAAATAGGGGTAAGTAAACTAAATTGTTGTATAGCTCTCCACTTCTCATTTTTTGAGGGGTTTTTTTTTTTTCCCCCACACATTAATACCGTATTTGCATTTTTTGTTTTTGGGTCACAAGTGTGTTAGCCGCAAACTTTGAGTTAACACTTATGAAGCACCTCTTAGAACACTATGAGCACACTTTTAACACTGTTGGAAAGTTGTGTTAAACACTCACGATAAATAAAGTACTTAACACTTAACCACATAATTTTGTTGAGGTGTAAATTGCAGACTGTTACTTAAAGGGACACTATAGAACCAGAACAACTACAGCTTATAGTCAGCCCCAGTAGGCCTTTTGCAATAAATACAGATTTTTCAGTGAAAAGGCAGTGTTTACATTGCTGCCTAGGGACTCATCCAGTGTCCTCTCCTCCTATGGCTACTAGAGGTGCTTCCTAGGGCAGTACTGACATTCAGTGTCTCCAACCACTGCTTGGAGACACTGAACTTTCCTCACAGAGATGCACTGCCTCAGTGCATCTCTACACGCAGATGCTGACTGGCCAGGATGGCGTTTGGCTCACTTCGACCTGGCCAGCCTCCTTGGCTGAGATCATCAGAATTGACCATCTCAGCCAGTCCTATGGGAAAGCATTGTGATTGGCTGAGATCATAAATTCTGATGATGTCATCCAAAAAGGCAGATCAGGGACAGAGTCAACACCAGCAGACTGGAATAAATGTAGGATTTTACTATATTTAGGTGGGCCAGGGGAGCTAGATAGTGTTTTTAAAACTATAGTGTCAGGAATACATGTTTGTGTTTCTGGCTCTATAGTATTCCTTTATTATATTCGCTAATGGGACACTATATAGGCACCAAAACAACTTTAACTTAATGAAGCAGTTTGTGTGTATAGTTTATGCCCTCACTGTCTTACGGTGTCATTCTCTGCCATTTAGTAGTTAAATCTGTTTTATACAGCCCTAGTCACCCCTCCTTGCATGTGACTTGCATAGCTTTCCAAAGCTCTTCCTGAAAACCAGACCAGAAATATAGAATATCTGTTCTAGAATTCCTTGTCTCCTGCTCTGGAAATAGCCTCCTGGGTATGATTTAAAGTTTAATTTACAAATCAGGAGATACTCTTCTAATGTAAGCTAGCACTCATTTGAAAAGAGAACCATTTTTTTATGCAGGCTATTTGAGTCACATGATCTATACTCACAAAACTCCTGTATTACGCTAACATTGCTTTGATGCCTATAGTATCTCTTCAAATATGCAGCCAGGTTCCTCCACGTGAAACCTTGTTAGCAGAAAGGATGTCTCCTGGATTATTAGGAGCTTTCTTCTTGTTTGTTTATCTCAATATGAAAGTTCTTTCCTCCTCTTAACCGACTATATGCAAGTTAACCTGCAATCTGTTGCTTATCGTTTAATCATTTAAAAGGTTTAATCTGCAAATGTTCCATCATTTGGGTTGAATAAGCATTTTGTGCTAGAGCTTTCTGGTCTTACACCAACGTGTTGAGTCCAGCACTATTGTATTTGCTTTATAAATCACTGCACATACATTAAAATGCAGCCCTTTTGAACGAAGGTGAGCTAATGGATCTGCATTGCGTTCTTGCAGGCGGACTCTGCAGTTGGCACGGCAGCTGAAGGACAGGGCTGTGGAAGCACAGAGCTGTTACAGCCTGGGAAACACATACACTCTTCTTCAAGATTATGAAAAAGCTATTGATTATCATCTGAAGCATCTTGTCATTGCTCAGGAACTCAGTGACCGGTGAGACTCCAATTGCACAATGTGTCCATCCCTTTACTGTCTCATTATGTACTATACAATTTTGGGGGGTTTATATAAAAAGCAAATTCTTGTTTAACCTTCAGATTAAAAAAAAAACTAGAGACTATCACCTTGGAAAACAATGAAATGTCTAGGATTGCTGCACTTTATAAAACTATGGTGTGTGTCATTATAACTAACTTGGTTCTTAATTTTTTGGAGGCGTTGGCTGGCGTTTTTGTATTGATGAAGATTAGGTCAGTGATGGCAAATCATTGTTCTGAAATTGTCATTACTGTAAAAGTATAATCTCAACAACTGGAATGCTAAACTGCCAAAATTGCTAGTGTGAATTTGTAAATGCAACAAATTGTGCTTGTGATCTGTATGTCCATTGATTTGTTGAAGTTGCAATGGTCTGACTACCTTCCTGTTACAATATAATATATTTTCTTTTCATTTATTGCATAGCCGCACAATGAGTTCTATGGCAAGCTAGAATCTTGATGACTTGAGGCATTGACTCTTGTTTTATTAGATTTGTCTTGTTTCTCTAAGAAACTTATGGTTTTTCTCTCTTTGACTGTTTCTTGTGTGCTTTTCTTATGACCACTTCATAATTTTTACTTTCTGTATTTTTTTTTGATTGTTACATTTCTATAGCTATAAGAGTTAGAATCTGTTTGTTGTGAAATCCTGTTTTCACTTTTTATATACAATACATTTTTCCAAAATGAACATGTTAAAGGAACACTATTGGGTCAGGAACATAAATGTGTACTCTTGACCCTATAGTGTTAAACTATCTAGGTGGCTGCCTCCCCCCTTATTCCCCTTAAACATGTATTTTGCTCACCTTTTATTCCAGTGCCTATGCGCCAGCAGTGGGTCTGCTGGCGCATAGAAATAACAGACCAACACAACTATTCACTTAAAATCCAGTGAAAATTACCAAATTACAACCGCATCTGAGCAAATCTACAGCCACCGCCCAAAAGTGTTGGGATTAAAATTGGTGATTTTGCATCCGAGTCCTATACTTTGTAAATTCAAAAAGCACAAGTGCGGATGCACGTTCACAAACTCTGTTTCACTTTACTTCATGCAAGCAAACTACAGTTGCAAGAAACAGTATGTGAACCCTTTGGAATGGTATGGATTTCTGCTAAATTGGTCATAAAATGTGATCTGATCATCATCTAAGTCACAACAATAGACAATTACAGTCTGCTTAAACTAATAACACACAAAGAAGGAAATGTTGCCAGGTTTTTATTGAACACACCATGTAAACATTCACAGTGCAGGTGGAAATAGTATGTGAACCCTTGGATTTAATAACTGGTTGAACCTCCTTTGGCAGCAATAACTTCAACCAAACGTTTCCTGTAGTTGCAGATCAGATGTGCACAACGGTCAGGAGTAATTCTTGACCATTCCTCTTTACAGAACTGTTTCAGTTCAGCAATATTCTTGGGATGTCTGGTGTGAATCGCTTTCTTGAGGTCATGCCACAGAATCTCAATCGGGTTGAGGTCAGGACTCTGACTGGACCACTTCAGAAGGTGTATTTTCTTCTGCTTAAGCCATTCTGTTGTTGATTTACTTCAATGCTTTGGGTCATTGTCCTGTTGCAACACCCATCTTCTGTTGGGTGCTTCAGCTGGTAGACAGATGGCCTTACGTTCTCCTGCAAAATGTCTTGATAAACTTGGGAATTCATTTTTCCTTTGATGATAGCAATCCGTCCAGGCCCTGACGCAGCAAAGCAGCCCCAAACCATGGTGCCCCCACCACCATACTTCACAGTTGGGATGAGGTTTTGATGTTGGTGTGCTGTGCCTTTTTTTCGCCACACATATTGTTGTGTGTTTCTTCCAAACAACTCAACTTTGGTTTCATTTGTCCACAGAATATTTTGCCAGTACTGCTGTGGAACATCCAGGTGCTCTTGTGCAAACTGTAAACATGCAGCAATGTTTTGTTTGGACAGCAGTGGCTTCCTCTGTGGTATCCTCCCATGAAATCCATTCTTGTTTAGTGTTTTACGTATTGTAGATTCGCTAACAGGGATGTTAGCATTTGCCAGTGACTTTTGTAAGTCGTTAGCTGACACTTTAGGATTCTTCTTCACCTCATTGAGTAGTCTGCGCTGTGCTCTTGCAGTCATCTTTACAGGACGGCCACTCCTTGAGTAGCAGCAGTGCTGAACTTTTTCTATTTATAGACATTTTGTCTTACTGTGGACTGATGAACAGCAAGGCTTTTGGAGATACTTTTATAACCCTTTCCAGCTTTATGCAAGTCAACAACTCTTAATCGTAGGTCTTCTGAGACCTCTTTTGTGCGAGGCATCATTCAAATCAGGCAATGCTTCTTGTGAAAAGCAAACCCAGAACTGATTGGACTCCAGTTGGCTGACATCTCACTCCAATTAGCTCTTGGAGATGTCATTAGTCTAGGGGTTCACATACTTTCTCCACCTGCACTGTGAATGTTTACGTGGTGTGTTCAATAAAAACATGGCAACATTTCCTTCTTTGTGTGTTTATTAGTTTAAGCAGACTGCCTATTGTTGTGACTTAGATGATGATCAGATCACATTTTATGACCAATTTGTGCAGAAATCCATATCATTCCAAAGGGTTCACATACTTTTTCTTGCAACTGTATACGTATGATTTGCTGCACTATAGATTTCAGAGCTCAGTCTGTGTGGAGCCCTCAATGAGTGAAGATAGATTAATTTTAATGTGGAGTTTAATTTTTCTGTCTTGGGTTGAGTCAAATTCATGCCTGTGTTATATTGTTAAATAGCCTGAATAATGTCTGGATTTTTCAGTCCAAGTATCCTTGTACACACCTGGACAGTTTTGACTCATTCAGTATGGGACAACTCGGATTTTAGTGAATAACCCTGTAATCTTTGTGAATCTGACAAGTAGTGGTGCGATTGTTATTTTGTTAAATCTTACATTAAAATGTTCTCATGACAATGGCCATCCCTTTTCCATCCAACACACTGTGGTAATTGATTACTGGGTTTCAGAGTGGGTGAAGGCCGGGCCTGCTGGAGCCTAGGAAATGCATACACTGCCTTGGGAAACCATGACCAGGCTGTTCATTTTGCAGAGAAGCATCTGGATATCTCAAGAGAGGTAAGACACATTTTTCAGTTCCATTCTTCACCCATTACAGTATATAGATATATTTTCAATTGTGAAGCAGTTTGTATCAAAGTACTCTAATAAAAATGGACCTGATTTAATTCCAGGAAAACCGATAAAAATTCAGTTTTTTTGTTTTTGTTTTTTACTGGGATCTTACCATACAGTTATCATAAACATGTAGAGGATGTTTAAAATGGACTCTACTATCTCAAAATGTGTTGAATGCCAGGTCATGTCAGTTAAAAAAACAAAAATAATAATTCTGTACACAATGCAAGGTAAACTGCCAGCAAATGTAAAGATTTAATTATTGGCACATGCAATATGTGCAGCTGCTTGCTTTAAAGGGACACTCAACTGCCAAAATACAAAATAAGTAAATGTCACTGTTTAGTGGATATACGCCAAATGAAAATATGCATGCATTTAATAATGCATTTTTTTCATTGAGGGTATGTTGTACTCCTACCTTACCTTAAAGACTTCTCTAGGGCTGCATCGTTCCTATGGAACGCCCTTCACCTAATCTCTACTCGTTCAAGAAAATCTTTGAAAACTTACTTTAGGAAAGCATATCAATTAAACTGTGAACAGCTTTCCCTCCCCGCACCCCGATCCCTCTCCTGAAACGTCAATAAAACAAAACAATAAGCCCTCAATGAACACTATCCTAGCAAACTACTTTTCTACCCTACCCTTACCTTCTGTGTCACATTACCCCACTCCCTCTAGCATGCGAGCAGGGCCCTCAATCCCTCTGTTCCTGTGTGTCCAACTTGTCTGTGTACAAATACTTGTCTGTTAGTCCACTCATTCTACAGCGCTACGGAACTTGTTGGTGCTTTATAAATAATAAATTTATAATAATAATCCATCTAATTCGGCTTGCAAAACATGCAGTTCTGTTTGCTGCTTTGCAAACCCTCCCTATCTAACCCCAACCCGACTTCTGGAACTGTCCAATCACAGACTTCCTAATGCAGCTCAATGAAAAGTCCTCGCAAGGGTGGTGCTCTGAGTAATTGCTGCCTCTTGAATTTAACTCAACTGAGCTAACCAAACCAGAAAGTAAAATGATCTGTTGTCTGCTTGAAAGCCAAGGTGGTGTAACTAGCTTAATTTAGAAAAGTGTAAATTTTCATAGAAATCTAAACTTTTTTTTTTTCACACTCTTAATACATAAAGCTTTTCAGCAAGTTGAAGTTGTTTAGGCGAATTGAGTTTTTTTTTTTTTTTAATCTAGAATGTGCCATTATGTTATTAACAAATTATATTTAACCCCTTCGCGTCCGCTGACTGTTCAGGACCATCAATTGGAAAAATCCCCTTGAGGACCGGTGATGGTCCTGAACAGTCATAACAGAAATCTTTACTCACCCGGTCGCCGTTGTTACACACAGGCTTTTCCGGCCTACCACCTTCTTTCTTCAATCCATCGCCGTGGATGGTGTCCAAGTGACTCACAAACCGTAAGTCGACCTACCCGTTACACCAGGCATCAGTCCCACGGCACCATGCACGGGTCAGGTCCTAACTTTACGGCTGCATTTTGTCTAAGTCTGTTCTAAAACCGTTGCATGTTCATTCGTTTAAACTCCCTTGTTTATATTTGTCACTGGCTCATTTCGAGCATTTGCCTGCTCCCAAACGGGAACATATTCTGTTTCAATTACCTAAACACACTAGGCAATTCTGTGCGTGCATTTCAAATCTCACTGCTCGTTTCGTTTTGTTTCCCTGACATACCAGGCTTACGGTTCGTACAATTTTCTACCAAACGTGAACTAGTTCATACATTTACTATTGTACTACACACACGTTTTATGCATTTACAACCCACTAACAGAACTTTGGTTTGTTACAATGAATGTTAAACTATCATGTTCACATATTGTATATTGTCAAACGGGTTTGGATTAACCCCTTAAGGACACATGACATGTGATATGTCATGATTCCCTTTAATTCCAGAAGTTTGGTCTTTAAGGGGTTAAAGGGTATTTTTACCATACAATCAGCATTTCTGACCCCTACTGGTCAACAGCAAAACTGTCTTCACATGTCATTTACAATTTACCAGCCAATATAAATTACACATAAGATTGTTTTAAACATAACCATAAATTAAACTCCAGCATGGGCTCAACTTCAGGTTTAATTCACAATAATTTACATTTCACATCAAGACCAACAGTGGTTCTATCAACACTGCCACCTACAGGTCTGTCAAGTACATTGACAATTTTCATGGGGTTTTACAAACACCAAAACACTGAACCCTACAGGTCAACAGACAAACAACATTTCACATACCAATCAGTATCCAACTACACTGCCAGCTATAGGGCACTCGGCAGATCTCCAGTGCACTTGCATTTTGCAACACATGTTCACTGACCCCTACCATTCAATAAGACATACAACAATTCACATAGCAAGTAGTATATCAACATCTGGTATAAATACATATATTATTACACAGTAGCAGACGCATCTGTATATACGTAACTGGTAATATATTTCACATAAATTTTTCACAGCATGCTGCTCACACAACAGACTTTCCCCTAGCAAGGGGACATATAACATACAAGGTGGGGACAGACCACTTTTTCACTTGTACATAGGGCACTTAATGGGTTAAGATTGATACATATTTAACCAGCATTGGCTACGATGTTTAATATTTATCACGGCACTTTACTTTTCACTTACACCGTTTTCAAAAGTAGGCAACCCAAATGGTGCATTTTAAGATGTTTGGTCTAACCACTTTATTAGAAATGAAGGGCCCACATAGCGGTTATAGTTTTATTTGTGCTTTTTCACACACACGAACTCTCTTTTCACAGACCTTTCATATTCCTGATACCTGAGTTATTGCAACAAAGCCTCACTAGTTGTATTTAACATTGTAAAATCTAGTACATTAACATGTACTAGATTTTCTGTTTTTGGAGGGAAGTCACGGGGACAAAAATATTAGATGCCTTTTCAGCTTGTAAGTTTGTCAAAGTGATTTTCTGGGCCTATGTGGCTTTTCAGAGAGTATGGCAGCCTGGGTAATAACATTTCCACCGTTATGGTATACAGTTTTCAAAAGTAGGCAACCCAGATTATAACAAATGGCATAATTTGAGATGTTTGGTCTAGCCATTTTAACAGAAATGCTGGGCCCATGTAGCGATTTCTACTTTTATTTTTGTCTTTTTAATAAGATAAATTGCATTTTCACTGGAAATGTCATAATCCTGATATTAGTGCAATAGAAACTTTGTATTTTGATTTAACACTGTCTTCTGAATAGAACAGTACCCACATGTAGCATGTTTTTATTAAATCACAGGAATAGAACAGTACCCCCACATACACTTTGATTTGAAGGCAGAGAGATCTTTGATCTCACATAGTTACTGTGTGAAAACTTAAGTTAAAAAAACAAACAAAAAAACTCTTTACATTGAAACAGTCTGTTATGCAGAGGGCAGGTAGAGATGGGCAGGTTGGGCAATAACTGGAGTGCTTTTGGACTCCTTTCTTGTAGCAAACATGGCACTTTCTTTTTTACTGGGGGTGGGTGGGATAAGGGAAGGGAAGTGTTTGCCACAAAGTCTTTTGAGATCTCCTGATTCCAAAATGGGATTGGGGGACTAGGTAAATAACATACGGGACAAAAGGCTCAACGTAAATTCTGGGAAAGGGCCGGGCTTACCTATGACCTCTCATTTATAGAGGATATAGGCGTTGAAAATTGCAATCTGGCTCACGTAGATTGCAATTTTCTTGTACCAGGTCCTAGTTTTTCGGTTCACCAGATAGGGCTGTATGCATTGGCCAGCCAAGTCTACTCCCCCTATAAACTTGCTTTAGTCTACAATGCACTTTGGCTTTTTCCAGATGCTCAGTGCTACCGCTCACAGACTCTGGCACTGTACATCCTTCCTATCTCTGAAGCAAAGGGCAAGCAGCTCATCCTAGTGAAGAGCTGAAGAGGAACCTCTACTGCTTCTGCCTCTTGCCAGAGTTTGAGGGAAACCCCCTGCGATTCTTCCTCACTGTGCCACAGGCTAGGGTTTCAAAACAATATAAATTTTTAAATAATTGTATACTGATATAATAATTGTTAACCCAGCCTATATCCCTTATTTAACAAGGGAAGTATTACATCCCAAACAATCTTACCACTTGTACCCACAGAATCAGGTCATCCTGGTGGGTCAAGATGGCTATCCTTCCCCTGGTAAATGCGAAACGCCCATGTGTAACCAGTACAGGATTTGCATAATTTATCAAATTTAACGCTATATCAGAACCGTTTAGATGGAATATATTGCTAAAATAGCAGTCGACCTTTAAATTTTATAAGGTACTCGTCAATTGAAATATCTTTATCCAACTCCTGTCAGACACATTTTCTGAAAATTATGTCCCCGATAAAGGGCCGAATTTTATAGAGCCTCTCAAACAGTGGGTCGTTTTTAGGGGGACACTCATTAAAATGAAGGAATCGCAGCAGTTGCAGGTAGTGATCCCTCTGCATAACCTCAGGGAAAAGAGGGGTAGCCAGGATGCATTACTTGCTCCAGTAGGACCTACTAGGGGTAGTGAGGAATATGTAGCTTGCAGCGCCCAATACAGAGTGGGAAGACAGTACCTTGGGCATTGCTCAGACCTCCATGGGTTCCCCGGGGTGTACATTTGGAAGGTGTACCATGTGGCTTAGAGTGGGGGTAAAGTGGCCCGGCGGGACCGATGTGGTTTGTGACCTGTGGGGCAGTCGAGGCCACCTTAACAGGCTTTTGCCCTTTTTATTTTTTATTTATTTATTTTGTGCCAGTTGTGGTTTTATGGTGTTCTCTGTTGGGTTCTGTGCTGCCAATATGATAGAGATGGCTGCCATTTGGAGAGGTTACGGGGGGAGTAACTTGAAGTTCTAACTGGGGTAGTGGTTGGTATGTAATGTAGCATGGGCCTAAGCCTTCCTGTCATCTAGGGTGGGGACACCATTCTGTTGTTGGGGCTCTGTGGGTCCCACTGTTCCCACGCCTCGTACCAATATTTGGTGTAGGGGCGGGTTTGTCTGGCCATAAGTTCATAGGATTTGTTGAGTTCAGTTGTGGCAATGCAGTGAAGATGGGGGGGGGTGTTGTGGGCTGCTTTCCACTGTCTGCTTATCACCATGAGGGCTGCGATGAGGATTTGGTAGACTAAATATTGTTGCCTTTTTTTGGAGTTGCTTTGAGAACAGTAACAGGAGGAATATTTCGGGGCAAAGGTGGAGGTCATGTGAGTGTAATTTTAAAAGCACAGCATTTATTTTATTATGATACACTTCACTATGTGCGGTTTACTTATTCCTTTGTAGATACTTATCTGAATCCCAATAGGGTTTACTGTCTAGAGACACTTCCAGTGGCTTTCACTCAGACTGCCACTAAAGGTGCTTCCTGGTCAGTGCTGCACAACGTGCAGAACCTTTATTCAGAGTCTCCACGCTCTGCATGGAGACGCTTAACTTTCCCCATAGAGATGCATTGATTCAATACATCTATTTGAGGAGTTGCCACTTGGCCAGCGTGGCATTTGGCTTGTATGAAAGCATTGGATTGGCTGAGATCGTCAATCCTGATAATCTTTGCCAAGGAGGCACATCTGCATGGAGCCAGTGCTGGCAAATTAGCATGGCACTGGGGTAAAGGTAAGATTTTACTTTACTCGTGGGTGACCAGCCACCTATTAGTGTTTTTAACACAATAGGGTCAGGAGTACACCTTTGAATTCTGGTCATGTAGTGTGCCTTTAAGCTGTAGTGGTTCTGGTGACTATAGTGTACATTTTAAAAGGAAAATTTGTGAAAAGGTCATTTTAAAAAAAAATTTATTTCACAGATGTTTAAAAGTATGAACATTCTTTGTAGTATCCCTGAAATATTTCCCATATCCTTTGTCTGCTCTGCCTGACTTTGTGTGTAAATATGGAACATAGCTGTATATGAAATAATTGACACTAAACTTTGGTGGATAAATCTTCATTTGACAGTTGGGAGATCGAAATGGTGAACTCACAGCACAGCTGAACCTCTCTGACCTACAGATGGTGCTGGGACTTAGCTACAGCACCAATACCTCAGTGCTTTCAGAAATCCAGGACCCAGACACCAGTGTGAATGGTAAATGTAAAAGTAATTCTTCTTTTGCCATGTAAATTTATTATAGAAAGCAGTATATAGCAGTGGTGTATTTTGAATATGTGCTAAACTGACATCACTCACACATCTTCACTGGTTTGACACATTCTGACAGAGGCACACACACTTACTGGCAGACACACACAATCACTGGCAAGCACACACACATTCCCTGACTGACACATGGATACTGCCACACTCACGCACATTTTCTCATACACTCACAAATGTTTTTTTTTTTTTTTTTTAATTTTAGTCCACCCAGCCTCCTTGCCTTTGGGAGAGCTGGAGTGGATTATTTCCTTCCAGTCCAGTGTGGACCCTGTTCCTGCAGCACAATCCCACCCATCTGTGCCATGTGATTATGATCACGATCACATTACTAGAATCAGCGTGTTTGACAGATTTCCTGGCAGACCCTCCAACATAGAATTAATAAAAACAAATAATTATATTAGAAATATAAAGAAATATACACTTATATAGAATGACTTAGTGTGTATGCGCCCAATCCGCTTCCTAGCCGTTGGGGAGGGAGACTGGAACACTTCAACCCCAGTTGTCGAGGCTTGACTTGGGTCTCTCTGGAGCTTTTCAAGACTGCAGCTATCCTTCCAGGCAGGTATCGTCCCCTCTGCCTATTCCGTTGCAGCCCTTCTTCCAGGTAGGTATCATTAAGCTGAAGTGGTCTGGGTGCCTAGAGTGGTCCTTTAAATGTTTCAGACCAGACTTTTTTTAAATTGGAACCTCCACTACTTTAAACTGTAACTAATGGTGTGTGTTTATTTATTTTATAAAGGTGCACGGCCGAAGTTAAGCAGACGGCACAGCATGGAGAATCTGGAACTTGTGAAGTTAACTCCAGAGAAGGTGCCTGTTTTTTTAATATTTGTATTTGTGGTTTGCAGTTTCTAATATGCTGAAATTGCTCTATTCTTGCAAAAGTTTCACATTTACTACTTGGTAAAAGGCTGAAGCATTTTCTTTCAATGCCTTTCCTTAATTAAAGGGATATTATAGTGCAAGAAATACAAAGCTGTATTCCTGGCACTATCGCTACTCCTGCCTCTCCTGACGTCCTGCGACGAGCGCCTGCTTATGCTCATGCATGTTAGACCTCCCCATAGGAAAGCGTTGAATCAATGCTTTATGTGGAAAATCTGATCCTGAGTGTCCTCATGCAGAGCGTCGTTATGATCCAGGAAGCGCCTCAAATGGCAGTCTGGGAGACAGCGACTGGAGGCAGAGTTAGTGCTCTAATGTAAAAAATGCACTTTCTCTTTAAACTGCAGTGTTTTACATTGCAGCACTAAGTGCAAAAGGGACACTGCACCCAGACCACTTCAGTGAAACCCCCCGCACAGAGTACGCCCACTAGATCACAGGCTTAGTGAATGAACCAAATGATTGTATGCACTCAAGATACATTTTCACTGACATATGAGTTTGCAAATCCACTTAAATATGTCAGTGGCATGAACATCTGTTGGGATATGTTATCATGTGTGTGTGTGTTTTTTTTCCCTTTTTTTTTTCTGTGGTTTTTCTCAGAAATGGATAGCATATAGAGCCCAGATATTTCAGTTAAAGGGAGACTATAGGCACTAAATCAATTTTAATTTAATGAAGCAGTTTTGGTGTGTAGATCGTGCCCATGCAGTCTTACAGCTCAATTCTCTGCCATTTGAGATTTAAATTGCATTCTATATACAGCCCTAGTCACACTTCCCTACATGTGACTTGCACAACTTTACTAAACATTTCCTGTTGAGAGATCTAATATTTAAACTTCCTTTATTGCTTATTGTTTTATTTAGAATGTCTTATATCTGTGAACAGCATTCTAGATCCTGCTGGATGTAATTAAAGCTCATTTTACCGAGCAGGAGATAAATTTGTAAAGCAGGTTAACACCTGTTTGAAAATGAAATTTTTTTTTTTTATTTTTTTTCATGCAAGCTGTGCTAGTCAAAGCCAGGGGAAGTGTGGCTAGGGTTGCATGGACAGAAATAAAAGTACCTAATAACCCTATAGTGCCAGGAAAACAAGTTTATTTTCCTGGCACTATAGTACTCCTTTAACTCTTAAATGGCAGAGAATTAAGCAGTGCGACAGTATGATCCATACACCAAAACTGCTGCATTAAGCTAAAATCGATTTGGTGACATTAGTGTCCCTTTAAGCATTTATGGGGTAAGTAATGTACAGAATCTCCATATTCCATACCCCTACTTATCGTATTCTATCTCTTGGTTTAATATAAGTTCTCTCTTCCTTATTAATTATTGCCCTTATATCTCAGACCTCTCCCAACTTAAAGGGAAACTCTATTCAAAAAAATAAATGTTATCACAATTTCTTGTTGTCTTTACTATTTTATAGCTCCATTCTCCCATTTTGTTGCCATTTAAACATAATTTTTATATTAAAAAGTTATATTGAATCCAGCACCATGATCTCCAACCTGATTTTCCTACTTTCCCATCATAATGGCATCTTCTTTTTGTAACGCTTCTCACAGAGAAATTTTAGTTGAGCAATGGTGCATGCCTGACAATTACTCAAATGCTACTCCTAGAGCGGCATTGAAACTAATAATGTAAAGTGTGTTCATTCCGTACACTGCAGATGGATTCACAGTGCCTATAATATCCTAAATGTTATAGTTCTGATGCTTAGTGTCACTTTAACTTACCAATTCCACTTATTTACCCTTCCTTATTTCATCTTTTTTCTGGTATTCCTTATGAGTCTTTGTCCGTTCACCTGTTTTTTCAATGTTGACATTCTCAGTAGTTGTCTAGAGGCCATATTAATTATATTGCCTTACACTATATAGTGTTTAACATATATGCCATACGTGGTGAAAAGTCACCACCATCAATTAAAGATAAGCAGGTTCTGATGTCTACAAAATATTTTCCACTTGGTTCCAGCGAAATATGCAACAGTCTTTTTTATTGAGGCTTAAAGTGACACTTTAAGCACCAAAACCAATAAAATGGGTTATAATGCTAGCAAAGTTATTTATTAAAGGGAAAAATCAAAGGAACACTAGATAGGGTCATGAACACAAACCTGTATTTCTGACCCTATAGTGTTAAATACACAATCCAGCCCCTCGCCCCTTTAATATAGTAACATTTTACCTTTTATTCCAGTCTGCTGGTGTTGGCTGATCTGTCTGCTTGGCTGACTTCATCAGAAGTTATGATCTTGGCCAATCACAATGCTTTCCAGTAGGAAAGAATTGAATTGGTTAAGATTGCCAAGGAGGCAGATCGGGGACAGAGCCAGCACAAGCCAAACACAGCCCTGACCAATCAGTGATTCTCTATGAGGAAAGTTTAGTGTCGCCATGCAGAGGGTGGAGACACTGAATGAATGTGCAGGAAGCACCTCTAGTAGCTATATGAGGAGTGGCAAGTGGAGTTATCCCTAGGCTGTAATGTAAATATGGCCTTTTCTATGAAAAGACAGTGTTAATGGCAAAAGGCCTGAGGGATTGATTCTACTCACCAGAACAAATACAATTAGCTGTAGTTCTGGTGACTGTAGTGTTCCTTTAGGATAAAAAAAAAATCTGAACCTGAAAAATTCTCTAGGTTTCAGTTTCATTTGGTCTACACTAAAGTATGCATAACAGAAAACCGTGTACATGGAAATAAATATCCAGATTTTTATAATAATTTTACAGGAGTATCCAATTGTGATAAAACCAATGTTCAGTGAATAGAGTATGGGAAGGAGTGATTTGTGATTTAGGGATCCTATTTGTAATTCTATGTTTTCAATACAGAATTGTCACCTGAGATTGAGTGATGATTCCCTTAAGCAGACCCTAAATGTATTTCTTTGTTTTAGGTACAAAACTGGAACAGTGAGATCCTTGCTAAGCAGAAAGTCCTGCTCTCAAAGCCATCCTCTAAGCTTATGTTTGTAAACAGACTGAAAGGGAAGAAGTTTAAGAACAGCACATCCAGTAAAGTGCTACAGGACACCAGTAACTCCAATGACTCTAACAGAAAGATGTCCAACTCTCAACGGGTATACCTTACTCCACAGACTAAGTAGTGAATGCATGGGTACTTGATTTTTTTGAATGCTAAAGATGTGCACAGGGGATTGCAAAAACAAAGCTAATTGAGTATACCTCTGGTACTAAAGTTATGAATGTCTTTAAAGTGAACCTGTAACAGATATAGTTCTGCCATTGCAAACATTCTAGCTTGACTCATGTTATACAATTTAAGTGTTTCTTCCCTTAATTCTATAAAAAGTTCTTATTTTATTAACATTACATTAACTCCAGCTGAGACCATCAATCATGTTTTCAATGGGTGTTACACTTGCTGCAACGCACATCTCTTTTGCATACCTCATAAATCATTCTGGCTGTTTCTCTCTGCGCAGCTGTTTCTGCTCTCACATAAAGCCTGCTCCTCCTCCCCCCCTTTGCAGGCATTGTTTTTACAATTATCTTTCATGATGTTATTAAACACATCTATTCAATATTTACAGTGCTGTGGGGGAAAAAAAAGGAAGTGCACACTTGGATTTAATAGCTATAGTTGATACTAGTTTGGCAGCAATAATGTCAACAAAGTGTTTATGGTAGCTGTGGATTGAACCTTAACAACGTTCAGGAGGAATTTTATTCCTTACTGCTTCAGCTCCGCTACATTTTTAGGATGCCGTGAACAGCTAAACCCTAGTTATAGGGTTAAGGTTTAGGTTCTTATTTGGGCCACTCCAAAAAAATGATTTTCTTTTTTGAAGCCATTCTGTAGTGGATTTACTTTGATGTTTAGGATCATTGTCCAACTTCTATCGAGCTTCAGCTGGTGCACAGCCACCCTGATATATTATTCTATATGATGTGTTGATAAACTTAGGGAATTAACCTTTTCCCATGATTGTGGCAAGTGGCACAGGCCCCAAATCATGATGCTTCCTCCACTGGAACTGTTGGGATGATGTTAACATATTGGTATGTGGTGCCCCTTTTTACGACATACGTGGTGTGCATTTTTTTTCCAAACAACTTAATCTCCGTTTCATCAGTCTACAAAACATTTTCCCAGTTGCATTGTGGAGTGTCAAGGTGGTCTTTGGTAAATTTCAGACCCGCACAATTTTTCAATATTTTTTTAGAGTGTTTTTTTTTCCCCGTATAGTAGACGCCTATTAACCAGTTCCAATGATTTATGGACATCTTCAGATGACACTCTAGTGTTTTTTTTGTATTTATTTATTATTTTTTAACCCCTTAAGGACGGAGCCAAATGTACACGTTGTGAACGAAACAAAATGTAAACAAAACCTGGCATTTGCGCTACATGTCTGTCCAACTGTAATACAACTCTTTCATAGTAAATGCACCCACCCTTATTATATATCATTTTATTCAGGGGAAACAGGGTTTTCATTTAATATCAAATATTTAGCTATGAAACATAATTTAATATGAAAAAAATGGGAGAAAAAAAAAGATTTTTTAGTTCTACATGACACTTTAACTGTCAATGTCATAATACTGTTTGCTTTTACTGCAATAAAATACACATATTTGTATTCAGCAAAGTCTCACGTGTAAAACAGTACCCCCTATCTACAGGTTTTATGGCGTTTTGGGAAGTTACAGGGTCAAATATATCACATTACATTTGAAATTGAAATTCGCCAGATTGGTTACGCTGCCTTTGGGACTTTATAGTAGCCCAGGAATTAAATTTACACCCATAATGGCATACCATTTGCAATAGTAGACAACCCAAGGTATTGCAAATGGGGTATGTCCAGTCTTTTTTAGTAGCCATTTGGTCACAAACACTGGCCAAAGTTAGCGTTAGTATTTGTTTGTGTGAAAAATGCCAAAACGCCAATTTTGGCCAGTGTTTGTGACTAAGTGGCTACTAAAAAAGACTGGACATACCCCGTTTGCAATACCTTGGGTTGTCTACTATTGCAAATGGTATGCCATCATAGGGGTAATTTTCATTCTTGGGCTACCATAGGGTCTTAAAGGCACCGTAACCAATCTTGCGAATTTTAATGTGAAAAAAATGAAACGCAAGCCTTATATTTGACGCTGTAACTTTTGAAAACCCCACAAAACCTGTACATGAGGGGTACTGTTGTACTCAGGAGACTTCGCTGAACACAAATAATTGTGTTTCAAAACAGTAAAAAGTATCACAGCAATAATATCGTCCGTGTAACTGCTGTTTGTGCACAAAAAATGCAAAAAAGTCACTTTTACTGGCGATGTCATCGTTGTAATACATTTTGAAACACTAATATTTGTGTTCAGCGAAGTCTCCCAAGTAGAACAGTACCCCCCATGTACAGGTCTTATGGTGTCTTGGAAAGTTATAGGGGTAAATATAGTGCTAGCAAATTAAATTCCCTTTACTCTCGGCATGGGTTGTTAGGCAGGTCCCGCTAAATGTAATTAATTAAGATACCGAATTATGTAAAAATATTACATAAATATATATGTAGAATTAATATATGTGTATATATACGTATGTGAATCTATGTGTGTGTGTGTGTGTGTGTGTGTGTGTGTGTATATATATATATGTATATATATATATATATATATATATATATATATATATATATGTATATATATATATATATATTTTTTTTTTAAAATATTTTTATTTATATATAGGTATATATATATAGTGATATATACGTATATATATATATATTATTTCGTTCTATGTGTATTTTGATATAAATATATATATTAATATCACAATACAGTTACAACGAAATGACACACATCTATATATTTTTTTATTTTTTTAACGTATTTACATTTTTTTATATTGTATATAAATATATATAACAAAAATTATATATATATATATATTATATTATATTTAATCAGTATCAGTCTACGTGTAATTTGATATTAATATATATAATTATATATATATATATTAATAGTAAAATACACCTAGACAGTATATGTGTGATCTAAGTATATATATATATATATATATATATATATATATATATATATATATATATATATATATATATATATATATATATATATATATATTTTTTTTACACTTTACTTTTTAATTAATTTATTTTAATTTTATTTTCAGCCAGCAGGGGGACCACCTGTCATTACAGGCAGCCCCCCTGCTGGCAGGAGGCAGCTACCCCCGGCCATGTGATTGTGAGGTCCTCGCAAGGACCTCACTCTCACATGGCCGGGGTGCACCGGAGGAGGAGGATCTACCGCCTGGGAGTCTCCAGTACAATTACGCCCGGCGGAGTTTAGAGCCGCCTAAAATAGGGCGTAATTGTACGCCCTCCGGTCTTAAGGGGTTAAATCAAGTTTCATTAGTTGAATGCCATGTGTGCCAATTTCTAACTCTAATTGGCTTTTGTTTAAGTAATTCGCCTAGGATTTCACATACTTTTTATAACCTATACTTTATTTGATATATATTTATAATGTACAAGAACAATACCATTGTGTTCTTAATTAAAACAGATTGTATTTGTTGATTACAGTACTTGGATGAATATCAAATTAGATTTAAGACCAATGTATACATAAATGCAATAATTTCTGATGTTTTTACATACTTTTTCATTTTGGTGTTAAGTGCAAAAACAGTAACTGGGTAGCTATTCAGTTAAACATACATTCTGTGGATTCCTCATTCACCTTAAGTAAATAGTACTCCGATGGATGTGTATATAATAAAAGTAACCCCCTTACCCTCTCAGCCAACCTCAACTCTGCACTGTGGGGCTTGGCTCTGTAAAACTAACGGAAGTTCCTGCTTAGGTGCATTCAGCTCTCCGGAGTTAATAGTGGAGGTGAGAAATTATGTCTGAACTCCAAAATTGATTTGATTACTTGCAATGTAGGAGGGGCACCTGCACCCTCAAGCTGTAGTGGTTATGGTGATTAAACTGTTCCTTTTACATTTGTGAGAGAAACTCAGATGGATATCCAGAACTTTCTAAGCAACATAACACCATGTGGGGACAGCTTGACAGATGTTATTACTGTAGATGTACATGTATAAAGAACTGGGGTTAAGAAAGCATACGTTTTTTTTATTTTTCCTTCTGCTTCTTGTGCCAGGAGCACACATATTCTAAACTCCTTACTGGATTTTTCTCTAAAGCAAGTCGTTGAGGAGCCAAACTAGATTTAGTGTTAATAAATGGAGATTTGGTATCCGATATTACTGTTGGTGAAAGTTTGGGATCCAAACAAAAGTTTTAGACTTTAGAAAGGGATTATTTAAAAGTTGCATTGCTGAAGGCAACAGAAAATTGCATTAGGCTTGTCAGTAAAAGATTCAAGAAACCACTGTGGTACTCTGCAGATGTGCCCAAAGTAGAAAACAAAAACTTTAAAAGCATTTAGTAATTTTGCTGATGATACGAAGATTTGTAACAGGGTTGACATTCCCAGAGGGATAAGCCAAATGGCAAGATTTAGGTACACTAGAAAAATGGTCAGAGTTGTGGCAACTGACATTTAATGTGGATAAGTGCAAGATAAAGCATCTTGGACGTAAAAACCCAAGGGCAGAGTACAGCATATTTGATAGTCCTGACCTCAAGATTATTATTAGTAGTAGTAGTAGTAGTAGTAGTGCCATTTATATAGCTCCAACAGATTCCGTAGTGCTTTACAATATTTCTGAGGAAATGGATTTAGGGTTAATTATTTCTGATGACTTAAAGGTAGGCAGACAATCTAATAGAGCAGCAGGAAATGCTAGCAGAATGCATGGTTGTATAGGGAGAGATATTAGCAGTAGAAAAAGGGAAGTGCTCATGCCATTTTACAGAACACTGGTGAGACCTCACTTGGAGTATTGTACGCAGTATTGGAGACCGTATCTCCAGAAGGATATTGATACTTTAGAGAGAGTTCAGAGAAAGGCTACTAAACTGGTTCATGGATTGCAGGATAAAACTTACAGTTTAAAGGAACTCATCATGTATAGCTTGGAGGAAAGATGAGACACGGGGGATATGATAGAAACATTTAAATACATGAAGGGAATCAACACCGTAAAGGAGACTATATTTAAAATAAGAAAAACTACCAGACAAGAGGACATAGTCTTAAATTAGAGGTGCAAAGGTTTAAAAATATTAGGAAGTATTACTTTACTGAGAGGGTAGTGGATGCATTGAATAGTCTTCCAGCTGAAGTGGTAGAGGTTAGCACAGTGAAGGCATTTAAGCATAGAGGGATAGGCTTAAGGCTATCCTAGATAAATGATAATGCCAGGGACTAATGAAAGTATTTAGAAATTTGGGCAGACTAGATGGGCCGAATGGTTCTTATTTGCCATCACATTCTATGTTTCTATCTTTCCAATGTGTTTTGGAACATTCCTTATAAGACCAGGGTAACTAAGTAGCAATGTTCTGATTAAAAAACCTAGATTTAAATCTCTTTAATTTGTCTATTTTTTTTAATTTTTTTTTGTCTTTAGAAAACTGTAGTCCCAGACAACATTGGTGATGAAGGTTTCTTTGATCTACTAAGCCGATTTCAGAGCAACCGGATGGATGACCAGAGGTGCAGCTTGCAAGAAAATAACCTCTTGAATGTTCCCAAAGGCACATCTTCCACCCCTCCAAAAACCATGAGAAAATGTAGGTTGTGCATAAAGACTGAAAACCTAATGTCTGCCAAACAAGCTATTTCCACCCCCATATGTTATTCTAAGAGATTATTTCCATTTACTAAGAACATAGCTTTGTATGTTCTATTATAGGAAACAACTTTTGATTCATATTGGGTAATACGTTAAATGAATTTAATGTGCAGCAACAAAACTTAAAGGATCACTATAGTGTCTGGAAAACAAAGCGGTTTTCCTGAAAATATAGTGCCTTGAGGGGTCCCCCTCCCGTGGCGCTGAAGGGGATAAAACCCCCTTCAGCCACTTGCCTTATTCCAGCGCCGGGCTCCCTTGGCGCTGGTGACCTCTCCTCCCCCGTCGACGTCGGCTCCCTCAATGCTTTACCATGAACGCTCTACCCGATGGAAGCATAATATGCCTCCAGCGTGTCAGATGCGCCTCTAGTGGCTGTCCAGAAGACAGCCACTAGAGGCTGGCTTAACCCCAAATGTAAACATAGCAGTTTCTCTGAAATTGCTATCTTTGCATCTGAACGGTTAAAACCTGAGGGACCTGGCACCCAGACCACTTCATTGAGCTGAAGTGATCTGGGTGACTATCGTGTCCCTTTAATGCATTTCATGAGTTTTGGCTTCATAATCATGCTGTTTTATTCTCCATTGAAATCTATTTAGTATTTTTTCTTTTCTTTTTCTCTCTACAGTTTGGTAAATTGAGTTGGTGTCTTGTTAATGTTTACAAGTTTATGGTCATGATCGTGATCCAAAATTATATAGCGTAAAAAAAACTCAGCCAATAATGAAAAGGGACTCTTACAACACATTCTGGTTTCTTTTTAGAAGTATTATAATAATGTATATGGTGATGACAAAAAGTATGCTTAAGTCTAAATTAATTGGTTCTAGATTTGACTATATGGTAAGATTGTCATAATGTCTATAGTTAAATATTTTGTGTGTTACTTAAAAATTTGATTTATCTGGGGAAGGTATATCCAAGAACTACCTCTGGAATGAAGAGTTAATTTCCAGATGGCCAATAATAAGACTGTCTTTGCAATCCTGCCCTATAACAAGAGTGGGAGTGTTCCTTTAACTAAAGGGTAACACATTTTATTATTTGGCATCAATTATTATTATTATTATTATTATTATTATTATTATTATTATAATAATAATATATATGTTATTAGTGCACTTAGAACTTTCTGTAATGTGCATGTTCCCTGCTGGGAACTGGGCTGTTTGTCAGAAATAGCAACAAAAAAGAAGAAACTCCATCTTTTTGTTAAATGCTATCTAATGTCTGTGTCCTGGCATTGTCTTGTTGTGGGTTTCTGAGCCAATGTAATCCATACATTGAGTGCAGTACATATTTAACTACTGGCCTTGACAAATAGCCACCCGCACTGTGTGTGTTTACCATTTTCTTTCTGGTTGTCTGTGTGTTCGCATTGCGCAAGCTTAGTTTATCCTCTTGACGCTTTACAAGGAGCCTAATGAGGGCAATTTAAAGGCAGGTTTTAATCAAGCTTGATCTACACTGTATTCCACAGTTCATAACCATATTATATATTCATATATAATCACAACACTAATGCATTAATAAAAATGGAATTTTTTAAAACTGTCAGCACTACAAATATACAGACTGAATCATTTCAAACAATTCTGATTTACAATAAAAAGTACAACAAATTAAATTCAGTTGAAGCAGTGTTTTGTATATATTCACATATTTTATTATACTGTTGCCTTTTAGCTATGTCAGCATCAGCGGTGTCTCCTCACACAGATGAGTTTCTTGATCTGCTTGCAAGTTCACAAAGTCGCCGGCTTGATGACCAGAGAGCGAGCTTCAGTAACTTACCTGGTCTGCGGATTAACCAGCAAAATAACCAGTCCATACTGGGACATCTAATGTCCAGTGAAAACCGGGAGCCAGATGAAGACTTCTTTGATATGCTGGTGAAATGTCAGGTGGGGAATGGTTAATGTTGCCTTTAACATTAAAGGGACAGAGGTGGTGTAAGCCAATGCTTATCACATTTTGGAGACCAAGGGAAGTTTAAAGGAACACTATAGGGTCAGGAACACAAACCTGTTTTCCTGACCCTCTAATGTTTAAGCCAACATCTTGCTGCCCTAAATATAGCAAAATCTTAATTTTATTCCAGTCTGCTGCTGTTGATTCTGCCTCTGATCTGCTTGCTTGGCTGACATCATTAGAAATGGGGGTCTGAGACAATCACAATGCTTTTCCATAGGAAAGCATTGAATTGGCTGTGACTGTCAAAGAGGCAGATCAGGGGCAGAGCCAGTACAAGCCAAACAGAGCCCTAGCCAATCTGCATCTCCTAACAGAGATGCATTGAATCAGTGCATCTCTGAGGAAAGTTCAGTGTCTCCATGCAGAGGGTGGAAACACTGAATGTCAGGGCTGCACACTGTGCAGCACTGCCCCAGGAAGCACCTCTAGTAGCTCTCTGAGGAGTGACCAGTGGAGGTATCCCTAGGCTGGAATGTAAACACTGCCTTTTCTCTGAAATGACAGTGTTTACTGCAAAAAGTCTGTATTTGTATTTGTTCTGGTGAGTAATAATCATTACATTCAATTAGCTGTAGTTGTTCTGGTGACTATATAGTGTCCCTTTAAAGTTTGTTGGGTTTAATACATACACATTCTCACTTTGTGTACGTGTTACACATACATAGTGAGCTATTTTGTGACAGAGGAAAAAAACTTCTGTTCAGTACATAAAACCTGTAACTTGGAGCAGTTGTGTTATCAAAATACCCTGCTCCCTTGTAGTTGTATATTGTTCTAAATGGTAACCATGTTACATACCGTAATTAGTTTTTCTTTTAAAGTTAAGGTATACTTAATTAATTAAAATGTCCTTTTAATTCTAAAGCACATAAACACTGTACCTAGAAATATAGAATATGCTCCTGCAGTCTCACTGCTCTCTTCTGCCATTAAGGATCTAAATAATTTGTCTGTTCATGCAACGCTGGCTGTGACTCACACAGCGAACATAAAAAAATAAATGTTTTCAATCAGATTTGACACTAAACTGTGTTTTACTTTAGAAGTTTTTATCTCCAGCTCTGTTGAATTTGAATCAAGCATACGCACAATAGATTCATGACTATTAACAGAGCTGGAGATAAGAAACCCTACGTTAAAGGACCACTCTAGGCACCCAGACCACTTCAGCTTAATGAAGTGGCCTGGGTGCAAGGTCCAGCTAGGGTTAACCCATTCTTTTATAAACATAGCAGTTTCAGAGAAACTGCTATGTGTATGAATGGGTAAGGCCTTCCCCCAAAGCCTCTAGCGGCTGTCTCATTGACAGCCGCTAGAGGCGCTTGCGTGCTTCTCACTGTGATTTTCACAGTGAGAGCACGCCAGCGTCCATAGGAAAGCATTGTGAATGCTTTCCTATGCGACCGGCTGAAGGCGCGCGCAGCTCTTGCCGCGCGTGCGCATTCAGCCGACGAGGAGGATCGGAGGAGGAGAGCTCCCCGCCCAGCGCTGGAAAAAGGTAAGTTTTTACCCCTTTCCCCCTTCCAGAGCCGGGCGGGAGGGGGACCCTGAGGGTGGGGGCACCCTCAGGGCATTATAGTGCCAGGTAAACGAGTATGTTTTCCTGGCACTATAGTGGTCCTTTAAACACACTGTGCAATAAGTTTAAGTATTACATTATATAAATTTATTTTTTATTTTTACAGGAAATGTGTGACTAAACAAACTGATTTAACTCTTAAATGGCAGGGAATTGAGCAGTGAGATTGCAGGGGCATGATCTATACACCCAAACCACTCCATTTTGCTAAAGTTGTTTTGGTTCTTATAGTGTCTAATTTGCATTCATTTGCACACATGTGATTTATACATTGTTAGTGAAAAATTTGCATTTCCCATGTTTCACTGTGATTTATATTTACAGGGCTCCCGCTTAGATGATCAACGCTGTGCACCTCCACCTCCTCCTAAAAAGGGACCCACTGTCCCAGATGAGGACTTTTTCAGCCTTATTTTACGTTCACAAGCTAAACGTATGGACGAACAGAGGGTTACTCTTTCTTCACAGCTAAAGAGACCAAATTCAAGTTAAAGCAAACCTATTTTAATGTGACCTCTCCTCTCTTGGGACAAAATGGGTATTAAAGCCTTCTCTGAAAAGGAACTCTTCTACGGATATTACTAGACGTCAGTAGAATGACACGATCTGGATTCAAGATGGCCAGTAATATATGGTACAGTTTCCTCATGGTATCACAATTCCAATAGCCTACTCTCAGAAATGAGATAGTAGGGAGTAAAAAAGAAAAAGCCCAATTATTCAGCTTGGCATGGACATTCACTAAGTATTTAATATGGACCATCTGCCATGGTTATAAACTTTACAGCACAAAAAGGCTTTGATGCATTTAGAAGGACAAGATGTGCAGGTTTATTTCATAGTACTGTAACTTTTACCTACTTGTTTTTTGTAAAGTAATGATTAAGAGGCACTTACTGGGTTGACCATCTCATGATTTACAAACCTTATCTGCTTCATAATAGTTTAACCAGTACTAAAAAGGTTTTGTGCATCTATTGACAATGTGTACACAATACTACAGAAAATCAATGCATTTAAGTGAAATTCCTCCAGCCCCTTTACCTGTGAGTTTTAAATATTTGCATTAAAGAGACATGTATCAGTTTGAGACAACTGTCTCATTCAAAAGCTTTTAATTTTGCTTTTGTTGTGGGTTACTGAGCCAATGTAATCCCTCCTCATTACCTGCTTCTTATGTTTTTCACACCCACTCCAGAGGGATGTTGATCAATACTAACCAATCAGTGTCCTTTCTCTAGGAATGCTGGAAAAGTGCATTGAGCATGCCTGACAGACTTGCACATGTGCAGTTAGACTACCTCTTAAAGGACCACTATAGGCACCCAGACCACTTCAGCTTAATGAAGTGGTCTGGGTGCCAAGTCCAGCTAGGTTTAACCCTTTTTGCAGTAAACATAGCAGTTTCACAGAAACTGCTATGTTTACCTATGGGTTAATCCAGCCTCTAGTGGCTGTCTCATTGACAGCCGCTAGAGGCGCTTCTGCGATTCTCACTGTGATTTTCACAGTGAGAAGATGCCAGCGTCCATAGGAAAGCATTGAGAATACTTTCCTATGAGACTGGCTGAATGCGCGCACGGCTCTTGCCGTGCATGCACATTCAGTTGATGACGGAAGATGAGAGAGGAGAGTCCCGGCGCTGGAAAAAAGGTAAGAGATTAACCCCTTCCTCCCCCTTCAGCGCCACGGGAGTGGGACCCAGAGGGTGGGGGCACTGTCAGGGCACTATAGTGCCAGGAAAACGAGAGTGTTTTCCTGGCACTATAGTGGTCCTTTAACCTTGCAACATCTAACAGGAGGAGAAGAAAGCGAGCCTGATCAGTGTGGTTCATACAGTGCAGGCTCCATTGTTGGGTTTCTTTCTCCCGCTGCTGCACAATGATACCCCGTTTGTCATTAGTGGACTGGTCTGAGATGGCTAGATAAAAGGAAAAGGGCAGAGACTGAATAAACTCTCCTAGCCCAGTAGTTCAAACTTGAAAACGTTTTTCTTGCTTTATTTTAGTTTCTATTTTTGTTTAAAAGTGTTTGCTGGTTTAAAAAAAATAGTCAATTAATGCTTGTCCCTTTAAGGGAAGTGGATCAGACTTTAAACCTCCTCCCTACTTGAAAATGAGATATCAACTTGTTGATAAAACAGTGTAAATAACTAGAAATCTGTTGTACAGGCAACAGAAGTGTATTGTAGCATAATTTCCTACAAAACAAGCAAAGTAAGTGTGCTATTACTATAATCCCTTTCAGTACTGGAATGGTGAGAAAGCACTGCATTGAATAATAAGAAAATTTATATGGGCTTGGCTCCAAAAGAAGCTCCCTCTTGTTTGCAGATCTATCTTGTTCTCTTGACCTGCTCAAACTGTCCAGTTACACACAATATACAAAGACTGAAAAGTATTAGCCACTAATTTTAAAATAGTGTGTTAAACGCCACCAAGTTACTTACTTGGCTAGCTGCTGCTTTTGCCAATTTTATCTTGGAGACTAGCAGAAGTGGGGTTAAAAATCTGAATCATAACCATCACAAGACAGGTTTTACCACATCCACGTATTTTTATTTATTTTTTTACAAAATTAACCTCTCCCCTTTTCAGCATAAAGGAACACTATAGTTTCAGGGATACAAACATGCATTCCAAGCACTTTAGCTCTGGAATAGAGGTTTAGTTTACTGGCCCTTCATGCTGTGGAATTAAAAGGTGATCTTACTCAGTTTCCCTACCGCTGCACAGGTCTTGCTGCAGATCACCCCACCTCCATTACTGAGCTCCTAAATCTATTGCTTATGTGCAGCAAAATGCCTCACTGCACCAATCAGCAACTCCTAAAAGAGATCCATTGAATCAATGCCATCTTTATGGGGAGCTCCCAGTGTCTCCATGCAGAGAGTAACTGCCACTAGAGGTGTTACTAGGCAGCAATGTAAACACTGCCTTTCACCTGAAAAGGCAGTGTTTACAGTGCTATAGACCCCAGAACCACTAAATTAAGTTGTAGTGGTTCTGCTGACTAGTATCCCTTTAATATATACTTTATCACTAAACCACTGCCAAATTATCCTGTCACCAATATCAGGATATTAAGAGTGAAAAATTCTAGAAAACCACATGTAACAGTGCTTGCTCATTGAATGCATGGCCATTAACTTATGTTAATAGTGCCGCCAAAAGTCTGTAAATAATCTGGATTTTATTTATTTCAGTTTGTAATCTTTTTGGATGATTATATAAGTACTTGTTATGGACAGATATGGTTTAAATTCCTACTTATGGAGAGTGTGGGGACACGAGCGGCTTTATAGTGGCAGTTATGATGGACTCAAAGGGATTCAATAACACTGTTTACTATCACGTTTTCATTCACTTTAGAGTGAACTGCATCAAATGAACAGTGTGTTTAACCTGCTAACTTAAAGACGTATGAGAAACACTACAGACTTTTTTTTTTTTTTCTTTTTTTTTTCTTCCTATCACGTTTTGTCTTTGAAGAGATCTTCTCTGTAATGCATTCAGGTCTAGAGGATATTGTCTTTGGTATTGCTAAAGTGTGCAAGGAAGGCAAATGTGCTCTGTCTCCTAAAGGGCTATTTAAAAACAATTATATATAGAAAGTTTTTAGTAGTAGTATACTAAAAATGAGGTGGGAAAACAAGGTACTTTTTTCAGTGTTTGTGGTTTTTATATGTTATTAGTGTTCTTATCAATTTATTTTTTTTTTTTTTTTTTAAAAACATGATTTTCTTACACCACTAATTGTTTAATGTATTGGCTGATTATTTTTGCTCTGTCTTTTTTTTTTTTTATAAACTATGTGAGGCATATCATATTAAACCTCATAGTAGAGCTCTATTAATTTCTAAGTAAATTATTTTGTTTTGCGATATTGTAAAATAAAAAAATTATAGCATGGAACCCTACCCCAGGTAGAAAAATATGCAAATATCACTTGATGTGCACATACAGACTCCTACAACTATGACCACTTCTCAAAGCAGAAGTTATGGTGGTTGGAGTAACCATTTAAACTCATGAATTGAAAGTCACCACTTCATTGCCACAAAAGCACGGTCAATCCACATGTTGCCTAATAAGAATATAAATGAGCTATTCTAAGGAATAATCCATTACTTCATGTTCCGTAAAACTCTTATATTCCACATATGGATTAAAATAATCACGCCAACATACAGTAAAACTGATTCAGGGCTCAGCGATTTAACAGCAGCCTAACTATTCTAGTTAAAGGTCTTTTTTGTATGAAAGGTGTTGACTGCTTTTAAACCACTGAGCAATAAGTTTGCTTTACTGTATGTTAATTTTAATTCATAGATGGAAAATAAGTAATAGATTATTCTTTGCAATTGCTCCTTTATACTACACATATGACACATTGAAACCTGTGACTATTTCTAATTCTGGATGGAGTTTTGCATGCAAAGGGCAACTAAGTTTATTCGTAGCTAAAATGTATTACTTCCACAACGGTATTTATTTTATTGGGTTACATTAAATCAGCACTTAAAGGACCACTCTAGGCACCCAGACCACTTCAGCTTAATGAAGTGGTCTGGGTGCCAGGTCCCTCTAGGATTAACCCTTTTTTTTTATAAACATAGCAGTTTCAGAGAAACTGCTATGTTCATAAATGGGTTAATCCAGCCTCCAAATCCTCTAGTGCAGGGGTTCTCAACCTTGCCCTCAAGGACCCCCTACCAGTCGAGGGTTTAGGGATTACCTGGGTGTGTCTAAGGTGTTTAGAAAAAGAAAAAAAAAACACCGTAGAATCTAAGGGTTTTTTTTTTTCTTCCCTTTTTCTAAACACCTTCGACACACCCAGGTAATCCCCAAATCCTGGACTGGTAGGGGGTCCTGAGGACAGGGTTGAGAACCCCTGCTCTAGTGGCTGTCTCATTGACAGCCGCTAGAGGCGCTTGCGTGCTTCTCACTGTGAAAATCACAGTGAGAAGACGCAAGCGTCCATAGGAAAGCATTGTAAATGCTTTCCTTTGAGACCGGCTGAATGCGAGCGCACCTCTTGCCGCGCATGCGCATTCAGCCAAAGGAGAGGAGGAGGAGGAGAGCTCCCCGCCCGGCACTGAAATAAAGGTAAGTTTAACCCCTTTCCTCACCATCCAGCCCGGCGGGAGGGGGTCCCTGAGGGTGTGGGTACCCTCAGGGCACTACAGTGCCAGGAAAAAGAGTGTTTTCCTGGCACTATAGTGGTCCTTTTACCAGGAAAACAAACTGTGTAAGTGGTGATTTACACTCGATAGTCAGAGTGCTAGCCAAACTATTAAGTTTTTCTTTTTTATAGTTAAAGATTAAAATTTACAGTTTTAACCCCTTAAGGACGGGTGACGGACGAGGTCTGTCACAGAGCGGAGACCCTTAGTGACGAGTGACGGACCTCGTCCGTCACGCGGTAAAATTAACCCCGGATCTCTGCGATCGCGGGGTTAATGGTGCTCCGGTATGCCTCTGCATTAGAGTCATACCGGGAGCACCCGGTCAGGCTGGCGAGCACACATGCTCTGTATACTTACATTCCGGCTCCCTGCACTTCCTGGTTCCGTGTGAAGTGCAGGGAGCCGGAACAGTGATGATCCTGCCCCCTGCTGGAAAAAAAAATAAAGTTTATTTAAAGTCCCACCCCCCTTTACCCATTTTAATAAAAAATTAACCCCTTCCCTGCCAATTGATCACTGACTGCAGTGATCAATTGGCAGGGATTACATTTTACTATGATCTGATTTTTTTTTTTTTTTTTTTAACCCCTGAGGGTTAATTCTTTTTTTTTTTTTTTTAACCCTCAGGGGTTAAATTTATTTAATTAATTAAAATATTTTAAAATTATATATTTAGTTAGCTGGGGTGGGTGGAAGTTAGTGGGGAATTGGGGGATTTGGCGTTAGGCTAACTAGGGGTTAACGTTAAAAAAGTTTTAAAATAAACTTTAAAAAGTTAAAAATTAAGCTTAAAAAAAGTTTTAATAACGTTTAAGTAAAAAATAAAAAAACACCCCCCTTTACCCAGTCCAAATAAAAATTAACCCCTTCCCTGCCAGTCGATCACTGCCTACAGTGATCAAATACAGATCACAGTGTTATACTGTGATCTAATTTTTTTAACCCCTGAGGATTAACTTTTATTTATTTTTTAACCCTCAGGGGTTCAATTTATTTAATTAATTAATTTAAATATTTTATAACTATGTATTTTGCTAGCTGGGGTGGGTGGGAGTTATGAGAAAATGGGGAATTTACTGTTAGTGCTGCTTACTGCTAGTTAGGGGTTAACGGTAAAAAAAAAAAAGCTTAGAAAAATGTTAAATCTGTAAAAAAAAAAAAAGTTTTAAGAAAGTTTAGGAAAGTTTAAAAACTAGTTTTTTAAAAGTAAAAAAGTTAAATACATTTTAAAAACGCTCATTACCACTACACCTAGAGAAAAAATTATCCCACGCTTAGGTTCAAAATATGCCTTTTGAATTACCCCAAGGGTGTATTCTTTAATAAATAGTATGTGTTTGTGGGGAAGTTTCAATAACCAACCGTCTAAACTACTCCAAATTGGAACATGGACACAGCGTAAAACATCAAAGTTCGAAAAAAACTGAATGGCTGTGTCTCAAATGCGCCCCTTCAACATCCACATATACCTGGCAAAGGTACATACGGGGGTATTGCTGTACTCAGCCGACATAGCTGAGCAACATATGAAGTATTATACAGTCATAGCACACATAAGGTTTGCAAAATATGCTGCGCAAACTCACTTTGTATGTCAAAAAGGCAGAAAAAAATGCTTATTACCACTACACTTGGTACAAGCTAGCGGAAAAATGATCCCACGCTAAGGTTCAAAATATGCCTTTTGAAAGACCCTGGGATGTCTTCTTTAAGAAATGGTATGGCTTTCTGGGGTATTTGGATTATATAGCCTGCTAAAATACTCTAAAATGGGACATAGGCACAGCGTTAAAATTCAAAGTTTGAAAAAAAAAAAAAAAATGGAATGGCTGTGTCCCAAATGTGCCCCTCCGATGTCCACACATACCTGGCAAAGGTACATACGGGGGTATTGCTGTACTCAGACGACATAGCTGAGCAACATATGAAGTATTATACAGTCGTAGCACACATAAGGTTTGCAAAATATACTGTGCAAACTCACTTTGTATGTCAAAAAGGCAGAAAAAGAAGCTTATTACCACTCCATCTGGTACAAGCTAGCGCAAAAATGATCCCACGCTAAGGTTCAAAATATACCTTTCGAAACACCCTGGGGTGTCTACTTTAAGAAATGTTAGGCCTTTGTGGGGTAGTTTGAATTTAAAACCTGCGAAGATGCTTGGAAATTGCACATAGGCCCAGTGTCAAAATTCAAAGTTTGGTAAAAACGGATATGGCTTGGTCTCCTATATGGCACTGTAGCGTCACAAAATAGTGCCAAAGACATTCATTGGGGGTGTCTTTTTACTCAGAAGATTTAGCTGAGCATAATTTGGAAGGTTTGAACTTAGTGGCACATATGAAATATACAAAACGGCCAGCAAAAATGCAATCCATATGTAAAAAATGCACAAAATTATTTTTTACCACATACTTTGGCATGTATTGGTGATAAAATGGGGGCATGTTAAGGCACAATATGCACCTTTATGAGATACCCTGGAGTGTCTACTTTTACAAATGGTAGGCCTTTGTGGGGGTTTTTTGAACAGTCAAACTGTTATAATACCCCAAATGGAAGCTAAGGCTCATTAAATCCATCTCTTAAAATTCTACTGTGAATACTGAGAAGGACCGGTATCCTGTATGGCACTGTAGCTTCACGAAATAGTGCCAAAGACATACAATGGGGGTGTCATTTTACTCAGCAGATGTAACTGAACACAAAATAAAACTTTGTACAGGAATAGCACACACCAACTTTACAAAATATACATGATAATTTCTTTGTTATAAGTTTGTGTGCCAAAAACCCCCCCAAAAAACAATTTTACTCCAATATTTAGCAGAGGTTGGCGATGAAATGGCTACGTAGAATGTGTCAAAACAACCATAGGTAAATAGCCCGTGATGTCTACTTTATATAAATATATACTTTTGTGTGGCAATTTTGTTTTCTTTTATGGCTATTAAGCTTACAAGACAAACATACCAAATTCTAAAATCGCTCCACATTAAAAGTCTATTTTACTCCTTGTGCTTTGTGACCTGTAACTACCAAAAAAAACTTAAAATCCCAGACACATTATATATTCTGTAAATCAGAACAACTAAATTAATTTAACAACTAAATTAATTTATTTTTAATTACTTTTCTTAACCTGCACTAATTATGCACACATTATTATTGCAAAAACTGTAAAAAAAAAAAAAAAAAAAATCACACAATTTTCATTTTTTTTACATTTTTCTGTAATTTTTTATAATAAATAAGCATTTATATATATGTGTGTTACATCAAATTAAAGCCCTTTCTGTCCTTTAAAAAATTATGTATAATATGTGTTGGTGCAACAAATTAGTAAAATGCAAATTGCAGTTGAATGCAAAGAGCAAAAATGAAAAAAATGCTGTTGTCATTAAGTGAAAGACAAGCTTTTGAAGCTCTGTCCTTAGGGGGTTAAAAATAGGATTTATACTCCAATGAAGAGTTAGGATGTTCTATTACTAACCTGTAATACTTGATTACGGTATAATCACTCTCCTGTATTATTAATGGATACCAAGTATTACTAGACCTGGTTCAAAGTCACAATGGTTTAAAAGTTAAAGGATTCTCTTTGTCCTACTTAATACAGTATAGTCAGGTACATATTTTGTAATTCAGTTTGAAAGAACACACACACACAAAGTTTGAGCGTTTTATTAAATATAAAAGGCTTTTTCTTAAAGTTGCAGCAGAGGACTGTAGGAATACAATGATATAAATCATGTAGAATTTCTCAAGCTCTGTGTTCATATGTATTTATTTGCACAACTAAATACAAATACAATATTTTCATTAGTGAAAAGTATATAAGAACAAATTAAACATTTCTCATTTAAGTGGAGAATCCTTCATCTAGATCTACCAGTTCATTTACATTGCATGTAAGAGTCTCCACGTTTGGGCTGTTGGGTAATCTAAGGTTTTATATGTATGGAATATAGATTGAATAATATCTGATGATATTCACACACACAGAGCCTTCAGGGACCCTGTAGTTCTTTGTTTTAAGCGTGATATAAACACTTATGAACGGCAGATGGCCAATAAACAGACTTTGCTTAAAATATATATAAATTTAATAATACACACTATAAAATGCAAAGCAACAAAACAATACAATTATAATCAATTTGCTATATTATATACAAGTTTATGTCAACAAGTCAATTAGTTTACTTGACAAGCCTAAGAGTCAACATTACACTTTGTCTCCTCTATAATCTTATCAGCAAAGGACAATAAAAGCTATTACAAACTTCACAGCAATGCCAGTATACAGAATTAATCATATGACACCCCTTGCATTAATGATACAATTGTCATTATATTAATTAGTTAATTATCAACCAACCCTGCCAAGTATATACCAACAGTTTAACTACAGTACGTTTATATATGGTTTCTGATAGCCTTAGTGTGTGTGTGTGTGTGTGTGTGTGTGTGTGTGTGTACAGGGCCGGACTGGGAAAAAAATTCGGCCCAGGCATTTTTCAATCAGAGCGGCCCCCTAAGAAGGGGGCGGGGCCAGAGAGTGTGTGTTTTGTCATCACTAATGACAAGCACGCCCCCTCTCAAAGTGAGCATGTTGGTTCAATGCCCAGAGCCCTGCTGAAGAGCTCTGGCATTAGAAAAAGGCCCTGAATTTGTTCTGCGCAGCGCAAGCAAATTTAATAACATGCTTGCGCTGTGTTTGCTTTTAAATTGTCTCTGGTGTCTCCACAAGTGGGATACCAGAGGACAAAAGGGCCAGGAAAGTGTATGGTGCATATGTTTGGAGCCTGCTTGTGGGATTGCGTGTGTGTAGAGTGTGGTGTGGTATTGTGTAAATAGGTCAATTTCATTTGTGTTTGTGGTGTAATATGTGTGGCAAGGGGCTGTATAGAGTGTATGTATAAGGGGCATAGTTTTATAGGGGATGCAGCGAGTGTGTGCATACGGGCTGAAGTGTGTGTGTGTATAGGTGACGTAGTGTGTGTAGGGGTTGCAGAGAGGGTGTGTTTAGAGAATGTTGTATGTGTTTGCTGACAAGGAATGTAGTGTGTGTGTGTAGGAGATCTACTGTGTAAATGACCCAGTGTGTGTGTGTGTGTGTGTGTGTGTGTGTAGAGGATTAAGAGTGCATATAGGGTAAGGGATCTAGTGTGTATCTGGAGCGTAATGTGTGTAGTGGTGCAGTGTGAGGGGTGCTGTAGTGTGTGTGTGTGTGTGTATGTATATATATATATATATATATTTGGACTTATTGTATGTGTGAGGGGCGCAGTGTGTGTATGTAAGAGGGGTGCTGTGTGTGAGGGTGTTTTTATCTGCGGTCACATTCTAGGTTTCTAATTTTCTTTGTCTGTTAACTCACTGAGGGTTATTATATATATTTATATATATATTTATATATATATATGTGTGTGTTTGTGTGTGTGCTGTATATGTTTGGGAGTGTGCTGTGTGTGTCTGGGGGTGCAGTGTGAGTTTGGGTGCTGTGTCTGGGTGCGCTGTGTGTGTCTGGATGCTGTTTGTGTCTGGGGAGTGCTGTGTGTGTCTGTGGGGTGCTGTGTGTGTCTGGGGGGTGATCTGTGTGTCTGGGGGTGATCTGTGTTTCTGGGGGTGCTGTGTGTGTCTGGGTGCTGTGTGTGTTTGGGGGTGCTAAGGGATCTAGTGTGTATCTGGAGCGTAATGTGTGTAGTGGTGCAGTGTGAGGGGTGCTGTGTGTGTGTGTGTATATATATATGTATGTATGTATGTGTGTGTATATATATATATATAATGTATATGTATGTATGTGTATATATATATATATATATATATATATATATATATGTATGGACTTATTGTATGTGTGAGGGGCGCAGTGTGTGTATGTAAGAGGGGTGCTGTGTGTGAGGGTGTTTTTATCTGCGGTCACATTCTAGGTTTCTAATTTTCTGTCTGTTAACTCACTGAGGGTTATTTTATATATATATCTATATATGTGTGTGCTGTATATGTGTGGGAGTGTGCTGTGTGTGTGTCTGGGGGTGCAGTGTGAGTTTGGGTGCTGTGTCTGGGGGTGCTGTTTCTGGGTGCGCTGTGTGTGTGTCTGGGGGGTGCTGTGTGTGTCTGGGGGGGTGCTGTGTCTGGATGTGGTGTGTGTCTGGATGCTGTGTGTGTCTGGGGGGTGCTGTGTGTGTCTAGGTAACCGTGGCAACGCTCAGAATCCCACGAGAGGACCGGCGGAGCTGCTTGTTAGAGCTCCGCCGGTCCTCTCTCACTCAGCCGGCGGCCGCATCTCCATGCCCTGCAGGGGCCGGCCGGGGAGATCCCCTGCCGGCCGGGGCCCACCGGGCATTTGCCCGGCATGCCCGATGGCCAGTCCGGGCCTGCCCTCAACTCAACCTAAAGCAAAAAGGAGAGGGTAATCCCTACCACACTGCCACCAGGGGTTTTGAGCTTTTGATAGACCCGAATCATTTTCTCTTTGGAGCTATCAAATTAGATTGCCAG